CGGCCGAGTTCGAGTATTTTATCTCTGATGACAAATTTAGGAATACATTTTGGGGTACCTGGCTTCCCTGCAGCGAGTCGGCCTTTATTGAGCCATGGTAGATTTCGGTTTGAAATATTATCTAGGCTACAAATTTTCCCCGATTTTTAGGTAATTTTGCAAACCCAAAATGTGGGAATTTTTTTTTTTTTTCGACATTCTAACATAAGAGTGACGGGGATCTATAATAAATCTCATCTTAATAGTTTCATGCGATTTTTTTGTAAAATTAGGTGGCAACACTAAGCATACATTTCTGTATACTAATACAGAAAGGTAGGTAATGTGAGGTTTTGTATTGTGACCATTGCAATAAAAATTAAAGCCACAGAATAATATAGTAAACAAAAAGGTAGGTTAGGTTAGGTTTCGTATTATGATCTCTACATTAAAAACTTTGACCCTAGACTAATATAGTATACAGAAAGGTAGGTTAGGTTAGGTTTTGTATTGTGACCATTACAATACAAAGTTTCGCCACAGGATGGTACACGTGAAACAAAAATTCACTGTTACAATAGGAAGTCACCTAATCGTATCAAAACAGACAACTCTACTTGCCAACCAAGTCTATTCGAAAAGAAAACCGTCTGCACAAAAAAAATCAACGACAACGCCTCGCGGGCCTCTTGAGGCCCGCGCACACACGCACCCTCTAGTAATAATATAAAGTCCTCACACCTATATCACTCTACCACATTAGATAGGTACTACTCCTGAATCTTCGGTAGTAGAACATATTAGAATAAATTTGTTTCAACTAAAAATTATATATTTAAATACTTTTTTCTTTTGTAAATATAAATAGATACATACCTAATACAGAGACAAGGTTTAAACTTTTAAACCATAACTGCTCATCAATATTTATGTTGTATGAGTATAGAACCCGCGACAATCAGATAAGGCACTAAGCAAAACATCACCGAAATTATCGATGTACATACATAACTTATAGTATGTAACTACTTTACAATATTTATATTTAGGTAGACTGTAAAAAATTGAGTGAGTTTCATATAATTCAGCCACCAAGCAGCTTAAGCAAACAAAAGAATAAGTACTCATCTATCTTTTGTTAACTTTACTTTCTCACTCCAAGGTAGTAAAGAGATGGCTTAGCAATGAGACCGCCTTTTATATCAGTTTCTATAAACTTATTATTTTAATTTTTGCATGTGCACCACATCCAAAAATTAAATAGTATAAATAAAAAAACTTTATCCATTACAAATTTTAAGTAATGCATGGCATATTGTAGCAGTGCCTGCTGAAGTCACTGTGTTGTGTACGTTAATTGTGTCTTGTCTGTAATGCATATAAATAACTTATTTTTATTAGTTTAGACTGTGTTGTAACTTTATACTCAGTAATATCACAGACAATACTGTTTTTTATAATCTACATTCGGCCAGTATGTGAAATAGATATGTAAATTATAAATAAAAAAATTGTTTAAAATACATTTTTATTGACTTAAATTTAATTTAAACAATAATTACAATCAGTAATTGTACTTTTCATATTTTTATTTATGTACATTTGTGCTAATTAAAATAGAAATAGCTATTACAACATTAGGTACCACAACGTATTGTTTGGCAGTTTTGAAAAAGTTAAAGTTAGATTTAATGACAACTAATATAAGAATAACGGTATACAGTATTAAAGCCTGGTAATATGAAAAGATCATAAAAACTTTCCCAATTTCAGTAATATACATATTGCGTCCAATTCGAAGTGGTGTATATATGAGGACGAAATTTTTCTAAGTACTATAAAAAATGGTAGTAATATTTTTAACTGAGATATGACGGCTGATAGGGCCATTTATATTTGAGGATAAAATGTATACAATTCCATAACCAATACGTAATATATCCAGGTAATAAATAATCATCACAACAATCTAACTTTAACTACCTTTAAAATAAGGATTACAAAACACAATCACTCTACAATAAACTCTTGAAATGACAAATATGTTTACGTATATAGTATTATGTATAAGCATTAATAATCAACATTTGCTTACAATATAACATATTCATCATTTCTATAATAAAAATTATATATTATACTAGCTACATACACAGTACCACTACACATTAAAACAAATGGAAAAGAATAAAGATCCTCATACAAAAACTTAGGAAAGTAATAAAAAATATAAAAACGTTCACGTTAAAACTCGTTCGTACAAGTGTAATAATTTCTATTATTTTAATGGAATACGTTAGGACAAACAAGATTGATAAAAACATCTACTGTAAACAGCTAAAACACTACAAATGCAGCCAATTTAATATATAAGAGATCAAATTAAATGAAGCGAAAATAAAAGTATATACACATCCATGTCTTTGTCTATAATCTATATATTACCATAATTTATTTAAATAATAATATGAGAACAAAACTCTTAATTGTAGCCATATTACAGTCATCTAGCGTCGGACATGTCGATTCCACAATTCAAGCCGAGATTACAACTATGTTGTTATCCATAATAATAAACCTTCAAAGACAATCCTCTGAGGGCAAAGCGAATCAACCGAGAGATAAGTGTCACCGAATTTACGGTAGCACTACAGTTTAATTTATTTAACTCTAATGGTGTATTTATATTGGTTGATTCTAATCCCGGCGTTAGAAAAGCTAGACGTAGTTTTAAAGAATTTATCTAACATCCAACCAGTACAACACCATTACTGCGACGAATTTATCTAAAGTAACACTATACATATAACAGTTAAAACTCAACTGCAGTATTTTATTGTCACAGCTTTTGCTGCGTGCACTCTTTCACTTAACACAACATGTCGATTTAACGTAGACTTACTGCAATTCTGTAACATTCTATATCAGCACAGTACATCAGATATTTATGGTCTAATTATTTAAGACTATAAAATCAATTGAAGTTGAAATTTCACTGATACTAGCCGTGACTAAATTACAATTGTTATTGTTAATAACCGTTGCCATCAAGGTTTAATAAATTCATTAATATACATTACATCCTATAATACAGAATTAAAATGAATTACAGAATCCTAACACAGCCATTGTTACACGTACTGTAAGCGAAGTAACATTGGATTTTAATAATTATTTAACACTAACAAAAACCTAATGTATATATTTAATTTGATTTTATAAATAATGAAATAATTTGTATACGAATCTAGTAGCAAGTTCGCTTTCTGTTACAACAAATCAGTTACTAATTTTTATGGAACCTGTAAAGCCGTACTTACCTTACGTACGGACATACCAAGCAAGAAGCATGATTTAACTAGTTTTTTTAACATAAACATACTACATTTTTCCGGATTGTGTTTACCTGTGTATCTGAAATATGCCTCAGTTCTTTAGAATACTATTTTCTATCTAAAATCTTTATAATCCATTAAAACTAACTTCACCACTAACAATTCTATATATATACATTAGCTATAGTGTGGTACGACAATAGACAACCATATCTTAAAATCTAGAGAACTAATCCAAATACCCAGACCGGCTTTCTTGAAAATATTAGAAATAATTTTAAGTATACTATCATCACTAGCACGTTCATACCCTTATCCCATTCATAAGAACATATTATACTAACTATTACCCGCGACTTCGTTTGCTCAAACTTTCATCCCATAGATCACCCCCGCCCTTCTAGATTATTTTTAATATAAATTATACCTTATATCCATTCTTGTAATACAATCACCCACATAGCAAATTTCATTACGACAAACAGGCACACTTCATTCAATATTGGTACAGATAGATTAGTAATAAATAAATAGGCCCATAGTTCCATAGTTTCTGCTAACATCGAAGTGAAAAATCGTTATAGTAAATATACTTTTTTTTATATTTTATAATAATTTGCTGAATCTACCAATGCCTTAATTATTAATGTTATTTATGCTATACTAATCTTTATGTTTCCATAACAGCGTATATTAAGTGCGTAGCACATATTTTGCTAATTAAAACTAATCATAGGTACAATGTAATCTTTACACCAAGTTATCTATAGGGCAGACTTTCTTCCCGTATTGTACATGATAGGTTAATTCGTTTATAATTTCTTCTTAAATGTAACAGAACTAAGCAGTTACTGCATACCAAAGTTAACGATTGCAATTGAGCAACTAAAGATTCATACAAGAAGACTAATAACATACCCTTGATAAGTTAACAAATTTGAGAAAAAATTCTAATTATATTTTGCCTTTATACCGCATACTATATATCAATTTGCCTTTATACGTATACCTGAAGATAGAAGATATTCTATAACAAAATCCTCCAGCTTATACTGTGCTATGTGAGAACTACCCTTCTCCCCAAGAGTTGAGTAATGGTGAGGCAGTTGATAGAACACTGGAGCAACCAGAGTCAAAACTTAATCTAAGCAAGACGTAAGAAATAACACCATTTTAGCCGTTATAAGTCCGATAAATCTATGCACACATAAGTCCTATACAACCGCTCACACAAGAGCAGCTGTATTGAGTAAGTCCTGTAGATTTCCAATTTCACATAAATATTACTTTTTATTTATAGATCATCTCCTAAGATTAGCTCTTTAAATCAAATCAAATTCAAAAATCATATAAACCTGTAGAACATTTTAGGCGCTTATGAACGTCTTTTTTTATTATATTTTTTTCCTCACCGTCCATTTCTACTTGTGATAATACATTTATATTTAAATCTCTTGCTACAATAATAAGTAATTGTTATTATAATCACTATCAGCTACGGGGAATCATACTCAAGGCTGAAAAGATTGGTAAAGAATTCTAAGTTTCATTAAATACTAATATTTTTTTATATAAGATAGCCTATGTCTAACCTAGTCGTACAATCAATCTTCACGTCAAATTTCATTACGATCTATTCAGGCGTGTTATTGTGAAAAGGGAACAAACAGGTATACATACATTCGCAAACAAACTAAAGGTATATAATATGTAATATTTTTACTAAGAGTTTATCAGATTTTTCTTCTAACAATGAAAGAAAACCCGTGATCATGGGCGGTAGAAACACTGCCGAAATAACGGAAACATAATAAAAATAAAGATGGTGATTTTTGCTAATTTCGTCAAAATCAAGAAAACGAAAGAATCAAGTCCGAAAATAATCAATTTTGCATAAAATATAAAATGTATGTCATAGATTTGTAGACCTTGACATTATTAAAAAATAATATGTATTCCTAAAGTCGTAGGTATTCTTGAGATCCAGATAACCATAAGCCACATTGCACTAAATTTGCATAGGTGCTCATAAGTATAGCTAGCACTTTATATAATCAATATAACAATCTTAAGTTAAATAATATGCTAGTTACGTATCCAGCCGGCGGTGTGCAGGTAGTGTCGAATAGCGAGATCGATGTCGGAATCAGGAGCGGGCGGCCGCCTCAGCAGCACTCCTTTGATGGTCACATATTGCGCTGGCGCCAGACTCAGCGAGGCACACAGCTGAATAAACAATACAGGAATTAGGATCATAGTGTGGTAAGGCAACCAAAAAAAGACTATTTCAATCGCATCATTAAGGATAACTCAAAAAATACAGGGTGGAGCGCTTGCCGCACCCTGCCACTATAGGGTGCTATGAATGTAACCGATTTTATGAAAAAAACTATTGGGGTAAGGACGCGGGTATAGTTACATAATATTTAAGACTGCTTCTCCACACTGGGCCCATGTCTGGCTACGCCCATGTGGTCAGGTCTTAATCAATAAGAAATATATGACATGAGGTTTATATAGAAAAACATACACAGTCGAATTGAGAACCTCCTTTTTTTTTAAGACCGTGACCATCATGTTGTTGCTATGTTGTGAATGCCACACTTGATTGAGCGTACCATCTCGTTGCTAAGAATTGTTAACTTTGCATAATGTATTTTATGTCAGCTAACTTTAAACTACCACCTAGGAGTTTAAGTGGAGGTAGTAAACTCTGACAACGGCGATACAATTATTATCTTTACATAGTATAGAATAAAATCGCTGACGCTATCTGTTCGCTTAGCTATTTTAAACTACGCATCGAATTTTAATGCAGTTAGTAAGTATTAACTCATTAATTAAAGGGAAATAATCATAAAATTTTAATATACATACCTACATAGCAATTGCATTACACCTGTTGTACTCTATTTAACTAGTCCATTATTAAATAAATATTACTAATGACACTATTGACGGGACCAGTTTATGTTGCTAGCCAACTCACCTGGTATAACTACCAAGGTCAGTCATATTGTTATGATAACGTAATTGACACTATTGTCTTGTAAAATCGTGACACATAAATATTATATTTATAGATAACGATTAATCTAATATTAAGTAATTTTCTTTATGGGATCGTCATGGACTATTGGTTTTCTACGCCGACTTACACCAAAAGTAATGCATTCAAATGTGGCCGACACCAAAAAAAGGAAATTTGTGTATATTTCTGATTGATTCTTCAGTGACGGAAACACAAAAATAGATAATTTGTAAAAAAATATGCAATGTAAAAAATTAAAATGCTGCGCCTTTTATTTTACACTAAATGAAATCTAAGATTTGACGAATTAGTCTAATGAACATTTTAACTTTTTCAGTTACGCGTATTATTACATCAACTTGTATGACAATGACATACCTGAATTTCATTATTGGTCAGCAGATGCCTCGAGCATCCGCCGTTGCTGTTGTTGCATGAGCTCTTTTTGGAGCATCCACATGCGATACTTCCGTCCCGTGTGCACCTTGGGCTGGTGGAACTTGAGCCGCTTTCTCCGTCTCTGTGACCATATTGTATCATAAGCAACCCTATAGATATCAATAGAACCGTACTCACCCACTTAGAGTTCCATTTGTAAGCAGACTTTCTAAAGCTTTAGAAATTTTGCTGCTATTAATCCTAAATTTTGTCTGAATTTACAGTAATTTTTCTGTTAAACGTAAATTTTTTATGGTAAGACACATATATATCAAATGACAAACGTATATGGCAGTAGTTGTTCATGTAACGAATTTCATTTAATGTTAAATGTAGACCATAAAAAACAAATTCAGTTGAGTTTCTTGGCAATTCTTCTATTTGAATCTATTAACTGGACGGTAGGTGGAAAATATGAAGAAAAAAAATACGTTCATACATAGTAGAACATTTTAGTCGCTAAAATGTTCTACATGAATAACTGGGTTTTGATATGTTTATTTTTCGATATGCCACGATCGATCAACAGTTGGATTCGAACGGGGATTAAAATTACGACGGGCTAAGCTGAGATCCGAACCCTAGCGGTGCCATCGAGGTTGGATTTCAACCACTCGATAGTGTATCGAGTGTACTCGCCTGTATTTTCAACCGGTAATATCATAAAGCCTTGCTGCAGCCAACAACAATAGAATACTTCAGAAAGGAAATGAAGAAACAGAGAGAGGAAGTCTGGAGTATTCACAAGGAAGATATTGTATTCGAGAGGATGAAACAACTGGTAATACTATTTGCATTTTCTGATAAGAATATTACATGTACACGGAATACACAAGTAGTAGTAAGAGAAATAACACCAAATGTTCATTTACATAGGTAATGGTTTCCGGTTTAGACAATTGGATATAAACTCAGACAATAGTTTCTTTTATACTTTATATTCTTAAAAGGTTTTTATTTATTTTAACCTGTTTTAGCATTCGCTGTGCTAACTTTTTATACATGTATTGTTATTGGATGGTAAGGTAATAATATAATTTTAAAACGCTACAGTCGATAAAAATTATATTCAATACAGTCAACGCAAACTTACATGTTAATTTGCCTAAATCATATTCTTTCTCTATGTCAAATGTTAAAAAGAAATATACATTTGCTAATTATCCGTATGATAATAATAATGTACACATAAAATATAGATTATTGAATTACGTGGGACCAGGGCATCTACATTACTATATTGTAGCCCACTTATGTCTAAACGAAATATCTCTTTTAGATAATACAGACTCTATCCTGAGGTAATAAAAACCTTCACTTCTAAGATAACCTTCAAGTCGTCGACTCATCTAGGTAGCGAACTTTGAAAAAGAGCGACAATAATAAATCTGTGTAAATCTTGCTATAATTTAATGATAAAATACCTTTTTCTTTGCTGCTGCGTGTTGGTCTGCGTTTGCTCTTTTATCTGATTGGTGTCCAGGCACCCACTGCTGCCCTGGCGAATACAATAGTTATACGGAATCAAACCCACCACCACACAACATTAACGCCTCGTGCCTCGTTGTCGAAGGAGTGCTATTAATTTGGCATTAACATATGGAGTTAATCCTTTAATTTCCAGATTCTTCCTATTGACTTTAATAAATGAAGTAAGTTGAGATACTATTATCTCAACTTACTTCATTTATTAAAGTCATAAATGCATAAACAGCAGGTTATGTCTATACATAACCTGCTGTTTATGCATGGATATCACTGGATCCGTCTTTACACTCTCTTATTTATTGCTTTGCTATGTGTTTTATCCCTATACCCAGTGAATTCACTGCTCTAATTATTTTGCCTCTCTGACTCCTCTGCTCAGTATGCAGTCTCCTTGGTATATACAACCACAGTGCGTACAATGTTATGTCCGATTCATTGCCAGAAAATTAAAGAAGGTACAGTAATAGTACAATAATATTTTATGTAAAAATAATTGTATCCATATAAATAGTACATAATCAAACTGAATTTAATGATATTATTTTAATTCGAGCATGCCTTATTATAGTCCAAGTACTGTCAATGGCACAGGATCTATATATACCATCTAAAAGGAATCTATTTTTTAACGATATTGTCTACGTCCACAAATACACCGCGCGAAGCTTAAGCGATGGCGTATAAAGCATGAACTAAGACAGCCTATGTGAAATGGAAATGAGAGACAAGAACAAACATACAAAAAGCAGTTTCGAATAGTAACAAAAAGGATTGATACCTAAATGAATATTAAAAATTGAAGTAAAGAAACCTGTAGTGTTAGTTGACCTCACACATCGATGGTTCAGAACACATAATGTAATCAGTTATTAATTCTTTGTATGATAATCTTTTACATATGTATAAAGTAATTAATTCAGACGTAACGTTGTTACTCATAAGTCATAGACGGTATATACAGTGATCAGCATTAAGTGTATTTAATCCTTTAAAAATATTGGACAGTAAATATATAATTTATCATTTTAATAGGGTAAACATTATCTAAAATTATTAATATCAATAACATTAGTTATTTCTACAAAGTTGAATTATAAAACTTCCAATCTTCATTTAACTAGAGCCTTAAAAATATGCATAGTGTAGTACACCTTTTTTTATACTACAATGGAAAATGATTACCCTAGCCTATGGACGCCTAAGACACCAGGGGTCACGTACATGTTGCCGACCCTTAAGAAACTTTAATACCCTCCTTGAAAAATGCCATGCCTCGGGAGAATGCCTTGGTAGGTATTTCACAATCTATGCTGGAGGAAACTCCTCTGAAGCCGCACTACCCGAGACCACATAGGTTCTAGCATGTGGAGACGAATTCCCTGTCGATGGCGAGCACCTTTTAAATCTGTTCGATTCGATCACTAGATGACATTGATTAATAATTATCTTTTTGTCTTTTATTAAATTAAATATATGATAGTTTTTATAGTATAAATAATTACATATATTGAAACCAGAGAGTAGTGTATGAGATGAGGGTGTATGCGAAGCGTGCAGTACCAGCAGGCGGGGCCTCACGTGGAGCGGGTGCTTGCGGAGCGCGGCGTGCTGGTCGTAGTGGGCGCACTCCTCGAGGCGCGTGACGCCGGCCAGCCGGTACCGGTGCAGCTCCGCCAGCCGCACGCGCAGCTCGCGCTCGCGCCACAGCCCGCCCACCACGCCCGCCTGCTCCGCGCGCCCGTAGAACTGCGCCGTCCACCGCAGACGCTCCGTGAACTCTCTACGACGTTTAATATTTAATTATTACGACCATAACTAGTGCTCCTTGATTCACTACTAGCAAGAAGCGACCCGCTCCGGCTTCGCACAGCCCCAATATTTATTTAACTTTTAAACAGCTCGAGGTAAGGATCTTCTTTTATTAAAATGAAGATAACCACTACAGGTGTTCGTTGAAATCAAATGACATCATAAGACATGTAAAGGACATCTTTGTTCAAAATTAAATACTTATAATAAATAAAGTATTTATTTGGATAATGATTAATATAAATAATTACAACCACAAATCTTTTAGTAATTAGATACTTACTTTTTTTCTTTGGCAAGTTTCCCTAATGTTCTCTGTTTGTTTCTCTGATTGTTAAAAAACATAGAAACTAGCTGAAAATCTCGGACCAGTCTTTTTCTTCTTGTTCTCTCTCTCAGGCGCCTTGTATAAATATCCACTTGTGACAGTTTTAAAGCTGAAAATATTAATAATTTATAAGCAAAAATGTTTATTCACAAAGGAGATTCCTCAAATATATCCTATATTATTACTATATGTTCTTATGTATCAATACGGTATATAACTAATTATTGTATTACTTATTACAGTATATAACTTATATGATGTAACTTTTATTTAGAGATGATTCAGGATTCATAAGTTCTCGATTTTAAAAAATATTATAAGTATATAAATTCATCAATATCTCTAGTTTATTATTTCTCTTATGACATTCAAGACATGAAAAAGGAATTATTTAATATAAATAATCAAGTTTATGATAAAATAAAATGTATCTTACCGGAAGTCAACTTACCAACATCTAGCTCATCATCTTCAGAATTAAGAGATAAAGCAGAAATCAATTGTTCTGCTTCATGGTCATGTTCCTATAACAAAATATTTTTTGCTATACCTTATTTTGTTTTGTTGTGCTTTATATATTTTGGAAATAAAATAAAATAAATATATATTAGATGAAATTTAAGTAAGTATTCTGTTTCTAAGAAATAGACAAACAATGTGACAATGTATCAAGTATGCAGAAACATCTTACTTGGTTATTACCACTGGCTAATAATTATAAAAAAAATAACAAATTTATATATTAAATAACATCCAAAACTTTCTACAAAAATCTATCACTTAAACTAAATGCTTTAAAATTTAATGAAACATACTCTTTCAAAATCATCCCTATTGGACATATAACCCAACTGTGTTGCTTCTTCTGTTGTGATGGCAAGAGGTGGAAGCCGTGACACTGCACTTGGACCAAGTGGTCCTTCGTCTCTCTCTGCACAGTGTAGTGATGGGCGAGATGTGCTCTCCACATTGCCCCATGTAGCCCGTCCAATGCTACCCTCCAAGTACCTCGTGATATATTCATCTTTGGCCTCTAAAAATTTAATAATATTTATGTTAGTCAGATATAATAAGTTACCTAAAGTACTAAAACAACATAACCAACCAACCAACTCCTTTATCTGCAAATATGCTTATATTTGGGCCATTTTGTGTTACTGGCCAAGCTAGGATGCACATTTAACATTCAACTTGAATTTATAATATTATTATGATTTCTTGTGTACGAAAACATTCAATAGATTATTTGTAGAAAGCATAAACAAATATCTTTTTAGTTGTTATTTTAATTTGCATAATATGTCTTACCTTCTGGAGTTCGTGTTTCAATATGTTTGGCAATATCCTCCCAGTTTCCGAAACCAAATTGTTCAATTGCATCTAACAGTCTAACTTCTTCATTTGCAGACCAACTGCTGCGTCCCAAAAATATACCAAAGGCACCAGAGTCCTAAAATACCACACATTACAATTTAGAAAAGAATGTATAATTTTATATTATTTAATACTCAAATTCTCATTTTACATACCATAAACTGATATGAGTGATCATTTTTATGTGATCCTATTTCAGCACCGAAGGAAAAACACTGAAAATAGAAAAATATACAATTTAAATTTTGCGCCAAAGTAGTAAACAAAAATGGCCGCTACAATAGTGTACCTGCAAGCAGATATCAAATTCTAAACACTCAGCACATCTTATACGGACTCCATTTATTTCCTCTTGACAATATGTACAATTATATTTAGCATATAAATCTGAAAACGACATTGCAATTACGTTGATTAAAATATCTATTTCACACGTAGACACTTCGCAAAAAATTCATGAAGAACAAAAATCATCAGTCATTTTTTGACACTGTATGTGACCATAGTGTAGAGGCGCAAAAATTGTTTATGTACTATGTTGCCAGTGACCATTTGGCTTTCCCCGATTTTCAATGTTATAGATAATCCTAAAATACTAAAGAAAGATCCGCATCCGGTATGAAAAAGTCTGATATAGTATAACGTAACATAACAGTTCTATTATCATTATAATTCGACTTGGTGTTCGAGAAACCGATGACATCTATTTTAGGTCGCGTTGTATAGAGAGTATTACAGTCTTGTCATTATAATATATTGAAAATCAATTTACATTTTGAATTATATACATATGTAAGGTATAATTTTACAATTACCACTGTTCCACATAAATAGTTCATTATATTTTATTTTTATTCAGCGTTTACTTTAGCCATATTAAATTTTTCCTAAACCGTATATTTTATTTTCAGTTATAAATCTAACCCACTTCAATACCATAATATTTACTTTGCTTTTTCTCATGGCAAATAATTAGGTACGTAACATCTTTAGCTAATACTTGATATGTAATAAAAGATTCATTACCACGTATGACGGTGTAAAAAAAGATTTTACTACTATTTTTATTTTTTTATGCTACTGATGCGCCAGGCGCTTGAATTATAGGTACGTATTTTAAAACAACAACAAAAAATACTCTGTATACTTCAACGTTATACGTCAACTTAATATGTCTATTCTCTGAAATGACATTTCTTCGTCTGTCTGATCTGTGTATTGTGTACTTGACTGACGATTGTGACAAAACAATTCGATTGCAATTTTACGAATTACTAAAATATTATAGGTACTTTAAATTAATTACACCTTTCTTTGTTGCCTCATTGCGTTCTTACTCACTGCTATATAACAGTTTTTGTTATTTTTTCTTCTTCGAGGACTTACGTGTTGTTCACTTAATATTACTGATCGTAAGAACTGACCTTGTATTTATTGGATGTTATAAACTTAATGTGTAAGACTCTACAGAAATTAAAGCTTATGGTGTTTGTAATGCGATAGTTTTGATAAAAAATCTCATACGATATCAAATAAAATGAAATCTAGCAAACGAAGACTTCAGGCACTCACGGAGGGCACCGATGGCTTACCTAATTACCTTAAAATGGAAGATTCTGAAACGTCAATTCCGCCAGTTTTTAGATCTAGATTGCACGATTTATTCTCTCAGATAGAAAAAGAATTTGACCTTCTGTATACTGAGAATCTCAATTGTAAGTAAACATTTGTTATTACTTTGACCAATCATTATATGTTTATTATGTTCCCTTATCTTATGGCCTTCCCTTATCATATGTTCTAACTGAAAAATCTTGTATATGCCAAACTTTTCAATCAATGCTTTAATATACCTAAGAAATTGACTTATAGATATAATTACATTATTTTTCATGTATGTCATTTTTGTCATATAATCTTGTCTTCTGTTTAGTTAGGCTAAATATTTCAGTTCAGAAGGACTTACAAGAAATTCAACATTTGTGCAATATACAAATGCTACATTTGTATACATACTGCATTCACATAATAATGATTGTTAAGTAACAACTATTTCATGCTGTTCACAGTTTTAGGAAAATGCTAAAAATATGCTGAGTAACTTTAAAGTATTATTTAAATTATTTTATGGTTAAAGTTGCCAATTAACTGGCACCTACTTCTAGTCAACATGTTTTATAGCTAAAAATATTTTTTCAGTACATAATAATTTTCTTCTATAGAAATAATCTTTATTGAAAGAAACATTCAAAATGCATATTCAAATAACAAGAATGGGCTTGTACAATTTTATTAAAACAACAGATGACATTATAATATTGATGTTGATAATAAAGGATGATGATAATGCCATACAATATTTTTCCTTCATTCTCCAGTTTTATATTCAATTTTGTAAAAATTATATACTTTATTATAAAACATTTTATACATCAGATATACCTACAACTTATTTTCACTAAAATTTTAAATAAAATATATAAAATATAAAATAATATTTAGTAATATTTTATTATTTCCAAATGCAGTACAGGAGAAGATTGATATTCTAAGTGAAAAATTGGAAAGAGAAAGTTATGTGGGAGACCGTCAAAATTTAGATTACATAGAATTTGAAACTACAGGAAAAAATACCAAAGGAAAGTGTAAGTATTCTTATTTATACAAAAACAAAAAATAAAGTCAAATTGTTCTTTCTTTACAACAATGTTTATTATGAAACTCTTATCTATATAATGTCTTTTGTGTAAGTTACTATAATCATATGTTTATTTCAGTTCAAATTTTTTATGCAAACAATAATATTTGTTCTGTTCAATAATAAAAACATTACTATACTATGCTATCTATTTATGTTAATTTTGAAATAATACCCTGATTTTATTTGGCTTAATTTAATAAATTAAATCACTTACAAGCTTTTATTTTCAATGTTTGTATGGGTCATATATGGCAAATGAACTTTAGAACAGATGACCGTAACCAATTGCTCTGTAATATCATACCTAGTTTAAATGGTAATGTATTGTTAGTTAAATTGTCAAATAATAGGGTTTGCTGAGACAATAGAAATAAAATTAAGAGAAATAATATTATATCACCACCACTTTAAATAACTACAAAAGTACTTAATATAAAATATTTATTAAATAAATTTATAATAACTGGAAGGAAGGGGATTATTAGGAGTGGGGACTAATAACCTCATTGCTAGTAACATACCCTCTCAGGTTGACCCTGGAAACCATTGTGATAAATTCATGGTGAATTTACCATGATGAGCTAACCAATCTGACATCTTATCATTCTCCACTGGTGCCCCGCCTGCCATTCCATCCGTAAGAAATTATACAAACTTTTTTTAGTGTCACAAAGCAATTCTCAGAAAGTAAAGGCAAGCCACAAATTGCGAGTGCAGACTAGTAAGATAGTATCCAGTTTCAAAGCACCCACATACAATTGCCAGTTGATTAGAGAATTCACTGGACACAAAGATGGTATTTGGGATGTGACATCTGCTCGACCAGGCCAAGCTCTTATTGGAACTGCATCTGCTGGTAAGTTGTTTTTCTCTTATATTATACCAGGATAACATATCTCTGTTTCATGTTTTTAAAGATTCTACATAAAAACATGCAAATCATTGTTGTATTTTGCATCAAATCTTGTAACATGCATAATGAGATTTCAGAATTGGTGTTTGGTGCTATAAAGTTTTTTTATGCTTCAGACATATGATTTTTTTATATATTTATATAATAGTATTTTTATAGAGGTTATGTGTCAGAATATATCAGTGGAATTTCTTACTGGATCTTCACAGCAGAAACTGTAAAAACATGATGTCCATAAGAGGCTGAAACTTTAGCATTAGTATCAAAATTATAGTATAGAACATTATTTGTTAATTTTCTATAATTAAAAATTAAACCAATAATTTTGTTTTAGATCACACAGCTTGTGTATGGAGCGTAGAATGGGGAAAGTGTCTTCTGCAGTATACGGGCCATCTGGGGTCAGTCAACTCAATCAGATTCCACCCAACGCGAGATATAGCTCTTACAAGTAGTGGAGACAATACTGCTCATGTCTGGCAGGCTGCTGTGAACTGGGATCTGCCAGTGAGTTTTAATATTTACCACAAAACAATTAAACACATAAAATAATTATCCTAATTTTATACTAGGGCACTGTAGTAGAGACTACAGGTAATACAAGGTTGCAGTCTATCAATAATGTCACAAAAATATGATAAAACAGTAGTATATATATGACATCAAGCTTTTTGAAATAATGGGGCCCTTTTGGTTTTCGGCATATTTTAGCCGAATTTTAGGCATTATTGTGTCAACATTTTATTTACTACTATTCTATCACAAAATTTAATAAGTTCACTTTAATAATTACTTACACAGAGTTCTCCATCTACCAATGATATCAAAGCATTGGGTAGTTTATCTCTTTATTGTAAAAATAATCATCAAAAATTAATAATCATCGTAATTCCTAATATATCAAGTAATTTGGTTATTTTATTACTAGCGTGGACAATCTTCTGAAGAGGAGCTCGAGGGTGGCGGCGAAGAGAGTCTTGGTGAAGGTGGCGACCGACCTGAAGTGCTCCGTACTCCTCTTACTGAGCTTAGTGGACACCTTGGTGTAGTGGTAGCTGCAGATTGGCTCACTGGTGGTGACCACGTCATCACAGCTTCGTGGGACAGAACAGCCAACTTATATGATGTTGAGACGGGAGACTGTTTACAGGTTCTAACAGGTATACGAAATAAGTACTCATAATAATATGGTACAAACACTTGAAATTTTTTCAATAGTTGATTTTACCAAGGTGGATATTGTACTAAATTGTCTGCATGGGTTTCACTATTTCAATTCTTTTAGCTGCCGAGTAGCTTGTTTTATAAGATGTACTTACATATGTGGTTTTATGGGCTACATATTATTTATTGTATTATGGTGTTACATGATGACAATATGTCAATGATGCTGTTTATGTATATAGACGACCCCTTACCATTAGGTGGGCTGTCTTGTTTGCTATTGCAATTATATAAAATAAAGTTTGACGACCTCGGTAGTCTAGCGGTCTAGCACACCGCTTTACGTCCGATGGTCGTGGGTTCGATTCCGCGCACGGCACAAACATTTGTATTCATGAGTATGATTGTTTGTATCGGTCTGGGTATTTTCTATGTATAATAATTATGTATTAACGAAAAAAAAAATCTATGTATTTGTATCAGTTATCTAGTACCCATAACACAAGCTTTAGCTAGCTTAACTTGGGTCTAGATAGCACTATGTGAATTGTCCTGAGATTATTATTATTTTTATTAATTTTAATTCTTTTGTAACAAAAAATACCTAACCTACCACTTTTTAATAAAGAAGCCAGCATTAGAACTTTAGTAAATGTACCATAAATACATAACGCAAAGCAGAATTGTCTCCATTCAGTGATGAAATCTCGGCTAATATTATATAACATATGCATCAGATTATTTTAGATCAGCACAATGACCGATAGTGGATAGGAGCAGTGGGTTTATTGCCAAAAGTACCATCATAATAATTTTAAAGAGTGTTTAATTGTTACCAGGTCACGACCACGAGCTTACCCATGCTTCGGCTCATCACAGCTCCCGCCTCGTAGTGACGGCGTCGCGCGACACTACCTTTCGTTTATGGGACTTCCGCGAACCCATACACTCCGTTTCCGTATTTCAAGGACACACTGAGTACGTATCTAAACAAATTATAATATATTCTCACAGGAAAGCGTCATAATGACAAAATGAGCATAATATAATAACAATGTTATTATAAGTATGAACTACTGTTCTTTTGAAAAGAGTGTAATTTTCTTGTCAGTTCATTTTGAGCCGATCTACATTTCGAGTTGATAGAGGATTTGATTTATCTTAAGTATTTGTAATATACCTTTTTGAATAAATATATGACAGGAGTGTTAGTGTTACTACACTAAAATTACACCAAAGATTATATTGAAATCTGACTGACACCAAAACACTATGTGAGTCAATTAATATGTATGCCTAACTGTCCAGTGTCCCAAACTTATAAGTAGACGGCGGTATGCTTGCCCTGTCATTTTGGATTCGAGTATCATCAATAATTATCACAACATCGATATTCGACATTCATCATACAAACATTAATAAATCTTTATATTAATATATACGTGGGCATTCAATAAAATTTCACATAAAATAAATACTTCCTATAATTTATAATTTTATTTACTCTCTGCTTCACAGGAGTGTCACATCAGCAGTATTTACGCGAGAAGATAAAGTAGTTTCCGGTTCCGATGACAGATCTGTGAAGGTAAGAATTTAAACACAAAAGCAGAATGAAACTGGTTAATTTGTGCCGTTTGAAGAACAGTTTATTTGTTGAACTTATTACTGAACTAATTAGTTCCCATATTATTATTACAGTTAAATATACTCAATCTTTAATTACTATAAAGTAAAAGTGCTATTTTCATCACAAGAAGTAACCGGATAATGGTTACTTCTTGTGATGAAAATCTGTAGCTTGGTTTACACTATAGATTTTTGTATAGTTAAATAGCTAGTTGATGATGTCAATTTGCGTAATCAGTACTTCTAACACGCAATTAAATACAAACAATAGCAGTTAGAATGATAATGATTATTTTATTATTTCTAATTACACATTCTTTGGTACATCGCACAAATGCCCTATATGAATCCCGTTTGATTGGCACATTTGAACGGGAGTCGCATTATAGCATTTTGACGGGTCATCAAATGTTTAGAGTTTAGATAATTTTAATATCAATTACTTTAGAAAAACGACGATTTAAAGAGTACTTTACAAATTTCAGGTGTGGGATGTACGCAATATGCGATCAGCTCTAGCAACCATCCGGTCTGACTCCTCAGTGAACCGCGTGGGAGTGAGTAGCGGTGGCCTAATTGCCATCCCACATGATAACCGACAAGTTCGTCTCTTCGATCTTCAAGGACAGAGGTTGGCTCGCCTCCCCAGATCCAGTCGACAAGTAAGAATCGATGTTATTGATATTTTTAAAACTAGAAATAATTACCAGAATAAGCTATAGTGTTGGATAACCCAATAATCGGAAAAAATATGACATAGACGAAGTTGTGCGAGTCAGCTAATATTACACAAAAAGCATTTACGAAACGCCGTCCACGAAAAATACGTGTTAATCTAGAATAATTCTTGAAAAGGAATTCGTGAAATATTTTTACGAGAACAAGCAAACATTCGATTACATGAATGTTTGCTTGTTCTCATAAATTTTCGATTTTACCTACATTATTTTAGAGTACAGTAAATTGGTTCTATACTTTTATTGTATTATCTATAAAGGGCCATCGGCGTATGGTGACATCTGTGGCGTGGGCAGAAGACACACTGTCCAGCATAAACTTCTACAGCTGTGGCTTCGACCGGCGCATTCTTGGCTGGTCCATCCAGCCTTCCAAAGAGAACTGAACGGTTTCTCCATGAAGCAATATAAATGGGGTCTTGCTTCATCGATACCGAGGTACTTCCAGGTTATGGTGAGTCATCATTAACATACTATGTGGATCTTATATCAATATTATTGCTCACTAGAGCAGCATACTGTCTTCTTACATATACAGGATCTCCACATTCTATGTGTCCTACTTATTGAACTAAGTTATGTGTCACTTTTTAATTGATACCTATATAAGTGATTTTTTTTTTATTTGTGAAAAATTGTTAATTATAGATTTGAACAACAGATATGATAGAATTAAGTACATAGAAAAGTTCACAAGGATGTCTCAATCTAACCTACTGACTTAAAATAAATTGTACCTTTAATTTGGGATATGGAATTGTATAATGGTATTCAAAATTGTTATTATAATAATTTTGGACTTTTCATATTGTAACCTACTCGAATATGTACTCTTCTAATTATATCTATTGACACGAACATATTAAATTGGTGTATTAAAATATAATAATTCCAAAACAAATATTTTCCAACTTTGTGCACTTTACATATAATAACAACATTGTACATACTTTATTATTTGGCCACAGTGTCAAATATAGAAAATAAACGAAATGTCAGCAAAAATACCTCAACTATCAAGCACAATTAGTTAGTTATAAAATATTCATAAATGGTCCTTAAAATATATAGGCCATGTAAACTTATCGTCTGTTCCCAATTAGTTGACTAAAACAGTTATGGTGTTTTCCTACTTCTTTAATTTTAAATTACACAAGTTATTGCATATGCCTTATATATTTGTTAAGAACTCAAAGTATTTGAATTTTGTATATCATTTCATTCCTAATTTATTTATGTAAGTTGGATACAAATCATGTTAATATTGTACTTTGCTTTTGTAATAGAATTTAGAACCTGCTTTTATACACGGCATATTTAGTAAGTAATCTTATGTGATTTTTATTGTCTAAACAATGCATAAATGAACAAACTAGGTCTTGTTTTCTATAGGATAGATTCGATTTCAATAAAAAGTACTAAAATGTTTATTATGTATGCTTAAAATAATATTGAATATGAGTTACTCTTTTCTCTAAGTAGTGAATGTGATACATAGTGTTATGTTGCATGAAATATAAAATAATACATTTATTCACTTTGAATCCTTTTTAGGACTATAGTGAAATATTGATTTTAAGTTCTATGCACAAAAAGTATATTATTGTATATTGTATTATTCTGAATAATTTTATTTCTGCAAGTGTTTCCATTATTATTGTTGTTAGATTTAGTACTTTATTTGTTAGCCCCTATTGTATAACTTTGTGTATCGAATTCATTCTTTATCATGATTGCGAAATATATTTGCTTATCTTTGATATTGGTAAGTACGAACAGCGCCTACATTATATTTGTTTTTTACTTGACATATTTAGTAATCAATGTTGTTGTCTTCACACATATCACAAAATTGTTTTACGTATTTATTTATGTAAATTCTTTTTGCATAAAATCAAATTCTAAATTCGTTAATTAAATATGTTAAATAGAAAAACAAACATTACAGACACAAGAAAAGAATGACGATTAATTAACGCGTGGCAAATAAACGAAATGCCTCATATTTTTGGTAGTGTATTTCTATCATGCAAAAAAATGACAACTTGTGAAAATATTTACAGTCTTTAGTAATGTAATAATTAAAGGCATTGAGAATCAATTTCTATTTTTTTTACTGCAAATTATTATAAAATTTGGTACCGGAAATCATAAGCATGTAATAATATCATAAACTTATTACTGTTTAGAAAATAATATTTACTATAGGAAACGTTGAAATCAATGGAGGAAAGGTCGAAAATGTCACAAACGATTGTTGTTTTCGTAGATGACTCTGGTGGATATTCATTACTTGTCAATATGATAATTTTCTTTATTCAATATATAGATGCGACTTCGTTAAAATTTTATTATATTGTAATTTAGGTTACTTTATGCGTCCAATATATAATTAAGATATGTAAAAAAAATGTAATGTAACGGTCGTTTGCGTAGTAATAGGAATAATTCAGGCCAAGAGCTATTTATTGCATACTTATTTTTAAACTTTCGCGTTTAATACACATTATTAATATAGTTAAACGGGTTTTAACACAAATTATTTCATGGGATATTTATGGCAGTATTTACCTCTCTCGACGATTCGACTAGGCTAGTGAAACCTAGATTTACTATAGTAATACATTGCAGAATAGAAATATTATTATATTCTTGTGAACATATATTCCGTCGAGTATAAATAACTGAGCACAGCTAATATTTTTATTAATGGGTTCTTATTTGGCACGTGCATTAGTTTATACGCAAGTTTTACTTGCCTGATTGCTATAGAGGTTAGTATTTTTCGAGTATATATGTCCAGATATTTGGCGCAACGAGAAATCATTAGAATTCAAATGTTAATTAATATAGATTATATTTATGTCGATGTGTAATGTTATCATACATGTAGGTAACTCGATTTCGACTGATTGATCATTATTTTATAATTGTCTGTTATTGTTTGCTTTATTATCTAAATTCTTATTATAAAACTGATAAGTTTTTCTGGTTGAATGCGCTAATCTCATTATTCAATCATCGAACTTCCGGTTCGTTAAGTATAACAATTTGCTCTCCGACTAATAGGAACGGATCATAAATGAACAATGTTGTATAAGGGAGGAAAAATTATTACTTTTAAGAGCTTCCGTTGCTTCTCTCTTATGTGATACAAAATTAAGTTGCACGGGTCGGATAGTATAGGTACTTACAAACAATGTGGTGGGTTAAACTTGTTTTATGAGTAAAATTATTTATGAATAGTATTAGAACTGAAATCAGGTATAAACTGTGTATTAGGCTTTTAATTCGAGTGGCGGGGTAGAAATATAAAATACATATTATATTTCGTATGTGTGTATATTTAAAGGAATTAAGATTTTATTATTATAATTAGACTTTATTTAATAATAGTGGTGCTGGACAAATTTATCTGGCATCATTAACACTTGTTAGTAAAATATATATTGTTTAAATTTGGCCATTGTTGTTATATATATATATAATTATATCTTGACGTAGCTCTTAGACGAAACCCTTTTGTGGATCCAGGTCTTTTTCTAAACTACATTTTAATTATATCAGGATAATTCAGTAATATCGAAAAATCTTATTGTCTTTATTCTAAGTCTAGATACAGGTATAGAAGACATTTAAATTGCATTTTACAAAATCTTTAATTGTGATGAAAACTAGAAATTAAACTATTGCTTGCAAAAAGAATGATTCAGAAAGATCTTACTTATAATTTTTCAACAAAGTTAAATAAAACTGTTGAAAAATTTATAGTTTGTTGTGATCTATAAATAGTTTTATGAAAATGTACATTTATTGAAATGTAAACTTTACTAAATTGAAATTGAAATATCAGTCAGAAATAAGTTATAATTGTGCCAAATTCCTTAATTTTGCTTTCCTCGTTAATTTGAATGTCAATCCAGTTATTGAGATAGACAAATTGTAAAGCTATAGTTTTATCATCTATACTGATTAAAACTACTGCTTTGTCATTTGTTCAGAAATCCGTGCTTAACAATATTTAACAATATTTATGTAATTTGTAAAAAATGCTTAGTAAATACTGATGTAACTGAAATAAGATTTCGGATAAGCTTTGAAAATATTTGAATTCTAGTCTGAGATAATTTGAAATTATGGTTTGTTGTTTGTTCTACAGAATGACACAAATTAAGGTACCCTAATTTGTGTCAATACACAAATTTATTATTTATAATTGGTTTGATTGTATAATTCGTACAAATCCAAAATTAACATAATTGTGATTAATATTACAGCATAAACTTTGTGAGACTTTATATTTACAAAAACCTATAACAGGTCTGTCCATCATGGCAATAGTAACCTTAATATTCCACATGTAAGAATATATCCAGTCCGATAATGAGAGTATGATTAGAATGTAAACCATTTTGATGACGACACAGTGTAAATGCTACGACAACTCATGATTGCTGATTATTAAGACTCAGGTGATATAGGAATGCAGACTATGTAACCGTCCGGCAGGATATTTACTTTCATAGTATTAATTTTAACTAAAAATTGTTTCTCTGCCATGTATGTAAGCTTCCATAAATTGCTTATTGTAATGTGTCAGAAATAATATTTTATTATAATGTTAAATGTAGAACAAATTGATTTAAACCTAAATGTCTATTGCGATATGCAGCGTCACGAACGAAATAGTATCTAGATGTTCATAAACTTGAATGTTTTAAAAATGCAAGTAAAAAACATAAAGAAATTGCTATAAATATGTGTGAAATAAACCTTGAATTGATAGGTTAATGGTTAAAAATAGATAAAACATCGAATATAATTATGTTATCTATTCGATTTTGATCCCTAATTGATCCAATTAAAAGTAAAACCGCAGATCGCATTTGCCAAATGTTCGGTTGATCTATTTTAAAAAAATAATGTAATAAATAAGAGTTTTGAATACCGTTCTATTTGTTTGAACATATGTAAGGCAAAACAGAGTATATCTAATACAATTTCAGTTAATTGTAGATTCCTCCTAAGTATTTATTCTTTTTTCTAGTCAACTTTAATGTTTTGTTTCAATAACTATAATTTCTTTTCTAATAGATTTTTAAAGATACTTGGAAATATTGTAAATTATGAAATATAGTAATGTGAACACATAATCATTATACGATAATTGTCTATTACTGTCTAAGTAGTTAGTAATCAGAATGCATAATATTGTATATGATATGCAAAAGATGTGTAAATTATAAACTTTGATTAAAATAAATTACAATTTTAAGTTGCAATTTTACACAGGGCAATGAAATTACAAGAACATTGGTTTTTACTAGTATGAGAAGAAATATTTAGACGAGGATTATTTCGTATCGATTGTCTAGTAAATATCTATATAAGTCGTCAGAAGACCACTATCAGTATTTGGGGCTGCATGCTTACAGTTGATACAAGATCTATCCGTTAAGCTATTGCGCTAATTTTAAACGAATTTTTTTGTCCCATAATTAAGATCTTAAATTGTGTATCTTCGAATTTAACAAATTCTATCATGTCCAAAAAAAAGTCCGAGTAATCATTTGTAATGGAGATATTATTCATTTAGCAATCGAACTTGATCAACTAAAGGATAATTTGACCAAACTAATCTACAAACCCCTGTATTATTGGGGTTTACGTGTTTTTTTAAGTAGATCTATTTGACTATTAAGAAATATCAATATCTACTTTAATTTTAGCTTTATTTTAATCAAAGTATATGATAATATTTTATCAGTTGTTGAATATGACATGAAAGCGATCTGAATATTTTTGTTATGCCAGTTATGGTACGAAATATATTATAGATGGTGAAATATTAATATTTTGCTTTTATTTTGATTACCTATAGCGGCCTACAAATAACTTGGGTACTATTTAAATAATAATAAATAACTGATATATGTGACGTTAAGTATATTAGATATTATTCAAGTTGTTTGTTCCTGTTCTTACCCTATTTCAAATTTATATTAATTAAATAATATTTAGGTAATCAAGGGTAGGTATACCAATAGTAAAAAAAAACTTAAAGACTAAAACCATGTAATACGTGTATTGCATAAGCAATACACGTATTTCAACGATTTAGTTTAGCATGGTTTTAGTCAACGACCAGAATTCAAATTCTGTTAAGTTGTATAGAAGTTATGAGGTTATATTGAACATAAGTTCTATACTAGTCAAAATTACAACTATCTGATTCAATATTAGTAGGGTGAAAATATGGTGCATGTATAAACAATAGATACATATAATATGGGTCAATATTGTGTCCGATACATTATAAATAGCCTGAATTAAAAAGGTGTAACTTACACCATAATCGTTTTCAAAGTTAATATATTATAGTTTGGTTTAATTAAATTCAAAATTAATGTAAAACAATATTACTAGTGTTTGGCCCATATCATCCAGTATTATGCCTTATTTATTGTCAAAAACTACTACGACAGGTGGTCTCTATCGTGATTAATTGTAAATGAAATCGCTGCGATGATCTAACTGATCTGATTTTATGCTCACTCTATAATACCCCAGCGGACACCAAAGAATAAAGTAAGTATCCGATAGGACAGGTAAGACAATTCCATTGTCATCCATTAAAATATATGTATATGTATTATAAGATTGTCATATTACATATTATTATGATCGCCTCAGAAGAACTCAACTTCATTTTCAGTTTTTTTTTTATTATTACAGTGGAAATAAATAAATATAATTTTATATTTACGGTTATTACAAATTCTTTCATGTTTTTTTGAAAAATATACGAAATAAGGATAATATCTATTTGGGATTACTTACCTAGAAAAAAAATTAAACTGAGACCAAGATTATCAACAGAACTAGTTCAAATTTCACATTTAAAATACGTAGTAATATACAATATATAGAAATAAATAAAACCGGGTTGGTTTACCCTAACGTAAAGCTGGTCAAAACCCCTTCAAGGGGAAACCGAGACCTACGGGTCCGTTCCGGGCTTCACAATCATATTCGCTCATGAATATTGGTAAACATACCTGTTGGCAAATGCCTCTCATTCCAAACCACAAAATATAAAAAAAAAAATTTACTTGACAAGTACAAGTGCTTTTTCCGTTTGTTGTGTTCAATTTTATTGATATTCCCAGAAAAACAGAGAATATAACATTAAAAACTTTGTTAGATGTATATCTTCATGATTATTTTTAAAAAGTGACTGATTAATATTTTTTACAATGGATGAGTTGCGTGCTTTTTTAAATAATCCATGCCCGTCTAGCTCTCAAGTGATCAAACTTCGAGGTCCTATGACTGGAGGCCTTAGAATTACGAAGGAAGATGACATAAATGTAATGAATAGAAAGGAGGAACATCGTCGGACTATGGTCATGAGTGGCACCGATTACGCTAGAGAGGTTAAAGAACGCGAAACCGAACTTTATCTTAAGGTAAACAAACTATAGTAAACTTGTACAATTACAACGTTATAACTTTTGTAATTAAAAATGCTCTCATAATACAATAATTTATTTATTATCATTGTTATCTTATAATAATCACATGTAACACTATGTGTGATTGTTATGAGCCTAAATCTTGTAATGATAAATCTAGGTTTTTAATTTTAATTTTTTTATTGAAACTAACCCACTGACTAAAATGATCATATATTTAAACATTTTTATTTGAAATTTAGGAATAATACTTGTGCTGTATGTCGTGTTGTATGTTCAGCTCTATTTTCCATATTTAGCCTCTCATTTCTTAACTGTTTAGTCTTGCTGAGTAAGAAGAACTTCAGAGAATTTATAAATATAATGACCATTGTGGTCTATAGATTTAATATGTCACTTTATTTATGATGGTTGTTGCTTCTGTGTACTCACACAATGCAAACATTGTATTCATAAGTATGAGTACAGTGGACCTGCGGTAAACCGGCCCCCGTCTTATACTAGTGTATTATATATCAGCTCTGTAGCAAAAACACTGATAATTAAAGAAAAATGTGGTATTTTAGATTGCCTAAATGGTAACAAATCTTTTATTAGTTGACATACATTATGTATGTCAACTAATAAAAGAGTATGATTTGCACTTCTGAGTGTATATGTATACATACATATATAACATAGAATCTTATCACTGGATCTTTAATTTGTTGGATTACTTTTGTAAAAAATTCCAGACTATAGGGGACCCTTTAGATAGTACACTATAATCCATAAAATTCGATGGTTTGACACTGCTCTGCAAAATGTTTGTCGGATAACGGGGGGTCCACTATATTTGAATTAATCTGTGTGTTAATGTAAATAAACACTGTCCAATTCAAATGGTGTATTAGTATACCAGTGACATTATTATTTTATATAAACAAAAAATAAAATGTATTTGAGTATTTATAACAATAATTTAGTACCCATAACACAATCTCTACCTATCATAGAACTAGAAGGATAGGCAGTATGTGAACTGTACTGGTTTTCTATAATAATTTTGTTAGACTTATAAAATGCTAGCTTTACCCACAATGCAGCCTACATGGCATGTAACCTGTACCATTTATAATAATGTTCCTCCATGAAGGTAGATTTATTCTTACAGATTACTCAATTATTGGTTGAGCATTTCAATAAATAAATAAGTCAGTTCTCTTTATGATATTAGTATAGATTGCAGAGCAGTAGAGATGGCAATAGTAGGTGGTAAGAATGAAACTCTACACAATTGTGAATGTATAATTTTTAAATGGATTGTAATTTTAAATATTTAGAATGAAACAGAACGAGAAAAATGGCAAAGCATATCTGGGGGGCTGGAGTCATTGGAACATCTCTCAACATTTGGAACCTCTGTTCAAAATTTAGGTGAACTTACAGAAGAAGCTATGACTGAAGTTTATAACAAGTATTCCTTTCAAATGAAGGAAGGCACTAACAACCTAGCCATTGATGAATATAAGCAGCAGGTATTTGTACATATATTTTTATTGAACTTAAAAAAGTACACTAAATAAAATTTTATATTTAGGTTATTTAGGAACTATTCCATACAGGTGATAGTGGAACTGTATGGAATCTTTCCTAAATATCTATCAAGAGTCTAGATTATACAAAATTGTATTATATTTCATCAACCAAGTTCAGGTTTCTTATTATTTAGTTATATTATTTATTTATCATATATATTCTGTTACTTTACTGCAATTTGCGCAGGAGGCTAGGGTGGAAGTGTGTAACAGGAATCCAGGGAAGCACATACTTATTCATTTGCTCAATGAGCACATGCCATGGTTGAGTAGGCTGTCAAATGGTACTAACACTGCATCTGGGCATAGAGTTTACAAGATCCATTAGTCGCCATACAGTCTGTATTATTGTTATATTTGGTGTATCAACTGTATTCTTCATCTTTTTCTTCCATAATAATTGTTATTGGTCTCATTTTATTTTTTTTGTACCCTCCATCCTTATCATGACTGGTGACAAAACTTATCCTTGTGGCTGCATGCACACACATAGGTGTTAATGGAATTGAAGTCCTATGCCATTTAACTGGTCTGTGTATTGGTGAGCAAGAGCAAAACCATTGGATTAAGCAAAGGTTTTTGACAGAATTGCATCCTCATGTTTCCATATAGTTCCAATAAACATCTCTTTACTAAAAATAAAAAACAAACAGTACTTCTTTTAAGCTTCAGTAAATGTTTAAAGTTATATGGAATACTCCGTATCTACATATTAGTTGAGGAGAGGAAAACAAAATTAAATCCAGTAATTTCCCATGCCAAAAGAGGCAAATATGTGGTTGCTATATATCATTGTATATTTGACATATATTTTCAGATTCTAGACAGAATATCTGGTTATCCAGTAGTTATTATAGAAGGTCCAACTGGATGTGGGAAGACAACACAAGTACCTCAGTGGATTTTGGATGATTGTTATCAAAAACGAAAACCTTGCAAAATAATGGTAACCCAGCCAAGGCGAATTGCAGCTATATCTATAGCCAAACGAGTAGCTCAGGAGCGAGGCTGGGATGTTGGAGGTTTAGTGGGATACCAGGTAATTGCCAAAATCAATAATTATATTTTTATTTTATTATGTCTTGAGATCTAGTGATTTATTAATTACCATTATTTACTTAATACCAACAGAATGTGAATTAAAATCGGGCTGACAAAAAAGAATTGTGGGACATTTTATATTTCGTACTTAATCTCCGGTAATGGAAACATCTTTAACACGTATTAATTCGAGAGAAAAAATGTAGTATGTAGGTATGTTAACTGGTGCGTATATAACGTCCCGACATTTTTATTTATTTATTTAAAATAAATAAATAAACTCCCGACATTGTCAATGATATCTCTGACTCATCTTCATAACCTCTCCTCATCTGGGCTACAGTTGTGAAGGATAATTATATTTATTTTTAATTTTGTAACAACTTTGTATTTTAGGTGGGACTAGAAAACAGAACAACAAATGATACTCGTATACATTATGTTACTACCGGCGTACTGCTTCAGAAGTTAGGTAAGGTGTTTCATAATTTTCTAGCAATATTTCTATATTTTATGCTAATTTAGAAGTGAAGATAGGGTCTGATCCATTGATAATAGTCCTTAGTAATAAATATTTTGTAAAGACACCATATATAATATGCTTGACTAAGTTTAAAGTATTCAATAATAATTTCATTTCAGTGGGCGCAAAAAATATGAATCAATACACACACATTATTCTTGACGAAGTTCATGAGCGTGGACAAGAGATGGATTTCCTCCTGCTAGTAGTCAAAAAGCTACTGTATACAGTATCTCCAGGAGTCAAAGTGGTGCTCATGTCAGCCACATTTAATAGGAAGGCTTTCACGGACTACTTTCTTATACCTACACCTCGAGGACTGCAGATGTCATCAGGTGTCAAAGTTGTGAAGAAAGAACCGATGTTTACAGTCAAGACATTTTATTTAAATCATTTAAATAAATTTGGTTCCGTAAGTATATTTAAATTCTATAAATTAAAATCTTCATTCTTTACCTTTAAGTATTATAAAACTAAGTAGTTGTTGTCGGCTGTCTGTTTCTTTGTTTACTTCTAAATCATATTTTGATAAATTTTCGTCATCATTTCAAGATTTATTTCTGAAAGGTTTATATATCTGTGTAATAAATTTTACTTCTATGGTATTTCTTACATAGTTTGTTAGTTTAATTATAGATTTTACCCATCTTGTTCCATGAATTTCAAAAGAAGGACTTTTGTGACATTAAAAAAAAACTTTATTGTATTAACTGTTAATGACAGACTGCAAACTACATAGAACAGAATCTATTTTGATATAACTCTAATTCCTTAGTTATATTAAAATTTTCTTCGAACACTAAATGTGAATATGTTTAAACCAAATATTATAGTAAATTTAAATCTCCATTAGATACTTGACTTGTCAAGACCAAAAAGAGAGGAACCAGGCATAGTCACAGAGATGTATCACTTGGTCATAAAGTTGGTTAATGCATTTGAACATATTGACAAACAAGAGGACACCTATGAAGATCGTTCTGAAGCTGACCTACCTTCAGTTTTAATTTTCTTACCTGGCATAAATGAGATAGAAGATCTATACAGTTGTCTAACAGATCTTGCATTAAGGTAATAATCGAATATAATTTTTCTTGTATAGATTATAATTTATTTTAATGAATTTTTTAAGTGGTGAAAATGATATGCTTCACCTGTCTGTGCTACTGTTAGCGGGACACCAGTAGAACATTCTAGGATCAAGCATTTATATTAAGAAATTACAAAAAATTCTCTCTTCATCTTAGATTATTATTTAACAATATTTTTACTGTATTTAATAAAACAAATCTGGCCGACCCTTGCAGCATTTGTATATATATATTGGGAATAAATTTTCCCTGATTATACAACATTTTTCATTGATCCACTCAGATTAGTCTGAGTGTAAATTTATGTATGTACTTATAGAACTCACAGTTCCTGAAATTAGCACACTTTACCAGTAAAACTCTTCAGCTTTATAATAATTATTCTCATATAAAACTAATAATAATTTCTTTTGTGATTGAGATTCACGAAAAAGGTACTAAGGGTACATGGACGAAATCCTCAAACAGTACATACCTTTCTCTTGTTTATTTAGAAAAAAAATAGTAGACGCGCAGTGTGCTTCGTACAAGTGGTGGGTGCTGCCGCTGCACTCGACCATCACTGCAGATGAACAGGTTCGTGTGTTCCAACGCGCGCCGCCAGGGCACCGCAAGATCATCCTCTCCACCAATATTGCCGAGAGCTCCATCACAGTGCCAGATATTAAATACGGTACTATAATTATTTTTATATTATTGGAATAGCAAACAACCTGATGCTAAATGGTAATATAAACAAGAGCACTACGGATATTGATACTGATCTTGCATTGAAAATCCAAGTGTCACGCCCAGTGCTGGATTAACCTAATGGTAATTGTAGAAAATACTACTGGCTCTATGCTCTCACTTTTATCTGAACACAATACCAAGAAGAAATAGAACTATTTTAAAAGTTTTCTCCTTCCGCCTGATGCTGACGTTAACAGACACAAACTACCCTCTGGCCCAGGACAAATCAGAGTATAATAAAAGTAGTTTGCTACAGTCCCCGCATTGGCTTAATTCGACATTGCTCATGCCTCTTATTATATGACTTCACTGCCTTACCTACAAAACAGCATCAAAGTAAATTACTTGGCGGCTTAAATAGGCGAGACTGAAGTGCCCACGTAGATGACTTTTTATGAAGTCAAACCAATTGCTTTGGATTGTATTACATTGATTGAACTCGAAATTTCTGTAACAGTGTTCAGCCAAACCACTGTCTGAAGATATATACCATGAAACCATATGTATATTTATTAAAGTTTTATATTATATTTAATTTTTATGAACTTATATATTTTGCTTATTTATGTAATTATATGATTTTGTAAGTATATTATTAGTATATATACACATATAATTTTCCGTATTAATATATTTTATATCTCAATACTATCTACTTATTAAATTGCACCGCTATTCAATCTCTGATCAACACGACGGTTGACTGGTAGAGAATGCCAACAGGCATTTAATCCATGTATACAGTTTTGTGTGCAAAAGAATAAATAAATACATTTTTATTATATGTGTAGACTAACAACTTGCTATTTTTAACAGTGGTCGACTTTTGTCTCGTGAAGATGCTAATGGCAGATGAGTACACTAACTTCACATCGCTGCAGCTGCAGTGGGCGTCCAAGACTAACTGTGACCAGCGAGCCGGCCGCGCCGGCAGGGTGCGCGATGGTCGCGTCTACAGACTCGTCACTGATAAGTTCTATGTAAATAACTTACAGTCATAAACAAAATATATTAATGTATCTACTTGAGGCAACTAATGGTCTATATTATAAATATCTTATAGGCTAACGTACATATGAAATATATTAAAATTATTATAAAATGAAAGTATAAATTGTCTCTGCGGTCACGGCACTGTTCACGTCAATCTGCCACGGTAACGCCGTTACACCACCCCTTTCGGCCAGTAGTCGCACTTCAAGAAGGTGGCAGCATGTTTTTACCTACACTGTCTAAGACTGTTGTCTAGATAGAGTAGTTATGTTGTCTAGATAGAAGGCATCTTATTTTATAGTATAAGGGGACAAAGGAAAAGGAAAAAACCTTTTTTTTTTAAGTTTTATTATTGTGTCAGTTTGGAAATACCATTGCTGGAAGGCGATTACACAACGTGGAGTATCGAAATGTAAATGTAATATTGATCTAGAAAACAGACTATTATAGTAGCTAGCTAAGCTTATCCTATAAGTGCAGAAGAATTTGCTACCCCGACTTACGCTTAAAAGATCGTGTATATCAATCAAATGTCAATGCAAAAAAACTTATATTAAATTATAGTTATATTAAACTTTAATTCTGACTAACGGAATGGTCAATAAATTAAAAATTAATATTAGAGCTGACTTTAGACTAGCTTCCCGCCACGTTGAATTCAAATATACATACCAAAATGTAGACACATCATATTGTGTTCGCCCTTCTTCGACAACTGTCAATACATTTCACTAGGACAAATATCCCTATTTGTCCTAGTGAAATGATCTGATAAAATATCGTGATCCTATATTTATTATTATTTCACACAGGAGAATCTCCCGCAAGATTGCCCGCCTGAAATAGTGCGTTGCCCACTGGAGCGGCTTGTACTTCTCGCAAAGATGTTGGACATGGGCCCTCCCAGTGACATCCTCGCGCTCGCTATGGACCCGCCAGACATCTCCAACATACACCGCACGATACTCGTACTTAAAGAGGTAAGGCCGAAACTTCTCAATTAAAAAGAATGTGCTATATAAAGATTGATGTATTTTTAAGCTTTTTATGAATAGTTAAAATTTAATAAAATTTAATAGTAGTAGGTTTTGAAATATGACGTCTCGAAATTGTTGTACGCTGACATGCTTTGTAATGTTTCATTATTTATTAATGGTACACATTTTTTACATTAAATTATACATTTTACACAACGGGCGTTAGAATGAAGTATTCTTAGACATATATTTCTAAAACCTATTAATATACATATGTGCTGATAATTTAAAATTTAAAACTGTCTTCAATTTTGACAAAGTTGATATGGTATATTCCTTCTCAAAAATAATTTTCACTTCGAAATCACACATACAATATGTGTGTTGAAGTTACTTTTTTTTGCATTGTACTAAATAATTTTAACACATTTGAAATCGGTTTCCTTATGAGACATATTAATATTGTTTTAAAGGTTGGAGCATTAAAGAAAAATCTGAATGATAACTGGAGTTCATCTGATGGCGATATTACATACTTGGGTCGCATTATGGCCAAGTTGCCGCTGGATGTTAGGGTTTCAAAATTGATTGTATTGGGATATATCTTTGGATGTTTTGAAGAAACTGTCATTATGGGTAAATAATATACATATATGAGTTTAACTTAGTAACTAGATCAAGAGCTATATTTCTTATTTTGAGACTATGAATTGTTTTTTTTTAAAAAGATTGAAGTTATACACCCTTAATTAAATATAACTTTCTTATAAACACAATACGGTATTATCTAGATAGTGTGTTGCTTCTCTCAATCTCAATTGACCAATTAAAGTTGCGCCACCTATGGCACAACAAATATGACTATGTACTATACATGTACTATACATTACATATATAACTTAATATAACAATAGTACAATACAAAAGAATGTGTCGTATAAATTCAGCTAATCATCTCACTCCCTCAGTCTTGGTTTGATTGTATTTTTAAAAAAGGGAAGAATAAACATTATACTTGTGCAATAGTATGTTCTTTTTAATACAGCGGCAGCTATGTCTGTGAAGAGTTTATTCAGCAGTCCGTTTCGTGAGAGGTTGAATGCCTACAATTCTAAATTGACATGGGCAGACGGTTCGACTAGTGATTGCATTGCGTTTTTAAATGTTTATAAGGTAAGATTTGTCTAGTTTCTATTGTATTATTATAAATTCTGTCAGTTTTTTTATGTATAATGTTCCATTAATCGTACTTAATGTTGGATGTGTATAACACATACATATTTTATGTATGTGTTATACACATCCACTTTTTATACTCAAATATCGTTGTTTATGTATAAAAAGAATAGTTCCGAATGACCTAATATTTATGATTGGATGATGATTTAAAATATAATAATAATAAATGTTTATTTTTCTGTACAGTGTAACTATTAACATGAGTTTAATTAAAGTTTCTATAACAGAAGCTATATTTCATGTCAAATAACTTGCCATATAATATAAAAAAAATTGAAGTACTAAATCTAATATGAATTCAATGTTTCTATTGTTGTTATATATATATGTATAATAATGTATATTTAAAAACTTTGTTATTTATAAAATCTAATCTGTAGGTTTGGAATCATCTGCGTCAACAAAATTTTTTCAAACAACAAGGCAACAATGAAGTGCAATGGGCTCGAAGATTTTACGTACAAGTTCGCGCGCTTAGAGAGCTCGACGACCTGGTGCGAGAGTTGCGTGTTCGATTATCCAGAGAAGGCATTGAACCACTAAAGGGGAACTCGCCGTGGGACAAGCACGAAATATCCCTCGTTCTAAAGGTATATAGGTGGTCGGCTTTGTCAGAATTTTGATATTTTTAGTAAGACATTTTATATTTTTGTGAGTTTTGAAGTTTTATATAACAGCCCTATAATACTCTAACCTTTACCCCAAATATGAGTAATTCTAATTTATCATATGTACCTATATAATGCGAGGAATTAATGGTAGTATGTTCTTCGACACCAAGATCAGTCAGAGGCAACCGTCAGCTTAATACATGAACAGCACGACGAACATCGCATTGAATTTGTTACGTCAGTAGTATCTATCATGGCTTCTTCTGGAGGCTACATGTGTTGCTTCTCCTGAAGGCTACATGTATTGTGTTGCGTTTACATTACATACATATATCCTGTAATTTTACTTCAAACTTGTACACAGTTTCAAAAGCAAGGCGACATGTATAGATGAGGCAGAAATATCTTCTCAGGTTTCTTTCTACAAAGTCTACTTCGGTATAAAGAGTTATTATTATTATTTTAAGGTTATTTTGTTACTTTAATATTCTAGTTGTTAGTAGTAAACTTCTAGGATTTATATGATGACATTTTGACAGGTGCTATTGGCCGGCGCGTTCTACCCACAGTACTTCATACAGGTGTCGCAAGATGAAGCACGGGAGCGGGAGGCTATACGCACGCTCGGTGGACACGATCCCAGGAATACGGTGAGTTTCAACAAGCCGTAATTACTACTTAGTATTATCAATATTATTATAATAATAATAACCCTGAATAATTTACACAGCCAAAATAATTCAATTAGACCCACGCTAAGCAAATTTTGTGTTATGGGTACTAAAACCTGACATAAATACCTAACAAAGTTTTTTTTTGTAATATATATACACAAATACAAACAATCATCTGTAATACAAATGTTTGCATTGTCCGAGGAATTGTTTTTTTTTAATTGAATATAATTATAAAGTAATTGAATTTAAACTTGTTCTACAATATATAGACTTCAATGAGGACGAAAGTGTTCAAATGACGGCATTATGTAAGCTGTAATTTTGAAATTAACTTAAAAATATAACAGTATGCAAGTAAATCAGGGCAATTGTAAAAAAAAAAACAATATTGTTATGTCATTAAGCAGAATATCACATGATACGTGCAACTGAATCTTACTAATATTATAAACACTAAAGTTTTTGAGTATGGATGGATATTTGTTACTCTCTCAAGCAATAACTACTTTACGGAATTTGATAAAACTTTACAGTACATTTATATATTTTAAACAGATATTATGACCATTGGGCGGAATATTGTGATAAACGTCAAGTGAGTGTGATGTAGACGAACTTGCGCTGATTAGCATCTGACATTCTATCCAACTTTGCAGGTGTACTTGAAGAATTTTCCAGACAATCAACCCGGCGAAGTGTACGCCTCTGCCATCAAGAAGGCAGTGAAACAGCAAATAGGAGATGAACCTCGAGTTAATTTCGACCTAAATAGCAGGTCCGGCATAATCAAATTATTTATGTTTTAATTGGATTGGCTACTTGGTTTAATGAATTTACAATCAATTGAATATATATTTTTTTCTGTAATATGTTGCCAATTTATAGATAATATGTAAAATAATGTAATGACATTCAAATATGGTGCTGATAAAAGATCAAGTTATTCCATTACGTTAATATTAGTTGTGAATCGTGTTAAAACTTATGTTGCACTTTAATAATGTGATAAAATTAAGTTGCTCTGGTTATGCTTTTATTATTGGTTGGTAATCATTCATACCTATATACATAAAATTTTTAATGTTTTTTTATTATTGTTTCAGGAAAGTTTACTTAACATTCTCTGATAAACAAGACTTAAAGGCAGCAAGCAACAGTGGTGTAAGTTTGAATTTCTATATATACATATTTACTATTGTATCCTGTGAGAAGTAACTTACACATGTTCATTTGAAAAAGAAATGTAATAGTTATCTTTTATATTTACACTAGTATTTTAAAGAGGTAGTTTTTAAATTTTGAGTATAGAATATTGTCCAATACAAATCCTTTTCACCAATATTTAGAACAGCCATAATGTGAATGTGAAGACACATTCAAAGTAACCCAAATATATGATACTGGACACACTAGTCGAGTTACATTTTTTTTATGTAACTTGAATGGCAATCAAGCCACTATCAGTCAGGTGACTGAGGTTGGCTAACCTGATGGTAAGTTAAATATGGATAGCAACAAATATGTATATTACATCATCATATAAGCATCATAATTGATTTAACTTATATCATATATATGTATATTCGGTTTAGGGCCTGGTGATCTGTACTCCAGGTCAAACCTATTTAAGACACCAGCTTCTCACAGCATATTGATTGTATAAGTAATTTTATGCATTGTATTATCAAAAATACTACATGTATTTATTGCCATGTTTGTGAGGAGAAATAAATAAATAAAACAACTGTATTTACAGTATAATGTAGTATATGACTTTCAGGGACTATTGTAGTGGTAAATGGACGGAGGTATAGGTATCTCGGCCCATTCACCACCGTCAATTCTCGCTGATATCATTTAATTCTCTGTCACTTTTGTTCTAAAATTACAGTTATGGGTATTATTTTTAGGATCCAACAATACCTGGACAAGTATTACTGCCAGTTTACAAAGCAATCAAGGCCAGACAGTTGAAAATGGATATTAGGATACCTTTATTATCGTATGTATTGCAATTATTTGAAATCACTAATATTATGCCCTATCTATGCCTCATACTATTAACTATATTTTTTGATCAATTTCACCTTTTCAAAAGCACTTTTTGATCAGTCTAAATATTAAAATCAGTTCACAATGTGATATGGTAATAGAAACGTTAATAATTAAAATATAAATTCTGTTTTTAAAGCGTGGAGAAAGCAAATGCATTGTATAGTATGCTGCAAGAAAGTAAAAAGGATCTTAATATAAACAAAATGGCGCCTCGGTTACCTGAAGTAGATGACACGCACTTTCCACTAAAAATATCCCATGTAAGTTGACGATTATTTTTACTAATATTATAAATATAAAAAGTGTAAAAATCATTCATCATATTTATGTTACCTTTATAGATGAACAGCGTAAGTAAGTTCTGGGCACAGTATGATGATGAATCGACGGTGTGCGAGCTACGGCAAATACGACAGGAACTGAATCGTGCACCGCTGCTTGCGTATACAGGGGATGTGGCAACTGGACAGTGGTACGCCGCGCCCTATACCGGACCAGAAGGCACTGAGTTACACCGCGTGCGCATACTCTCGATGCTGCCTAGAGATATGATCGAGGTGATTTTAGTTTATATTTATTGGCATACGCAAAGATACTATGTCTATTTATTTGTAAATTCTTTATTGGACCATATATTTACAAGAGATATTGATGTTGAAAAGACGGTCTTGTCGCCCAGACAACCTTTGGATTTAGAAAAAAGACAAAAAAATGATAGGTGGGGCATGAATAATAGTAGTATATAATTGGTAAAAATGAACAATAAGAATGTAACATGTACAGGTTCTGTACATAGACTACGGTAGCTACGGGCGCGTGAACAAGTGCAACCTGTACCAATTGCCAAGCGGTGCGAGCCAAGTGTCGCCGCCGCTCGCGATGCAATGCGCGCTGGCGGAGATTGCGCCCTCACCGTTACTCGAGCCGCACGCGCAATGGACACGTGACGCCTCCGATTGCTTCCGACAATATATGAAGAAAGGACGCCTCATTGGCAAGGTTGGTTTTTTAATTTTCAAAAAATATCCAGCTTTAAGGGGGTCTTCCTATGTGACGGCCTGTTTTTTAGGGATATTTTAGGATTTTTTTTCTACGACCAGTAAATATTTAGAGCTTCAAGTTTTTTATCATTTATTAACACATATTTGGACAGTATAAATATAAAATTTCAGCTAAAAATATTCAGTCAAACTAGAGTTACAGCGCTCTGAACACCCCCGCCTCGAAAAAAAGAGCTCCCACTTCCTCCACGATTCCGGCTGATCGGCTTATCTGAAAAAAAAAAAAAAAACGGCGTTTTAATTTGTAGGCTTAAAAGCACGGAATGACCTATAATCAAATGAATATAAAAAAAATTGGATTTTTGATAGATATTTGAAATAAAAGTTGCAAATTAGGCGTTTTTTTTTTGTTTTTTGCTATAAAAAAATCGAAGTTTTGAAAATTTTCGATTGATAATAGTTCATTCCATGCGTTTACATATATTGAGTGTGCCCTGTAAATTTCAAGTAATTCGGTCCAGCCGTTTCTGAGATACAATGGAGGAAAGTTTGAAAAACACAGTTTTGAGAAAAACGCGTTTAAAGTTTCAAGTCCGTTAAAAACTATTAAAATATCAACTTACTCTCAATCGGCGATGCCTGGTCCATAGAGTATTCCTTCCTCTTCCTCGTGAAACTCTTTTAAAGCAGATTGTTCAGCTCTTGAGTCAATCCTGGCTTGTTTAACGACATCACTTACGCGCCGCTCAGAGCGTAAGATTCGCTTTTCATCCCGTTTCTCAACATACGCTTGGGCTTCACGACCAACAGGGCATCCCATAATCGACATAACTTTTAAAATACCTTGAAAACCTTCATTAAAGATAATAACTGCTAAGTAGCTAGCAATTTCAACAACTTTGGGACCAGAATGAAGATGTTTAGGAGCGAAAGTCCAAATCAAAGAATTCAAAGATTCGTTATTGTTTTGTGTCTCTGCTCCTAAACAACGAATTAATAATTCGTCTTTCGATAAATCTTCGAAAACCGGTTTGATAGCTTCTTGGACTTGCGGAATTAGAGGTGGTTTATCGTGATGAAATTGGTCCAGTTCATTATTAGCTTCAGCCTTACGCCATTTACACCAACTGTCTTCGCCTTCTGGACAAAATTGATGCTGAGGGTTTTCATCAGAAGAACATTTGTGATAGTACGTTGCCCAAACTTCCTTTCTCATATCTTCAAGCGAATCTGGATGGCGTCGAATTGCTAATCCGTAGAATTTTGTAATTTCTTGGATAACTTTATCAGTAAGTTTACCTGCTCCTTTTCCTCCTATTCCTTTATTGGTTTTATCCTTTTTAACAGCCCGAAGTCGTGTTCCCATCCTCTTTTCTACGTGACCCACACATTCTTTTTTTAACGGTACACAATAGGCCCGGTCTCTAACTGCCAACTCACCGCTCCGAACCGCTCTTTCTTTTACCTGCTGTATCTTTAAAACGACTTCGAATTTTCTAAAATCGCTTTACTACCGTATTCTAGACATGTTAACGGAGCAATTTATGAAAAAAAAAAAAAAACGATTTTTTCAACCCATCACATAGGAAGACCCCCTTAATTTACAGAATTTTATATTACGTATTCTGTCCATCTTATTATATATATTTATATCACGTCTTCTGGCGGTAAACGATTACCCAAATATACGCATTGCCAACCTATAAAAAAATTGTAGTATACCCTTTTGAAAAACTCCGTGCTGTAGTGAAAACCTCGGCAAGTAATTACATTCTATAATCTGAATGCGTCGATTTACTGAGCGGCTGAAGGTACATTCCTGACGGATACGACTTCAGTCTGATAGTACCGCTAGGGGTTCGAACTTCGGCAAGGGCCGTCGTGACTTCGATGACCGTTTGAATAGCGCAGGAAAAGGATTATAGGCCGGTGAATTATCATTAGCATAAAGTAATTACAAAGAGTACTACAAGTAACTTTCTTCTTATAGGTGTATTCTGTAACACACGGCGTGGTGTCCATCGAGCTGCTGTCCAATGGTGGTAAAACTAGCGTCAATCAAGAATTGTTGAAACGTGGTTACGCTATACCTTGTGAAGAAAGCTATGACTCTAAAGTAAGATACACTTATATTGTAATCTATATTTATATAATAATAATACAATGAGAGAGACTTTTTAGAAATTTGTTACAGACTTGCATTTTTTTTGTTATTCTATTTTATCATAGTTTATACTAGGTGTTACTGGCAACTTTGTATGCTTCTTTTAGATAATAAAAATAGTTCTTTTCCAATCTTGATTACGATTTTCATTACGATCCATAAATTAACGTTAACGTACAAATAATTAAATTAAACATGTCATTTTTTTCCATTATGTAACGTTAAAATGTTTAATGATAATATCTCTCGTTCAATTTATCTAACCACTTGGTTTGAAATGAATTAGAGAGGAACACTTTTGAACTTTAATTTGTTTATTTAATCAGCTAAATCACGACCTACGACTGACGGCGTCAGATCTACACATGACACAGAAGCGAGCCTACAACAAGGAGCAGGCTGAGATGGCAGTGTACCAACAGCGAGACTACGATCCGCCCAGCGCGAAAGACTGTATCTCCGATGTATGCCTCAAAGGACCGTATAGGTAAAGTTGTTCTTTAAATATGAGTCGAGGTGTAACAACACTATTAATTAAGTATTAGGGTATTGTACTGTCTTTAGATACTGAATGCGCAATCAATGAAGATTTATCTAAGTTGGATTGGTATGATTTATTTAAAGATAAATCGACTGAATCCTCTGTTGAGATAATTTATGAAATTGTTTACGGACTAATAAAAAAACACGTACCAATTAAAATTATAAAATCTACTCGTTTCCCGCCTTGGTTCTCTTCTTCTTTGAAGCATATATATAAAGATAAAACTCAAGCATGGATTAAATGGAAAAATATAAAAATAAGACTAATTATGAAAAATTTTCACTGTATAGAGAACGATTCAAAAAGGAATCACAAAAATGTTATTGTTCTTACATTGATAAAGTTGAAAGTAGTATAAAAGACAACATAAAGTTTTTTTGGACATTCGTTTCTAATAGGGATGATATTCCTGAGTCACTATATTATAATGATAAAATCACTGAAAAACCTGAAGAGGCTTGTAATTTATTTTCAGACTTTTTTCATTCTGTTTTTGAACCCTCATCCGTAACAGAAGATTATGATATAGACAATATTAACTCAAATATAAACAACAATAGTAGTAATGTGGTAATAACTAACATTACATTCAGTATCGATCAGGTACTTAAGGAACTTAAGCTGCTGGATATTTCTAAAGGTGCAGGTACTGATAATATTCCAGCCTACTTTCTAAAGTTAACTGCAGTGACATTATGTAAACCATTGCACTATCTATTTAATAACTGTCTACGTGACGGTGTATGTCCGATTATTTGGAAATCAGCACGTGTCGTACCAATACATAAAGGGGGTTGTAAAAAAAATATTGAAAACTATCGCCCAATCTCAATTTTACCAACGTTATCTAAAATACTTGAGAGACTCGTGCATAATGCTATTTATCCCATAATTCATGACAATATTATTCCTCAGCAGCACGGCTTTGTTGAACGTCGTTCTACTACTACAAACCTGGTAGTCTATGCCTCTTATCTATTTGAGACTTTGGACCAAAACAAACAAACAGACAGTGTATATATAGATTTCAGAAAGGCATTTGATACAATAGATCATAAATGCCTTCTAGAAAAAATTGCATTCAACGGTACACGAGGTTGTCTTTGGCGTTGGTTTAAATCCTACATCACAAACAGAACTCAAAAAGTTGTAATTAATGGGCATTAATCCGATTTAATGTCCATATGTTCTGGAGTACCTCAGGGGTCGATCCTTGGTCCTTTACTTTTTATAATGTTCATAAATGATGTCAATTCATGTTTTAAGTTTTGCAAAATTTTATTGTATGCTGATGACCTTAAAATATATCATGTAATTGATGGTCCCAATGATCATATACATTTTCAGGAGGATCTGAATCGTTTCAGCAGTTACTGTAAAACTAACAAGCTAACACTTAGTCTAACAAAATGTAAAAGTATCACTTTCTCCAGAAAGCGAAATATAAGCAAGTTCTCTTACACATTGTGTAATTCTGTCCTCAATAATGTGGAAATAATCAAAGACTTAGGTATTACTTTAGACACTAGGCTCGTACTTGATACACATATCGATAATATAATTAATAAAGCATTTAAAATGTATGGTTATGTTATGAGAACCTGTGTTAATTTTAAAAGCCCTTCTACTTACTTATATTTATACAAAAGTCTTATTCGCTCTCAATTAGAATATGCCGTAACTGTTTGGAACCCTTTTTACAATATATATTCGGATAGAATTGAAATGGTACAGAAAAAATTTCTACGCCGATTACAATATAAGTTTTACCATAGCCATCTTTCTTATGACAGACTTTTGAAGAAATTTGATTTATTAAATCTAACATCGCGACGCACACAACTTGAGATTATGTTTTTATATGATATAGTCCAAAATAAATATGATTGCACCTCTTTGACAAACCAGATAAGTTACCGAGTTCCATCGCGAGCACAAATGAGAACGTCAAGAAAACAGGAATTGTTCGCTGTTAACAGATGTCGTACAAACTCTGGTACTCGGTCACCAATTAATAGAATTGTTAAAGCATATAATGATAAGTTCTCTAATATAGATATATTTGCTACTAGACCATCATTATTCAAAAAGATGGTTGGTCAGAATTTGTCACATACCCACTTAACTTAATAGATGTTAATTTTTATTCTTAGTAATTCCTTTTTTTTTTATTTATTACTATTATTTTATTTTATTTCATTTTACGCTTTCTTATATTAATAGATAAGTTGCATTTTGAGTCAATATTTGTAATTTTGTATAAAATTCACCACTACTCTAGACAAATTTGCGTGATTATATAATTATTGTCTTAAGTAAACTGTGATTAACGTCGTTGGTGATACATTTATCTTTCATCTCATCACATATTGTATGTATATTTAATATTGTATTACTGTTTGTTAGTCCTAAATAAATAAATAAAAAAAAAAGAATGAAAGTTGCTTTGGATTTTGTAACGCGTAATTTTGTCGCTGTAAACCTATGTTTATTTTATAGTACATACGTACAAATTACAGTACAAAACGCGTGTGTCGTATTGGGAAATATATTAAAAATATATGTAAATATGAAGGATGTTTGTATAATTCTAGAATATTTTCCATTCATTATAGATAATCGGGTAAAAATAAATAACATACGTCGATAGGCATATACGACTCGTATTTTATTATATACTGTCTGTTGGATTTACGAGTCGCCCGCCTGAATTCAGAAACAGGTACCCTATGAGTTACTCCAAAAAAATTTATTGATTTGTATACCAAATTTCAGTCTGTCTGTTTTTGCGTGAAGATAAACAAGCGTCCATCTAAATTTTTATTTTGTTTAGTCTGCGGTAGCAATGCGCCGACTGAAATGTAGAGAGTATATTATAAAGAGTAAAAGAATATATTATAAAGAGAGATAGCGGATTTGAGAAATACTACTTATTCTTAATTTGACCACAGAGTTTTGCAATAAATAAATTAGTATATATGCATGTAGGTGTGAAATACGTGATAGAGTTTATAAAGTATTTTTTATACAAAATGTTTAAAAAAAATGTTAGCATTTTGCATTCTACTATATAAACTATAAGTGAGCGAAATTTTATGCGCGTATGTGCGTCCAATTTTTGTAACATGTGGTACAAAATTTTGGATACACGTATTAAGATATAAATATTGTGTTAATGAATACATATATAACTCACAAAGTTATAGCCATTCGGTCAAGGTGGTCTTACTAATTTTAATTAACTTTATTATTTGTGACAGTCCTCTGGAGACAACGGTACACAACCTGATGTACGGCAGCCAGGAGAAACAAGTGCACATTGAATGGAACTCAATAAATTCCGTGCTTCTCGACACAGACCCGCAAGAGGTCTACGAAAGGTACACATATAAATAAACTTTTTTTTAACCTATCATTCGTTATGTACTAAGGATTCAATGTTAAGTTCTTATTTAAAGATTCCGTAACGCGACATCGCCCTGTTATAATTGTTAATAAAATCTCTTAATTTGTTTAATCTCTTTATGGCATTAATATAGAATGGTTTATATTAAATTTGCTAAGTTTTAGAAGGATTTTACAACTATACGAATGAATAATGTTTCTAGCTTATCACGTTATACTCTATGCTATTTCTATTTATAGTCGACGGTTGTCGACATCATTAAATTATATTTTAACATTTATTTACGAGTATATTTGTTTTTTTATATGTACTTATAATCAGAACCTTTCCAAGTCGGTTATAATGTTATAATGCTTTATTGTGCACCAAATAACTTTCACATTTGTGTACATCACTGTACCAACTTAATAAAGGTATAATAGTGTTAAATCATGATATTGTAAAATTCCTATTAGTATAAAATATTTTTTTATTCAGATTGGTGGTTGCTGCGGTGGTAGGACAGAGTCAATCGAGCAGTTCACTCACTCTCCGTCACACCACGCTGATGCCCAACATTCCTGGCCTGCCCGCCATCATCTCACTGCTTTTCTGTCCAGTGTAAGTATTATGGCATCTTTTGATTATTATTATTTTATTGCACTTATAAAATTGTACTATTTGGGGAGCTTAATACCACATGGCATTCTCTACCAGCTAACCATTAGGTAAGAACAAAAAGCGGTTGGTGGACAGTGGTGCGAAAGGACAAACCTATAATTATAATGAGCTTGAAAATTATTGAAAACTTGAGTATTACAATGTCCTTATAGTAAGTGTACGATAAAACTATTTGATTCCGAGTTATTCAACGAGGACACTACAAACTTTCTGAATTAGTAATATAAACATGTTTATATGTTCTTGTATGTCTTCTATATCTATAAATTATCTCATATATGTATAAGATAATTTATCTAGATCCAAGTATAACCTACGACAACATCTCGGGTTATATCTACCGCAATGCAGGTTCTCAATCTACGTTCCAGCTTAAAGATTAAGATTTGGCATTTAATTTAAAGTGTAAGGGCGGCACGACACATTAGTCCTTAGAAATTATATTTGTGATATATGTCGGGATGTGTATCTAAGGTCAACGCGAAATATACTGCTTTCTTATCAACGGGTCTATGTTCTGGAGTGTAATTTCAGTATCTATTTCTATCCAAACTATTTTGACTGTTCTTTCAATCAAGACTAAACTGCATAAATTGATGAAATTAATAGGTAGGTAATGATATCAAGGCTATACAATTGCGCGAATCATTGCAATCCAATGACATTGGATTAGAATTAGTTATTGACCGGCAGGTAGATGGTTAAATTGCAATTCCATAAAGATATAAAAAAGAATGGGACAGGATAATTAACTGCTTTTACAACGACACATTTTACACGCACGCACGCATTTTTGCACGATTACCGTGCCAGAGTTAGCGCGGGAAAGCCAACGCGCGCAACGTGTATTTGCGCGTAGGATTCCTGGCATTTGACTTTATAATATTATATGTTTCATTAATAGATTTTATTTCTAGAAACATATTTAAGATTTATAAATTATCAATAACTCTATTTTACGTCATGGTCAGTCTTCCGACATTTTGCAATGATAATTAATTACTTTAAAAAGGCGCTAAAGCATGCACGATTTTAAGAATGCGCGAGCTGACGGCGCTTGTGGTCTTCTCGTTCTTGTATACAAACATTTACATAGACATTTTTTTCCTGCGTGTTTCACTCGTGAAAGAGCGTACGTTTTCGAACGTACGTTACGAAGGAAACTATTAGGATTTTCTTTACTTAAACTTAATATAGATATAGAAGATTCATGTTGTTGCTGTAGGGCGGAGCTGCGTCGCGACGTCGGTGGCAGTCGGTACGTGAGCGTACTGTGTGGACTTGGCAGTACGGCTAACGCTGTACCATACTTCCCGGAGCATGACCTGCTCGTCTCCATCGACGCGGACCTGGCTGTTGAGGATATCGGCCTGGTGACGTATAATGATTTTTAATCACGGGAGGGGGTTGTTAGTAATGTGTACTAACAACCCCATTGTTGGCAATGTAACATGGAAAGTTGACCTCGGAGGATCGTGGTACATTGCCATTAGCCAAGATGAACTAACTGACCTGACTTCATGCTCATTTTATCCTTCTCAACCGGTGACTCGTAAACCTTAACGCACGTGCATCATTCCATTATTATCACTCATAAAAAAGTTGGATAAAACAGGGAGGACTTGTTAGTGTATTAAAAGTCCCATTTCATCTATACATATAAATAAAATTGGAGTGTCTGTTTGTAATATTGAAATAACTGGTTTTTACTACATGCTTATGAAATATTAATAATATGAAATGAATGCGAATGAAATATAAATATTAATAATAATAATTTTTGTCTGTCTATCTGTCGGTCTGTTTGTTCCGGCTAATCTCTGAAATGGCTGGACCGATTTTGACGGGACTTTTTTTGACAGGTAGCTGATGTAGTAAGGAGTAACTTAGGCTACTTTTATTTTAGAAACATTCTTTTATTTTAGTAAAATAAAGTTAAATTCCACGCGGACGAAGTCACGGGAACAGCTAGTTAGAGAATATTTCTGAACCATACTCAGTACAATAAGGGCATATTCATTAATATAAATAGGTATTCGTATACTGCGGAGTTGGAACTCGCGACAGTCGAAAGGTTACTCAGTGGTCCTCCTCTCGATAGATTTTTATTTTTATAGATATAGGTTTATTATATCAGATTGAGGACCACCAAATAGGGTACATTGATAGCAAGGGTACACTGTTACATATGCGTAGGTGTTTATAGTATTATTGAATTCGACGACCTCGATGGTCTAGCGGTTTAGCATGCCGCCTTACTTCCGATGGTCGCGGGTTCGATCGAACCAGCGACCATCGGAAGCATCTCAGGGCACAAACATAAAAATATATCTATATTTGTATTAGTTATCTAGTACCCATAACACAAGCTTTAGCTAGCTTAACTTGGGTCTAGATGGCACTGTGTTAGTTCTCATAAGATTATTATAATTATTGGTGTTTTGCGGGTGCGAAATAGAACTGTTTAATGTAAATTTATATTAAAAACCCACAAGATAACTAGGGTAACTATAGGACGTAATCGAAGCCTAATACCAGCAACAGTTGGAATAAACGGAAAGTGAAATTAAAAATGTACATAAATGATATGTGTGAAAACAGAACTTAGAATATAGATGCCAATTATATTAATTTAGGCCACATCGCCTTTGATATATGAAGTAATATGGTTATCCTGTAAACAGAACTCTAAAATGAACTCTCTGCGAGTGCATAACGGTATTGATTACAATGTGAATATTAATTAATCAAAATAAATTGATATAAATGTACTATACATTTGTATCAATTTATTTTGATTAAGAAGACGTAAATGCAAAATTTGTTGCGATTATTATTTAATTTGCAAACAGTGTCATACAAATGAATAAGCTATTTCTTTGATTGGGAATAATTGTGACAAGTCACGTAGTACTCAAGTATCATCATATGAATAATGTTTCAACATAATGGGAGAGTTTTTTTTTCCGAACTATTAAACACCTTGTGGAGACAAGTATTACGTCAAAGCGTGAGCACAGACTACACAACTTCAGAACGTTTTGATCTGATATTTGCCATAAGTGCTGACGTTAGGCATTAGCGTTGACACTGATAATATCTTCGATATATATGATGGCTTAATCAATTTTGATGAAATTTAAGTGTACTCGGGAGGTTGGATAAGAGTTTATTATCTTTTTATATCCCGAAGTAATAAGGGAGATCTACCGAAATTTATCTACTTCTATCTACTATCTATCAATTACTATATTTTATAATATTGGTATTTTTAATATGGCAAATAAACAATTGTTTTAGTTATAAATGTAAAAATTTGTATAGTTATTACTTAATCGTGCTTAGACTGGATGGATTCATACGAAATTTTGGTACATAGATTAACACAAAGGATATTTATCCGAATTTACAATTCAAAGTTTATCATAGAGTGACTGCAAACAGCGCGTATATTTGACATTATTTTACCGTATATGATTGCAATTACACTTCGACATATGTGATGGCACGGGCCCACGTAGTAGCAATGGACCTTTCTATAATGTTTTTTTTGTCTGACCACAGATAAACCACGTGCGTCATCTCATGGACTACATGATGTACTGCGCAGAAGGGCAGGACACGCCCACCGCCGACGACGAGTTCCGACCACAAGTGCCCGCCGTCATAAGGAAAGATATCATGAAGTAGGTATTTTTGTACTTGGCACCTACATATAAAATATCGTGACTTAGTGGTTTCTATCCAGTGTTACGAAAAATTATATTACGGAAGATTATATTCGTTTAGGTCAACACTAAATACCTGACGTGTGTTAATTTATATTTGTCGCTGCAGTCCACTGCATGCGACAACTCAGTCATATGCCACATTTATCTGTAAACGCAGATATATCTTTATTGATGTAGGTATATTACAGACTTTTATGATATGTCGAAATCTACCGTCAGTTCGGAATGCCATCGATCTCTATTCTTTTCAAATGGTTTTTGTAAAAATGTATAAGCCATTTTTACAAAAATACAGTTTTATTTAAAAAAAAATAGTGAGAATAGAGAATATTCGTTCAAATATGCCGCTATTGCCGCCATAGAGTAATGAAAACAACCATACCAAACTAAATTATTCAGAGAGAGCGGTAGGCTCGTCACCTGACACGTTAGCTTCAAATATACTTACCGAAATGTGGGCATGTAAAATATTGTGTTCACGTAGCCGACTATTGACAATGTATTTATTCGTATGATATAAAAGTATAAATATTAAAAATGCAAAATTTAAGTAATATATATCTAATATAATAGAATGCCCTCTAAATATAAATATATGGTAGTAAAATTACAGGGCATGGCATACCATCGTAGTCCTATGGTGAGCTGTTAACTAACTGTTTGCCGTATCAGTTACATTGAGAAAACAGTATTACAAAGTTTCAAAAAATGTAATTGTTCTTGCTCCATGCGCCAATTCGTATTGATAAACCAATTATATCTTGGCAAATCAAAACACCTGTTCACACTTAGCCCGATTGAATGGAAAATTTGATGGTACATGTAAACACTCATGTTTGTGTTGCCGAATTTTGTTTATATCCGCAAAAATCACCTTGGCACGATTTCAACGAAATGAGTGGTAAAATATTTTTGTTTTTAAATATTGATAAATTCAGACACTAATGTGTAAATTGAAATAATTTGTAAACAATGAGGCCATGGGCCATGACGGTCTAGTGGTTTACTATACAGACGTAAGTATTGAATATTGAGACCGATAAACCAATGTAATCCAAGCGATGGCGGTACATGAAAGTACCGACATCGCCCTTACCTGCATAATGATTATTTTTCTTATCAAATCGGTGGATCGATGAGGCGCGACGCAGTTAGAAATGCACTATATGGATGAAACACTTCTTATGATGGAATGGAGGATAATGGGATGGTGCACTCACCTGCGCTAATGGTACGTTGGCAGGGCACCAGTGAAGGATGATAAGATGAGCAAGAGGTCAGGCCAGTTCGCCCATCGTTGTAAATTCATCGTGAATTTATCACGATGGTTTTCAGGGGGAACCACGTGGAGATCAATCTGACATGGTTCATTGCTAGCAATGGAGATATTATTAACAATCCCCTTCCCCTCAAGATCAAACACTTAATGATGAATTTTAATTTGTCGCAGCCTCCTATTAAAACGTCGTAAGCACCGTGAACCTCAGACGGTGGAGAATGCGTGGGAATGGAAGTCGGTCCCTGAAGATGAACTGCTCGAGATATCCGTGCCGGACATGGTGGAGCGCGCTGAAGTGTTCCCGCTCCACACGCCGCAGGAACTGCATCCGCTGTCCATGGATCAGCTACTCGCCCTCAAGCGAGACAATGATCAGCTCAAACTCCTCGTAAGCAGGTTAGTTAATATGTCTTGTAATCGTGATAATTCTTATAGATTAGAATCGAATAGAAATTTTTTATTCAAATAAACGTACATTAAGCAGTTTTGTATAGTTATACTTATTTTATTTTAATCTACCGCCCATTCGGAACGCTGTCTCATCACAAGCAGGACGAGCAAGAATCTTGCGTCTTGCTCTTTTATAAATAAATGTTGTAACTTTACATTTTTGAGTTGAAATATAGGAATACAAACTACCAACTAGCACTAATTCATTACAGTTAAAATATGAACTACATAAGAGTATGGAACTACATAATATGGAAGGTACTATCAGATTATGAATATAGCTTTAAAGGATAAGAGGCATAAAATTTATATTGCCAAAATTAGTGGTATCACGTGTGTCATATGATAACGTGATGTCCGTTGTGATGTCCTCAAGCTTGTTTGTTATTCCATTATATAAAAGACATATAAATGGCTTTTATATAATGGAGTAACAAACAATAATATAATGGAAAAAATATAATGGAATAACATATATAAATAATATAATGGAATAACAAAAGCCATTTATATAAAAAATAACACCCTTCAAGGGTGCTATTTTTTTATATAAATGGCTTTCCCATTCCTAAGGACTACGCTATATTTTCATATCCAGTAATATTCCGCCATATTTTCAATCTGTTTGTTACTCGCAAAACAACTTTTGTGTATAAGTTATATACACAAAAGTTGTTTTGCGACGATTTCTACGGTTTCTTCAGCCAATGTTAGTCATGATAATTGTTATACAATTGATAATGAAAACCAGGATCTTATTTAATTTAAGTAACTTGACATGTACAATACTTAATAAGTCGAAGCGTTTTTAAAAATACATTCGTCTTCAATAAAGTGTTTATTTCATTAGGCCGTCTTTTTATATATTTGTTACATTTGAAAAGGTTTTTTCAAATGATAACGTTTTCCAATCCGGGCTGATTGTTTGCCATTACAACTACATAAAAAACTGTTAATAGCGGTGGCAATTTAGCGCGGTAAAGCCAGCGTGTGCAATCATGATTGATGTGTTTGTTGACTTTTTCGCGCGTTTTTGTGCAATTCCTTTAATTTCACTTTATTTTATAATTGTATTTTTAATTTCTCATATTTTATAAATTCTTAATAATTGTATACTTATGTTATTTCTCTATAGTCACATATCAGCCGTTTTGCAATGAATAATTAATTATTTAAAAAAAACGCACACGAATGTCGATCGCGGGAATGCGCGAGCTGTCGTTATCGTCTATCCTTTATCTTAGTCTACATTCACACACACATTGTTTTCTGCGTATAAGTCTATTTGCGCGTGAAAGAGCGTAAGTGTAAAAGCTGATATTATATTATATGAATGTTGTATTCCTTCCAGAACATCGATCTCGTCGAGTACGGAGCTATCGTGCAAGCTATGTGGAACAACGACGATGCCCACACACGCGATGCGTATACATCTCTACTCGAATGCACACAAGGAGAAGGAAGAGGATTTCCACATTTTCCAGTCTTAGATCCTATTTTTTTTAAATTATCTAGTTGATTCTATGCCACGTGTAAAATTACTAGTTGTTATAAGTAAATGTCGTAAGTTACATTTAAAAGAGTATTTATTACTCTTAGTTAAGTAACTTAAAAAGCCGTTATTTCGTATTACTAGTAGTATTAGTAATAAAATACTAAACTTGTTTTTAGAACTCCATTAGGTTATTAAGGTATTGTTTCTCATAAAACTAAATAAAAAACGATTTTTGACGAATCTCTAAGTATCGTATAAGATAAATATCGTTTGATACATGTTAATTATAAGTTATTTTTCAAATGTATGTTCTAAATATTGTGATATCGTATTTTAGTTATTACGTTCTAAGTCGTATTTAAATACCTACTGTACAGTTTTGTTTTCTATTCGGCCCCATGTGAATGACGCAAATGAACCGTTCTGTGTACAAGTAGAGGATAATGAGTACTGTAAAAATGATTATATTTTGGTTATGAATAAAGAAACAACCGTACATTTGTTTATTATTAACACATCGTTGATTATATTTTTACTTAAATTGTTGTTATCAGTTAGTTGCAATAAAGACTGACCTTTAATTCCTAAAATTGAGTATTACGTGTTTTATTTATAACGAAACTATCTTTTGCCCTCGATTTTGTTTTATTTTTTAGTTAAAATATCCAATGCCCATTGTTTCCTTCCTAATCTGTCTTCATGTATATCTCTTCAATATCTGTTCCGCGGGGGGATGGAGATTGTTAGTAATGAGGGCGTACCCCATTGTTGACCTCCTCGCGGTTGCCTTTGGAAATCATCGTGGTAAATTGTCATTTACCAAGATGAGCTAACTGACCTGACCTCATGCTCATATTATCATCCTCCACTAGTATACTCCGCCAGCGTAGACAGTTACACCATTCCATTATTATCCATAAAAAAAATGTTTTGCTGTTTCGTCGTCAAATGGTAACAAACACATATTTCGATCTCTTATTGTATTAATTTACTAATAAAGACTATAACAGAATAACAGACAGGGTTGACTCACTGCCTCCTCTGAGTTATAGACCGTTTTGTCTCGTTTATTACTTATAAATTTTATTATTATATAAGCAGCAATTGTATTAGTTTTTGAGACAAATAAATAACATTATTATTATCATTTAATTTCATTTAAAACGCTCAAGTTTTAAATACAAGGAAAATAAATGTATATGGTTGTAGTGTTATAGAAAGATTTTCTAATAACATTTTGTTGTATTATATATGTACATATTACATATTGTTGTTTTATTGCAGTGTTGGCAGTGCGTAATAGATAATTTATATTGTTTATTAATTTGATTGATTTCAATCAAAGTTAAATTAATGATGATCAAAAAATAAACGTAATTATTATTAGGAACTAGCTTTAATGATAGTCATTAATTGATTTGATAATATGAAATGAAGCGGTAGAGTTTGTATAAAGTCAACCTCAATCCAATTTGTGCATAGTTAATCAAATAACATGACGACCTAGGTGGATTAGCGGTGTAGCACACTGTTTTACGTCCGATGGTCGCGGATTCGATTCCTCGCACGGTCGGTGTAAACTTTAGTATTCATGAAAAAAACTATATATATATATCTATCTGTATTTATAATAATTGTCTAGTAACCCTTACAGCTGCTTGGTTTGGAACTAGATGGCGCTGTGGGAATTCTGAAATTATAATTACGATTATATATATATCTATAATTATATTTTATATAAATTTTAATCGTTAATCAGATTAACTTTACAACAGCAGGTTATAAAGTTAATCTGATTAACGATTAAAATTTATATATATAGGTCTAGCCTATGATCATAACAATATGGATAGTAATATAATTATACTGCACGCAGTTATTACATATGTATATTTACATGTGCAATAGTAAATATTTAAGAAATATGCATAAATCCAGACAAAATAAATTATCAATTTGTAACACATTTACTTTTGTGTCACAACTGTCTTGATTACATTTAATTTCGTACAGGCTATACTATAAGTATATAATATTATCTTATTTGTGCTGTAATCTATAAGAAGAATAGCTAGATTCCTATTTGAAAGTGAAAGTGACTCCTATTTAGAAATGTTGTACAAACCGCTAATCAATAAGTAGTAAAACTGCTTTACTGGGTTACGCGTATGGAAGCTAATACAGTGGACCCGCGGTAATCCGGCCCCCCTTGTAATCCGACATTGTCTATTATTTGTTATTGAATATTACTTTGACAATATACTTCAGAGTGCATATACATACATACATATATAACATAGATTCTTATCACTGGATCTGTAATTTGTCGGATTACAAGATACTCTTTTGTAAAAAATTCCGGACTATAAGCAGAGGACCCTTAAGCAGCACTCTATAATCCGACAAATACGATGGTCCGACACTGCCCTGCAAAACGTTTGTCGGATAACCGGGGGTCCACTGTATTTAGATGTGAAATATAATACGAGGTGGCGAAACCAGGTGAGTAAGTAATAAGTCGCCAAGATCTTGTTTAAACAAGAGTTAAATCACGCGAATAACTCAAAACAAATTGTTTAAACAGTAAAATTCATACTTTTAGTTATCATCAATTTTATTTACCTGCAGTCTAAACAATTCCATACACCATAATAGTCTGACTGCAAATATAATTAGAGCTCTTTATTGAAGCAAACCCGTTGGACAAGTTTTCAAGATATGTAAGTAGGTACGTCCGTCATCAGAAAATTAGTTATTGCAGGGAATTCTGTAGTTACTGTATAACGTAGGCTCATTATATCAGCTGGTAGAAATAAGGTGCCATTTGAATCTTTTAAGGCAGGTGTCTACTGGTAAATATACGGTACATCTTTCATCTACAAACCAAATATTACATTATATTGCATTTGTGTATTTATATTTCAATACTTTAGATAATGTTGTGGTTGTTACATTACTACTTTTAATAAATAGTCTGCATTTAAGCAATTTGTGAAGTGGTTACTTTTTTATTTTTACAAGTAGGTATAGTCATTTCATACGTAGGTACCTACAAGTGTGTGATTGTGCACTTTAAAGTTGCAATGTTTACTTTCTGATTTTATATAGCTCTGATTTAAGACTTACCTTATGACCTCCTGCTCTTCTATTTAATACTACTAATTTGTGACAGGTACTCGGGTGGGAATCGGATACGTCGTTAAAATTTGTATCGTTTCATATTGTGTGCCAGCGACCCAACCAGCCATCAATTTGTCGAAATGTGGCAAACGCGGGATGATTTGAATCAAGTATTGCAGTAAGTAAAAATTTTTACTTTTTTGTTGTAAATTCAATTCTAATATAGTAATATATAATATAAAAAGGCTTGATTTTACTGAATAGACTTTTTTATTAATACTGTAAATGTGATAGCGTGTTGTTCGTTTGTGCATTCAATGAATATTCATATACTTAATTTGGTATTCAGATATTATTTGGGATAGATTACATGGACATGGTCTATTTTTTAACCGAGCCAATAAAGTATTCCAAGTCATGCGGATAAAGTATGATAAATATTTTGAACTATTTTGTACTCGGAGTAAAAAAATTATACAAGAAATTGTATCGTGTGGATACCATGAGTACTTTGCGCATGTTTAGTACAATTATTTCTGACTTTTTAAAATATTTTGTTTGTTATAGAGAGATACTGTGTGTACCTATTACTAGTATTATTATTAGTAGAATGTATTTTTTGTGCTCGTATAAAATTTGGTATCTAGAGCGTATTTATTTATAGTGGAGTGTAATGATATGGTGCACTCCGTTATATTTATTAAATTCGGGCTATCCAACACTAAAAGAATATTCAATTCGATTTTAATTTTCTTCATGTAGATCCAATGTAAGTGTAATGAAGTATTAATAATAGTAGTAAAAAATATAAATAAAATACTACGTATGATATTGCAGGTTTTATGGAACGGTTGTTTTTCCTATTTGCGCACGAAAACTCAACAATGTAATAAAAACAAATGACAAATGGTTATGGCAACTATTTATTTCACTGAATTATCACTCATTTACTCTTGAAAAGTTATATTTTTCAGAAAAATGTAACCACTGACTGAATTTTCGGGGAATCCCCTATTATGATAATACATACGCCTGAAGGAAACTTGAGAAATCGCCGAGTCCCTAATACAGTACCTATTTAATAAATAATAATAATTTATTATAAACTAGTAATATTGAAGAATATGTTAGACATAATACCGATATAATTTGCAAGGGAATATGTAGGAATGTAAAGGGAATAACCAGCGCTATTTTAATTCCTTTTTTCAATTGAGCAATATGTTGGCAGCTCTGAGCAGTTCTTGTCATGGGTATTTGATTATCCTGAGTGTACAGGGTCTCCATATTAAAATGTCCTTGCCTTTTTTGATGGTGTTAGTGTTAAAGATTATTCTATGATTTATCTGCGATTCACATTCACCAAGGAAAATCGTGAATCATTTAGAACCATTAGGCAGAATTTTTTTAAATGGATTATAATGGTATTGTGCATCCGTAAGCGCTAAAAACGCTGGCAGGGGACCAGGATGATAGAATGAGCTTAAGGTTAGATCAGTTGTCCCATCGTGACAGTAATAATAAATGATAAGAAGAAATATCTTTTGTAGACGTTTTAGTATAGCAGAGCGCAGTATAGTAGTAGTGTAGTAGTGTATATATAATAAAACAAATGTAGGCATAGAAAGAATACTCATATTTTAAATACGAATAAACGAATATACTACAAAACTGCCAGTGATTCTCAATATAGGTATTTTGAGAATCACTAGCATTACTTATCAGTCACAACTTCACCAGGAATTTATCGCGATGATACCAAGAGTGCACCGCGTGGATGTTAACCTGATGCCTTACGTCGCTCGATCGCTAACACTGCTTTATTGTTAGAGATGGAGACATTGGTCCACATTACTAACAATCCCTTTCCTCCTATTTGGTTATCGATTCACTCAACCCGCTTTGTGTGCAAAAATAATAAAAAAAATTGTATTGTATACTTAATATCAATTAATAGTATTACGCCAACAAACGAAACAAGAAAACCCTCCTATTTAACCTTCGAAGTGTACATGTATCCGATGGTAATAGATAGGAAAAAACATACTCTGAGGACAAATGTGGACATATATAACAACATATATGGCCTCTGTAAACGAGAGGCTAAAATACCTCTCGTTTACAGAGGCCATATATGTTTATAACTACCAAATACCATTACTTATTACTAAGTAATAGGATTCTAAACAATCTTACAACCATGGTATAAACTGAGCATACAGCAGCCCATGGATGCATCTCAGTCACCTACCCTTGTTCACATATGGTCCTTATGTTGTTACTGCTAGTATATAAGTGTTATTAGCAGAAAACTTTGACGTCTTGCAAATATAATTCTAAACATGTCCAGCGTCAAATGCAGTTAACTAATTATATCAACATATCAATTTAATATTCTCATTTTCTGATGATGTTTAATCAGCAGACGAAGTGTCTGTAAGTTACTAGTAGATAAAATAAGTTCGACGCCACTCCTTATTCATTGTTTAACAAAATGTTTAAAAGTAAACCGTTCATAATAATGCCAGTAAGATACTTTTGGAATAAATGTTGGCGGTGAGTGTTTCAAACATATAGATACTAGTAAATTAATATGTAGTAAAATAATAAAATTATGTATAATATTATTTAACATAGCATGTTTTCAAGTACCTATCGATGTTTTAACTCCATGGTTATAGAGGTCAATATATTATCTTTCGTTTGATTATGGTGAATACTTATTAGTGCTACGATATCTTTGAAGAACTAAATATAAAAAATGCTTGTAATATAACGTGCGTTGAAAGTACCATAAAATCTTAGTTATAAGTATAAAATACGTGATTAAATACCTATCAATTTGTTGAAATTTATTCATTTAAGATCACTTTTGATCATTGCCTTTCCAAACTGATATGGTCCTCATGATGCCACCCACAACGTCGATTCCCTTCAATATATGTAGGGTCGTCTCTCTATCAAGTAGGTCACCACTTGATAACCTTTTTCTCCCATCAGTTGTTGGTTTATGCTATGTGTTTAGCCCCTTCTCACTATACCAAATTGCTTGAATAATACCTATCTGTTAATATGGTTCTTCTATGGGTCTTCTTAAACAATCTACACATGACATACAAAATCAGGGGCAACAAAGAAACCATAGTTGGGGAGCTCTCTATGTCGCCTCGTGTGTAGTGAAATCAGGGTTGATTTCTCATCGCATGCCGAATCGTTATTCTCTCACCACAACTGTTCCATTGTAGTATCAGATTTTAGTGTCGTGTGTAGACTATTTTATTTGTGATTCTGTCACGTAGAGAAACATGAGCATTGGCCAACCAGAGAAACTTAACAAATTCCGTTGTTCTTTTAGAAACAACAGTGTTTAATTTATGAAAACGTATCAAATATATTGATGTAATTACAATGTACTTATTCATATAGTGTAATTGCAATGTACTTATTCATATCCATGATTCCATCCGTTTGATTTTGCGTATTTCAAAATTATATTTGGGGATTATTTTTAATCTTTGGAAATATGAAAGTTATTTACATTATTATGCATTAAGCTATAGGTATTGTTCTTGTTCATGAAGGTATGTATTACTAACCCACGCCATTACCTATATGCAATTAATAAAGTGATCTATTTATGTCCGACCAGTTTTATAAACACAGCATACTGTATTTGCTGTTACCCTTTATTATAAATCCTATTTAGGGAGCTGACTCTCAGCTTTTCAACCTTTTTAATTTATTTTCAAATATTCGAAATAATTTTATGTATGCATGTTACCAGAATAGAAATACAAGGGTAACAAGCATGCAATCTTGACGTGCATAAGCACTTTAAAATATTCGATTTTTTACTGATATTACAGGATAACGACGGAGATATTTTAGTCCATAGAAATAAAGTTGCCACGGGCATCAAAATGTATTTTATTATGATTCCTGTCGTATAGACATGGACCGTGGTTACTATTTTCTATCAGGCCAGTCCTGCCAGTCAAATATGTACCTACTGGTAAAAGTAAAGAATTTATTTCGATATAACAGTATTGATATTACTATCAGGCCGGGAACTCAATTAATTAATCTTACGTAATTTTAATTACAATTAAGTAATTACAAATCGTTATATTTGATTAGAATCACGATTATGTGACTGGATCACACTATAACAACGAGTTAATAAAATGGTTGTTTTGTTCATAATATCCCCGGGTTATCAGGGTGTCACACGTATGATGTCTCAAGTTGAACAACAACTGATAGTCTTTAATGGTCATTTGACAGGACCACTTCTCAGTTTTGTACAGATTACTGCACCATGGTGGCACGACCGATTGAGGGGACTCAGATTGCAAGGTACCTCGATACCGACATTCGATAGAAAATTATCAACAAATTCAATAAATAATCTTCAAATAAATCATATAAATGAAATGTAACATAAATTTATTTACAAACTTTACTTTCATTAATCTATTTTATTGTTTATTTTTTTATTTGTTTTGCCTAAGTATACCTGACTGTAATAAATGTGTGTCTCCAGGTAGGAGATGTAAAAAACTATTTGTCTACCTACTAATAATGTATCTACTACATATTCAACTATATTTTTTATATTACTGATATCTGTTAGCAAAGATTACCGTAGCCAATTGTAGGTTTACAATTGATATGAAAGATAAAATGATTGTAGAAAACTATTGTTAATTACATTAAGAAGGACAGCTTTCAAAATGCTTTCAAAAGATCAGAAAACAATATTTGTTGGAATTTTAAAATTGCCTGTCGATTGATTTGTACTAGGACATATCGCGAAGCCGTTGTCCTCTTTTCTACGTATAGCAAACTATTGTTATTTGTATATTTCTTTTTTGTATATCTTTTTATTATATATCATAACAAGTAAAACAAGTGTCAGACACTTGTTTTACTTGTTATGTGATCGTTTTTTTCGTTTCGTTTCAAACTTAACAAATTAGTTATTATTCGCAGCTTCAAACACAAAATTCCGTATACTGTCTTTAGTACCAAGAGATGGTTACACACCCAAAATTTTACGTGCATAACCACGAACAACTCTTGAATGCCAAAGGACTACTACTACTTGCAACGACTACTCATTGTCATAAAAACCTACTAAAATATATAATAGGTAGGCCTATTATATATTTTAGTTAGGCCTATTATATGTTTTAGTTGGGTTTTGCCTGTTGTCACAAAACCCTTTTTGTGTGAGTAGGTACGAAAATTTCAATATTTTACAAAATCGTCCATGGCGATCTATCTTTCTCACTTTGCATCATCTTTTTACTTTTAAATACGTTAGGAGTGGAATTGAAAAAGTTTTGGTATTCGCGGATCTTCCATTTATAGTCTAAGAGCCATAGTATAAAAAATATTACTGTTAATATGTATATAATCTTTAACATATATTGGACAGATCTATACAAGATGATCTGAAACAGCAAGTCGCAGAGCTGCGTTCTCGCAGCGCTGGCTTTTCGCCCAAGTTGGCCATCGTGCAAGTGGGCGGCCGAGAGGATTCCAACGTATATATTAGAATGAAGCTGAAAGCCGCTGAAAATATCGGGATAAGTGCTGAGCATGTGCGTTTTTCAAGAGACATCACAGAATTTGAGGTTTGTATCTATAATTTAATTCTAAATAGTAGGTATACCTAACTTTTCCGCTTACTTCTTAAATAAATTCCGCACTATCATTGCGAGAATTTATTCCAACAAGTTTGTAGGTAATAAATGCATATGAAATAATAATCATAGCAAATAGGAAAACCTCTCGATTCTAAGAAATATGTCGGTAATATCTCATTTATAAACATAATATTTATTATTCTGTATTGGTGTTAATAAACCGTTTTATTAAGAGGTATGTTTATAAACATTTTAAATTCGTCGATATTATACATTAAGTCTGGTTAGCACTGCTCATATGTGGGAATGATACATTGAGTACGAAAGTAAATATAGATGTACTCAAAGAGTTTAGATAAATAAACAAACCATTAATATAATTTTAAGGGAATTGATTTGGAAATGCTAAGGAAGGACGTTGCGGGCATTGAGTGGTCCTGCGTATTAAATTGTAACTCAGTGGAGGATATGATTGCAAACTTTAACTCAATCATACTTCAAATATACAACAAGCATGCTCCTATCAGAAAAGTTAAAGTCAAACATTTACCTGCTCCATGGTTATCCCAAAATATAAGAAATATGATGGTGAGGCGGGATAAGGCTAAACGGAAATATAAGCGTTTTCCGTCTGAAGATAATTTAATATACTATAAAAAGCTGCGGAATCGGTGTAATCGGATGTGTAGAGATGCAAAGAGACGCCATATTCATGAATCCATTCATAGCTATAATTCAGCTCAGATTTGGAGACTTCTTAAATCATTGGGTATTGGCAAATCTTCTTCTTCAACTTGTCCCTCTAATTTGGACTATAATGCGCTTAATAAGCATTTCTCCTCGCCTCCTGTCACCGTTGCTGACAGTATCAAAGCGTTAACACTTGATAGTCTTCGCCGCCAGTCTAAACCCAATTGCGAGCCTTTTTCCTTCAAAATCATTAGCCAGTGTGACGTTAAAAAGAGTATCCTTACCATTTCCTCCAAGGCAGTCGGTGATGACAATATTTGTATACAAATGATTCGACTACTAATTGACGAACTTGTGCCCATAATTACTCACATAATCAATCATTCTTTGGTCACTTGTTCTTTTCCGGCTGCCTGGAAAAATGCTCGCGTGATTCCTCTTCCTAAAACCAATAATCCTAGCTCTTTTAACGAATTTCGTCCCATTTCTATTCTACCTGTATTATCCAAAATTTTAGAAAATATTGTTCATGAACAATTATCCCTTTATCTATATAGTAATAACCTACTATCTCCTTTTCAATCTGGGTTTCGTCCTGCCCATAGCACAGTTTCGGCTTTAATTAAAGTACTAGATGACATTCACCTTGCTAAAGATAATAAACAGCTCACAATCCTCATTTTATTAGACTTCAGTAACGCCTTCAACTCTATTGACTTCGATATTTTCCTTGGCATCCTTGACTCTTTTAACGTATCTCCACTGGTTTTAGAATGGTTTGATTCATACTTGAGGGGCCGCAGGCAGTGCGTGTACCTGGATGGGAATACTTCAGATTGGTGCGAACTGACTGCTGGCGTCCCTCAAGGTGGTGTTCTCTCTCCCTTACTTTTCTCTGTCTTCATCAATTCACTGACGAAAGTGATCTCTTGCAACTTCCATCTCTATGCTGATGATCTACAACTGTACCGCAGTTTTGACCTACCATCTGTTGATAATGCTATCTCCTTGATCAATACGGAACTCGAGTGTATTTGTGGCTTTGCTAAGGCATATGGTCTGCTTGTTAATACCAAAAAATCACAATCGATTATAATTGGCAGCAGATGTATGCTTAATTTATTAGATTCAATGCACATTCCTTCAATAATATACAATGGGGATATAATTTCTTATGTTAAAACAGTAAAGGATTTGGGTGTTTACATTGATAGTGACCTCTCCTGGTTTTCTCACATTAAACATGTGAGTAAGAAAATATATGTACTCTTTACCTCACGAAATACGTGCCAGTTCTAGTATTGAAATATTCAAATGCCGATTAAAAGCGTATTATCATTCACAATGCTGGCATACTTTTATATTTATATATTTAGGTATATATTATAATTTACATTTTAACTTATGTCTTATAATTTATTTATGTACCATTTATGTATGTCTATTTATACTTATAGTTAATATCATTAAAACAATATTTTAATCTCCTCTTTTCGTACACGTATGACTATTCTATTTAATACACGATCCTATAACATTTTCTAGGTTTGCTGGAAGAAATCTCTTTTTAGAGATAAGCTCGCCCTTGTACATTACATTTATTCTGTATATTTTTTTTTTATTATGTGTGTGTGTGTACAATAAAGAATAAAGAATAATTTATGAACTAGCCAGTTTTCCATTAGTGGAGTGTTTCTTAGCTCTCGGTTTGTTATCAGTGTACTCATCACAAGAGAGTTAGTCAGAAGTATAATTTGAGACACGCAAACAAACAACAAAGCATATTTTGCTGCTAGCCAAATTTCAACTCACGACCTTTCAGTGTAATAAACCTAAGTCACTATGTTTCTCCACGCTGTTCTTATTAATTAATCTACGTCGATATTCATCACCACAGTGTCCCTATAAAGTCATTCTAGAAGTCTATTTATTTCACTGTAAGTACAGTTAAATAGTGATTTATTTTATATTACGAAACTTTTCTCATATTATTATGCGTCAAATTTAATACGTCATTACATGAGTAAATAGCCTACTTTAATAAACTTGTTTATTTCTTAGTGTACGTATTAGATATACCTACCTAAGTGAAAAATACTAAACCTATAGAACACGGAACACTTACGTAACAAAGCTTTGTTGACTATGATAATATAGAGATACAGGATATAGGGATAGGATTCCGGACTATTGATACTCTACGAGTCGACGGATTGCAATTAATAAGAATGCAATTTGAATGTACTATTGCATGTACGAACACTATATGGGAGTAAATCGAATAGAGTACATTCGTTTCATGTAACTGGATTAACAAACAATATGACGACCCACCTGGTGTAAATTGTTGACGGCCTCGGTGGTCTAGCCGTTTAGCACACTGCTTTACTTCCGATGGTCGCGGGTTCATTTCGTCGCATTGTTCCAACATTTATAGTCATGAGTATGATTGTTTGTATCGGTCTGGGTGTTTTCTATGTATATTATGTATGTATTTACAAAAAAAATATCCAAGTATTTGTATAAGTTGTCTAGGTATCCATAACACAAGCTCTGCTTATTGTGGGACTAGATGGCGCTGTGTTAATTGTCCAGGGTTATGTATGTATGTATTGTATCCCTTTATATCTCTAATACCTTGCTATTCCTGAGTTCTATAAGAAGACCCTATCATTTAACTGCCATATCTCACTATTATGCGAAATAAAACCACGCAGCCTACTTTGTACCGAGTATACGGTAATAATATTATCATCGGCATCTGATGATTAAAGTAGATTTTTATCGTATTAATCAAAAGAATATATTTTATAAAAAATCTGTAGTACATTTATGATGTGTCATGATTTAAGAGATTTCGAAGATTTTTTTCATCGAAAGGTTTGGTTCCATATTAAACTCACGATACTTTTATGAAGGTAAAAGCAGTCATGATATGAAAAAAAGTAGGTTAGGTTAGGTAGATTGTTTATTAATTAAAAGGGTTTTTTTAATGGATGATCCAATTCTGCACCCGTATGTACTAACGGTTTACACTAGTGGAGATAAGATGAGCATGAGGTCAGGTCTGTTGAGCCATCGTGATAAATTCACTAGGAGTTTATCACGCGGCTCCGGGGGAGGATCCCGCACGGAGGTTGACCTGACTTGGTGCATGGCTAGCGATCGACTAATTAGCTCACATTGTTAACAATACCTTTCCCTCCAATTAAAAGGGTTTATTCCATGTTAAGCGCACAGTACTTTTATTAATATGATGTTAACCGAAATTTATAAAGTGAACAACTCTATACAAATAAATGTTATAATTTTGCAGTTGCTGTCTGAAATAACGAAGCTGAATGACTCGCCAGCAGTGCATGGGATCATTGTACAGATGCCTCTGGACTCTGAACATTCGATCGATTCCCACAAAATCACGGATGCTGTGTCTGCTGACAAGGACGTTGATGGGTACTTGTCATTGTAGTATGATTTACTAAGAAGAATTTCCAAAATTATAGGCTTGTAACGAAAATACTTTAAAAATTATATATAGGGAGATTCTGTGTAATAGGACTTCATTAGTAGTTGAGTTAGAGTGGGTAACCCAGTCTCACCTATATCAGCCAAGAAGCATCTAGCTTTTACTGTATTTCACTTGTAGGGTGAGATTAGGTAGCGAAATTACAGGATAAGAGGCATGACATCTTAATCTACCGAACTGGCAACGCATGAGTGGTTTTATGGGCGTCACATTATAAAGTGATATCCGTAGTGCTGTTCATGTATATAGGCTAAGGTCACAATTTACCATCAGCTGGGAATTTAGTCTGTTTGCTATTCTATTTAAATAAAAAATAGGTAAATAGGTTAATTTACTATTCACTTATTATTTTATGTTGTGTTAACCCAATTACGCTGAGGTATAGAGTAAATAGTTCTTTGCATTGGCGCAAGGGCATCTCTATCATTCTCATCTCGATAATAGTACATGCTGTAACTGTAACAATTTTTATTCAATTACTCGACTGATAACTGAGTTATTTGTTTTACCATTCGTGAAAACGCTATTACGCATTATAAAAAATTAAGATGTTGTAATATATAGCATATATTTTTTGCGTCTAAAGAATACAAAAAATGTTACACATATTTTTTGTAAATTAAAACATAATAACAATTTAAAGTAAATTTTCTTATTTAATTCGTTTGGAACGAACCAGTACGTTTAAACTAATTCTGTTTTAATTTGAATACGGCTTAAAAGTGTTTAAAACTTTTAATTTAAGAAAAATATTATAGAATATATTTTTAAGACGTTTTAATTAAAAAAAATATCTGAAATTTGTTTTATTGTCTGTCTATAATAGCTTGAACACAATAAACGAGGGTCGTGCGGCAGTAGGAGATCTGTCTGGGTTCATTCCGTGCACACCAGCAGGTTGCGTGGAGTTGATAAAGACAACCGGGGTGCCCATTGTCGGCAAGAACGCCGTCGTGCTTGGCCGCAGTCGCATCGTGGGCACACCTGTGGCGGAACTTCTTAAATGGGAAAATGCCACTGTTACAGTATGCCATTCCAAAACTAAGAATCTAAGCGATATCGTAAGTACAGGTATAATTACAATTTGCTGATTATTTCAATACAAAATACTTTTTTTTACCAGAGGTAGACTTAATACAAAGTTTTCTGCGTAGGCTTACTCTATCTTATTCTCATCCAACATTCTGTAAAGTCGGTTTTTTATGTTGTGTTTCGGTTTGAGGATGAAACATCAGCAGAATGCGGAGAGTGATATAACAGAGAACGGAGGCATGCCTGTACGGTTATATTCATAAGAGGATTGTCGCTCTAAGTTAGGATTTGATGTAAAAATTTAGAAGTTTGAGTAATTGACTAGTAAACAGATTTAGCTATTTAGATAGATATATCGTTTATTTGTTTGATTTACTATATTACCTGCCATAGTACTGGGTTCCTATAGGGCTTTAAGGTCAAATCTTATATTCTCTCGCATTGGTGATATACAAATCACTCGACGAAAGTTGATGTCATATATGGCTAAAATTAATATTTTGTATTATATTATTTTAGACGAAAACAGCGGATATCTTGGTGGTTGCGATTGGCCGTCCGGAATTGGTGCGAGGGTCGTGGATTAAGCCCGGAGCTGTTGTCATTGATTGTGGGATCAATCCTATTTCAGGTTTGTGTGAAACAATGAGTTGTTTTTCAATTCGTATATATTAAGGTTTCTTAAAGAACCTCCCTGGTGATTTAGCGTTTAGATTTAAGTCCATCTGAGACAATCCTAATTAAAATATTCCCATGCCATAATTCGAATAGGGTAGGTACTCATGTTATCAAGTTATTCCGCGAGCTAACTTGTTTGCTTTAAATGTTTATTCATTATTGTCAATGAGCGGAACCGAATGACACAACAAATTGTATAAACATGAACTTTTATCTTTTAGTTTACACCAGTTGAGTCAGTTGCTTCGACATTTGGCAATGTCGAAGGAACTGACTTGAAGCAATGTCCTTATACATTGCCAAATTTTAATAACATCATAATCATTTGGATGCTATAAAAACTAAAATAATATTTTTTAAGCAACCTATGGTAAAATAGATAGCTAACCTATCTATTCAATTATATATTCCTTAAACAGATTCATCAAAGAAAAGCGGTCAGAAGCTGGTTGGTGACGTAGCATATGCTGAGGCTCTGGAAGTGGCATCACATGTGACTCCGGTGCCCGGCGGTGTGGGGCCTATGACAGTGGCGATGCTAATGAAGAACACAGTGTTAGCCGCGAGGAGACAACTCGATCGTATATTAACTCCGACCTGGCCTCTACGTCCCCTCAGACTGGTGCCAGCGTCGCCACCTCCCAGGTTTTATATACTACTATAATAATAATATCTCAGGACTATACACACATCGCCATCTAGTCAGTAGCTAAGCAGAGTTTGTGTTATTTTTTTGTAAATATATACATAATATGTACAGAAAACACCCAGCCTGATTCAAGGACCTGGACATGCGTATATAGGCCCTCAGTGTATATAATATTTCAAACTTAATGGTAACGATGATGATGATGGTATCTTGATTTTTAAACAGATTTTAGTAGGCACATTAGACTTATATTATATTAACATTAGTAAGTCATTTATAGATTCAGGCGCATAACACACAAATGTATTTTGTGTTTGTTGCTTGCTATGTAGCACAGCTCATCAATCCAGGCTGTGAAAATAGTTTTCTTTCTCTACAGCGATATCGTGATAGCGCGATCCCAGAGTCCGAAGGATATTGGCGAGTTAGCTCATGAGATCGGCCTATTTCCGAAGGAGGTCTCACAATATGGACGTACAAAAGCAAAAATCTCACTCTCAGTGTTGGACCGGTTGAAAGACCAAAGCAATGGGAAATACATCGTGGTTGCCGGGTAAGTTTTTCGTGAAGAGGTTCATCAGGTATGTAATATCGGATAAGGTTGTAAAAGATATTGTTATTTCTTTGACGGTTTTAGGTTAGGAATTTTTAGATAACATGAAAACTCATGACTACTGTTCTATATTAAACCGAGATACCCATATTCTTTGTCAGAAATATATAAAAGAGATTTCGTTATGTCCAGGATAACACCCACACCTCTTGGGGAAGGCAAAAGTACTACGTTATTAGGCCTAGTCCAAGCTCTTTGTGCGCACCGTGGACGCAATGCATTTGCTTGCATGCGACAACCTAGCCAGGGTCCGACCTTCGGTGTGAAGGGAGGCGCCGCCGGTGGTGGTTATTCACAGGTAAAGTGCTATAATTTCTATCATTAAACCCCAAAATAGCAATCCTATATCATCACAATTCGTAATAAATGAACTAAATTATGACACGGTAATTAATATTTTGACGCAATGAGAGTCAATACTTTGTAAAATTTTAAAATTTTAAGTTATTAAGAAACCAGTAAAATTTTAAGTTATTAAGCATATCATGTCAACTCCAATTGTTTAATAGGGTTATGGAAAGAAGATAGTAAATCTATTTTTAATTAATAGGTTATTCCAATGGAAGAGTTCAATCTGCACTTAACTGGAGATATCCATGCGGTTACAGCTGCTAACAACCTACTCGCCGCCCAGATGGATGCACGTATATTCCATGAGCTAACTCAGAAGGATGGTCCTCTATATGACCGTTTGGTACCAAAGCTTAAAGAAACAAGAAAGTTTTCTCCTATACAGTTGAGAAGGCTCAAGAAGTTAGGAATTGATAAAACCGACCCCGATTCTCTTACGACTGAAGAAAGAAGCAGATTTGCCCGTCTAGATATTGACCCAAAACGAATTATGTGGAATAGAGGTGAGAACCAAATATTATGAAGTAGGCTACAGGGTTAGTCATACCGTGAGTGATCAAGTCTGTGATAAGTAAACTATTTTGACGATGTCAGATTTGTTGGAATTCTTTGGTTCAAAGAAACTTACTAATTGAAGTAATTGCGTAAAGATTACATGGAAATTTTAAAATATGTTTTAGTTCACCATTTTGGTTGGAGAAAGATAAATAAGTATAACCGATATTTCCGATTTATATTAAATAAACGCATATTTAATATAAATCGGAAATATCGGTTTAACATAACTTTTTATATTATTGCCGGAAAATTCCGGAGTAATTTGAATTTATAGAAAACTTTTAATTGTATTTTCAGTGGTGGATTTAAATGACAGGTACCTTCGTAAGATTACCATAGGTCAATCGCCAACTGAAAAGGGTTTCACTCGTGAGACTGCTTTCGACATATCTGTCGCTTCGGAGATTATGGCCATTTTGGCACTTGGCAATGACGTGGATGATATTAAACTAAGACTTGCAAATATGGTTGTGGCGTATGATAAGAAAGGAAATCCTGTAACTGCCGACGATTTAGTGAGTACATGTCGACTTGTTTAATTTAATTAATTGTGTCTTTAATTAATTGTGAATTGTGTGACAAATAAGTTGACGGCCCGCCTGATGGAAAGCGCCACCGTTATTTACACAGGTGCAAGGCCTGTGGTTAATGGTAATGGTATGATATTATACGTTACATTCCTGAGGACTACGATGTCATCCGTCCGTGATCTGTAATACATACAATGAGGCTTTAAAACGTGACGCCTGTGAGTGAAATGTATAAACCTATTACAAGCATATTTGTGGTTTACTAACTAAAATTACTAACTAAGACATACTTATTATTGAGATCTAAATAAATTATAAAGAAACAGAATCTTTTGTTGAATTATATTTGTATACTTGGTATATTTTATACTATCTGTTACTTTCGACTTTATCTGCGTCTTTGAGATTTAGCCCATATGAAGGATATGGGATCCATCGGGATACCATCAATTTTCACATGAAACTTTATTAAAATCCTTATTTTGTTGTTAAAACGTTTTTTGTATTTATAATATTAATATGAATGTCTGTTTAAATTAAAAGCTATATGTTGTACATAAATTACTGTTGTTCAAAATTTGTACTTACATTTACATTAGTACTTACAATTTAATTCTAGGGAGTTACGGGTGCTTTACTGGTTCTGCTTAAAGATGCATTTGAACCTACCTTGATGCAGTCTCTTGAGGGTACTCCGGTGTTAGTCCATACGGGTCCTTTTGCTAACATCGCTCATGGGTGCTCATCCATCATAGCTGATAAGATCGCTATGAAGTTGGCGAGAGAAAATGGATACGTAGCCACTGAGGCCGGTTTTGGATCTGATATAGGTCAGTATTTTCACAACCTTTCATTTAATATGCAACGCTTGTATGTTTTATTAATGGATGAATATGGAATGGTACCATTGGTATCTGTTAGCGGCGCGCCAGTAGATGAAAAACTAACGTGTGATAGCACACCTACGTATTTACCACTATGAATTCAACTCCCGTCAACCATTTGTTATCAATGGTACATTGTTAGCATAGTACATTGTTAGCAATGGGGCCACTAGTCTTCATTGCTAAAAATCCGCTTTCCCTCCAACAATGCTAGTTGCTTTGTTCAGGTCATACTTTACAGCTGAATTTTCATCCTCAACCGATTGACCTGATTTTTTCATGTTTAGGATGACAATATGACTACCGAAGATTGCGAAAGTTTTTATGCAATTTTATGAATGGGTTTAATACCCATTCATAAAATTGCATAAAAACTTTTCGCGTCAATGGATTGCGAAGATACCAAAAATAACTATCATCATGATATTATTCGATATCCAATATGGCAGACACGGAAGCTCTTTAGTATTTTCGTATGTTTAAAACTGAGGAATCATGGGGAAGCGGTTGGACGGTATGGTGGATAACTGCAGCATCGTTTGCGTTCTTTCGTTTCGGAGAAAGTAAGCCAGGCTATTTTGGCCAACTAGGTCACAATACCTGCAGGTCGGGTAAGCGAAAGAAAGTTGCTTTCGCGACCTCGGCCGCCACGAGCTTAGAGTTATATCATCAAGTTTTTAGCCGGTAGGAGTCCGACAGTACCCAATCCTCCCCTATGGGAATGGGTCTCCATGACGGATCTAAAAAAGGCCTTAATGCCCGAAACTACATATGGGAAGTCTTCCTTTGATATAATGAACAATTTATAATGAGAGGTCTAAATATTTGGGCAGGGATGGAGAAGTTCTTCGATATCAAATGTCGGGCTAGCGGTGATAAGCCACACTGCGCTGTCATAGTGTCGACAGTTCGTGCATTGAAGATGCACGGTGGTGGACCTGCCGTCACCGCCGGTGCACCGCTAAATGAGGTCTACGTGCAGGTCTGTACGACTTAAATAATAATAATAATCTCATCACACTGCGCCATCTAGACCCAAGTTATGCTACATAAAGCTTGTGTTATGGGTACTAAACAACCGAAACAAATACATAGATAACACCCAAATCGATACAAACAATCATACTTATGAATACAAATTTTTGTGTTGTGTTATTTTTATTTATGTTTCTTTTCAATATATATAATTTATATTGCGTTTATATACTTATATTTCAGGAAAATCTAGAATTGCTAAGTAAAGGCTTATGCAATTTAGGAAAGCACATTAGCAACGGAAATAAGTTTGGAGTTCCGGTTGTTATTGCTATAAACAGGCACGGGTAAGTGTATTAAATGTTATTTTTTTATAACTGTATATAAAATGTTGAATAGTAATATAGTAGGTATACGCTGGCAGGGCACCAGTGGTGAATAATAGGATGTGCCTAAAGTCAGATTAATTAGTCCATTAAATTCACCAAAAAGAAAGTAATTACTATTACTCTAATATTCTAATTTATTTTTTAGTTTGGATATACTTTAAATGTCATTCATCTTTTTTTTTGACGCTGTTTTAACAAAATGTAAAAGAGATGATTATCATTCACGTCAGATGTTCTACATATATTTATTTATTTAAAATTTAATGCAATTAATTTCATGAGAATCGGTCAAGCCGCTTCGGAGGAGTATGGGAACGAAAACTGTGACACGAGAATTTTATATATAAGATTGAATGATACATATACAAATATATAAGAATAAATAGCTACATATATATATATATATATATATATATATATATATATATATATACATATTTAATAATCGAACAATGAAATATCATGTACTGCCACAAATAAAGGAAATATATAACTACAAATTAATAAATAAAATAATAATAATAATAATCTTAGTTCAATTATTCAAGGCTGATTTTGCTTATTCAGAGTAAAAAACTAAATATAAATATTATTTATAACATTATTAAAATAATACACTTCAAAACCAACAATAAACAAATATAACAGTAGGTAATAGACCAGAAGTATAATTGCGGTAAAAAGAAATAAAATATGTATGTTATGTCGATTGTATTAACTAAACATGGCACGGAGGGCCCGTGTCTACATCTCGATCATTCATTTTTAGACTCCCTTCACTGCGCCCTGCGCTCTACATGTTTACAGAATGCCGATTCAAAGCCAAGTGACTTGAGAGAGCTGCGATAACGGTATTTTTATGCATTTTACTGAATAGCATTACAGTTCACACAACAAGGCTATTATTCTACCGATTACTTATGAAAAACAATACCACGAAACCGAATATATTTTTGTTACTATTTTATGTTTTCCGATAAACAGTATAAAATAACAAGGTTGGTCTATTTTGAGTAAAAACATACCACAACATTTAGTGACTACTAGGAATTGAGAATATCACTTATTCATAAAAGAATAGCTGGCATGTTACCAACCTAATATATAATCCACTGAATAGTGGGTTTTTTTAGCAAAGGTCAATATTGCCCTCCCTAAATCTAAGTTTATATTATAGATCTAGAACTCCATGTGGTGCTCATTTTTGATGAAACTAGAACGGCATACATACATGGATATCACTATGGAAGTCACATTACGGTTTATTGTATATTTTTTACTAATATATACGATATTTAGGAAAAAATGTATTGAAGTGTCTCTATCAGTTGATACAAGCTCTGATTAGCTAGGGACTAGATGGCGCTGTATGAAGTGTCTTAAACTATTATTTTATGTTATTTACTGGCGGTGCTCTCAACTTCGTTTGCGTGCACATTTGTATTAATTGTTTTGATAATTTAAAAAAAAATCTCCTTTGAGCTACACACAAGCTAAGCTAAGCTATCCTTTTGCCTTTAAATTGCAGACTAATTTCTTGACTACTTTCATGACTTCTCCAGCATTGTTTACAAATAGATAGCCATTTTCTCATCCTTCGCTTCCTCACGCGATGTTATCATAAATTTATAAAGATATTTATTTTATGTAAATAATATAGAACGTTCAACGTAGGATTCGGATATTTTTAATTATCCAATTATGAATTGGGACTCTACACTATTATATAATTACAAATATAATATATGAAATAATTTTCTCACTCACTTATAACTACTATATACAATTATATTTTATACAATAAATATTGATTTATATACATACTAAATTTTAAACATCATCTCGTACCGGCTGGTCTAGTGTGTTATCATTCATTGCCGTGTGCTTCTGAAACACTCACAGTTTATGACGTACTCGTAGGGTGTGTGCGTCGTTTATTACGCTGCGGCGCGGCGTACGCATTTACTTTTGCTTATAAATAATTCCTGAATATGCCTAACTAATTAACTTCAACAAAATATACCACAATATGTTTGTCCATACAAACACAATTAAACGAATTATTTTATAATAAATAGAAAGAGAATGGAATATACAAAACATATGTTAGCAATTTAACACTAAGTAGTGTAACTGTGTTTATGTGGACATACATAACTATCTAACTGTGAGTTAATCTTGTTTTATTAATTCATCCATAACAAAATAATTATATATATGGGATACGATGGGACTGGCATTATCATATTATGATAAAATTTCCCCGAAATAAAAAGGAATTATAAAAAAAATCAAAATAATTCCCAATAAATAGTATAAATGTAGGTAGTAACCACAATATTTGCATATTATGTATCTTTGTTTATTAACAGAAATGATACAGACGCCGAGCTTAATCTAATAAAGCAGTTTGCTCTTCAAAATGGAGCATTCAGAGCAGTCTTGTGTGATCATTGGGCGAGGGGTGGCGCCGGGGCATTGGATCTGGCGGATGCAGTAATTGAAGCTTGCGATGTTAATTCAAACTTCAAATACTTATACCCATTAAATCTATCTATACGCGATAAAATTAAGAACATCGCAACAGAAATGTATGGCGCTGGGAATATAGAATTTACAGATGATGTGCAAAAGAAGATCGACATATTTACTGAACTGGTTCGTAATTATTGTATATATTTATTTTACCTACTTAGGTTTCTTTTTTATTATACTTTCCTTTTATACTTTCTTCTTATTATTATTATATTTCAACAAGAGAGCTTATTCGCCTTTAAAAGGCCGGCAATTCAGCTGCAATTTGCCATTTGCCGCAAGTCCTGGTCTGCGAGGCAGCAATATGTCAATGTGTCCAATTTCCTCCGGGTTGAAAACTTCTACAATGGTTAAGGTACTATGAAGTCTAGTGAACGTCAGCTTCTGTCCCGAGTGTAGTAGTACTACTTCTACTAACTAATACTTTAGTTACTACTACACTTTAATACTACTTCATATCTTAACCATTTTGGAAGTTTACAGCTGAGAGGAAACGATTGACGAAATTCGGGCCGAATTTCGCCAATCGTTTCCTCTCAGCTGTCATGGGGACTATAGGTATAAAAAGATAGCCCTTTGTTTTTTTTATTGATGATAATGGAATGGTGCACCCGTATGCGCTGTCGGTTTACGCTGGCGGGGCACCAGTGGAGGATGATAAGATGAGTATGAGGTCAAGTCAATTAGCCCATCGTGACAAATTCACCAGGAATTTATCACGATGGTTTTCAGGGGGAACCGCGTGGAGGTCAACCTGACATGGTACATTAATAGTAATGGGGTCATGAGACCACATTACTAACAATCCCTTTCCCACCAGTAGCCCTTTGTTATATATAGGCAGGTTTCAGTTTTAAATAAGAAATTTCTATATATTATATTAGGTTAGTTTACGATTTATAATTTAGGTTAGGCTAAGAATTGTAACAATTTTCTAAAAACAAATCGGATTCTTTGACATTGGTGACATACCTATGTTGACTATATATAATATTGCATTTCTAAAAAAAATTCTAACTGTCCGGAGTGAAATATATAATATTCATTTGACATCTGTTTATATTCACGAGGTTCGTACAGATTATTTCTTATTATATGTATTTTCTAAATAAAAAAATAATTAATATTTACTTACTAATACTAATTAACTAATTAATTATTTATTTAGTAAATGATAAAAATCTACCTGGACTTCCAATGGTCACTAGTACGATGAAAAAAAATTGTAATAATATTTAAAATTAATCACAAGCTCTTCAGTAACTGGCACATGTAACTTTGAATCAATGAATTTATTGATAATGTAATTAATATCCCTCTTAGCTGCTGATTCACTTTGCTAAATCTGTTGAGACCACATGGCCCGATGTTTTTTTCATCATAATTATACAAGTACTTGGGTTTGATATTGATATAAGTATTTACATTATATACAGTCTAATAACAATTACTATTTTATGAAAACTAGCTGTTAACTGCGACTGCGTCTGCGTTTGTTTAAATAATGGAATGGAATAGTCTTTGCTGATCCTAGTGATACAATCTATCTTTAAGATATCAATTAGAATCCATTTAGCCGTTAAACGTGAAAAGATAACAAACAGTCGCACTTCCACATTTATAATACTGACTTTTAAAATAGAAAAAAGTAATAAAGTCGCTCATAAAAATAATTTGTTTAATCATAGAAAAGTAATAAACGGACACACTGTCTATATGTATATAATATAGTCATTTGTTGGTCCTATATTATTCTTTGTCATAAAGAATTTGATTTTTTAGTAAATAAATATTAAAATTAATTTATTTAATTAAATTTCTACTTTTTTACAGGGTTACGATAAACTGCCAATCTGCATGGCCAAAACATCCAACTCATTGACGGGAGACCCGGCAATAAAGGGTGCTCCTATGGGCTTCACTTTGAAGATTAACGATATCTTCGTATCCGTGGGTGCTGGGTTCGTGGTTCCCATGGTTGGGGAGATTTCCAAAATGCCCGGCCTCCCCACCCGGCCCAGCATCTATGATATAGATCTAAACACTCAGACTGGCGAGATTGATGGACTCTTCTAACTCCTCTAATTATTATTTTTTGTAATATTGTATAAATTATAATATAATACATCTAATATTGTTTTATTTTTTACATATATAAATACTCTAATTTTTAGTTAACCTAATTGGAATAGCAAACAAGCTGATGACCTGATGGGAGGCGGTATTCGTCGGCTATACGTATTAACAGCACTACGGATATTACTTTGTCACCCTTAGTACCATTTATGTATCATCATTCCAGAGAACGATTTACGATAAAGAGTTACGATTAATTTACGACTAACCTTGCATCTATATATATCTAAACTTGACTGTGTTGCTAACGGAGTATGATCCGATCCACTAACTGAACCTCGGAAAAATTTGATCATAAAGTCAAGAAGTCATAAAGATTATAAATATATATAGAGTAGATTTATAAATATATATTGGTCGTGTGTCGGGCCAATTCCGGATAAATAAAGTAAATGATAAACATTCAACTTTTTGATATTTGGCAGTTTGTAATCACACAAGATTCTGAAAAACATTAGAAATAGCAACACGCAAGTTTCTTTCTCATTCTTTTTGTGACGAGTCTGCGTTTCGAATGAGTGGTAGAATAAAAAAATATGACTGTTCAAAAGTGCTTATATTAAGTTTGTTTGAATGAAGATTATTTTTATTTCTATTCCGTAAGGGGGTAGTACAACGTTATATAAAATGCATATATGCATTTGAAAGAGTACGGAGGATACTCTGCATCCTATTTATTAGATATTATTTTCCTCTAAATTATGAGTTATATACGTGGTGACAAATGTATAATAATATGAATAATTCTTGTAATTGGAACGATAAACGAGCTGACTGCCTATGATGGTAGGTGGTAACCGTCGCCTATGAACAGCACTACTGACATCTTGTTTTCAAATGGCACCAATAATACTCATGCGTTGCCAATCCAGGTAACGGCTAACAAAGCATGCTTCGGGGCTGAAATAGGTAAAACTGAGAAACTGATCTACTAACTACTACTGCTTTCTATACAATAATGGAGGAAAAGAACTCATATTATACATCATCAAATACTACGAATATTACCATATTACTCGGTAACTTTACCGGTTATCTATTTATGTAGTAATGTACTTCGTCAGGTGGACCTCCCCTGGATCATGAATCATCATGATAAATTCATGGCGAATTTACCTCGATGGGCTGTTCTTATACTGATCTTATCACCCTCCACTGGTGCCCCGCCAACGTAAACCGTTAGTACAGGCTGGTGCACCATTTCATTATCACCCATGAGACAAAAAAGATGTTGGGATGCCAACTGTACCAGAATCCTAGATTTTTGGCCGTCGCTAGGAGAACATTCTTATTCTTGTACTCGGACAGAGACTTTGATTTGCGAAAATCGGTCAAATTAGACATGAAACGGATATCCGGTAACTATTTCTTCCGGTACTTATTAGTTCCGGCCTATATATAGCTATTATTATTATTCAGCTGGAAAGGCATCCGGCCGACTTAAAAAAAAACTGGGTAAAAAAAATTTTTTTTAAGTAATTATTTGCTTTATTTAGTTAGTCTTAGTATTACTTAAGGAATAAAATTAGTTTTAATTTTTAATTTTTAATCACTCAATAGTAAATTACTGTTATAGCAAGAAAATGAATTTATTAGTTAGCTAAGTTCCGCCGGATATCCGGCTATTCGGTCACATGGTTTTAGTGCCTGATAGATTAAAATAGCTCGAATTCTGCACCATGGCTTGGCATGGCCAGTATATTCTTTGCTCAGTACTATCGTGCGACTCGAATGAATCGCACATGTTTCACGTTATGTTATAAATATTTACGAAACAGATGAACGCTACAAAGTTTGCGCACTTTGGTTGGATACATTTGAATTTTGATATATTAGAATTACTATAAATAATATTTACTTATATAACAAATTCTTGATCATGTACAGAATGTACTGTGGTCAATATTATTCCGTGAAATAGTGAAAGTGTAAAGTCTAATATATTTATCAAAAATATCCATGATATTATTATTATACACCAATTTTATGTTTGAATACAAAAATAAATATATTACATCTAAATCAGAGGTTACTTAGTTGTGTATAAGTTAGAAAACTAAAGATAAATAAGTAAGTATTTTTAATTTGTTATATTTTATAAACAACTTTAATTTTTAAAAATAATGCCTTTATTTGGAGCATACCAATATGCTCCAAATAAAGGTATATTATTAATTGAGTTATAAGCCGGTACAATTAATTTATTGAGTAGGAAATTGAATTGAATATCGTTTTAAAAATGTATGTATAGAAAGTTTGTCAATATTTTTTTTTGCAGTATAATATGAGGCCATATTAAAAAGTAGCATTCAAATCATTTAAGCCGTTAAGAGATCAGTGCTCACAGAGAGACTAATTAAAATCTAGCAATCATTGTTTTGGTTTCTATTTTGTTCGTAGTCCTCTAATCCCTACAAACACATATTTCTTTTTGGACGAATAATATTGTAATGTAAAACCCCGGATAGAGCCTGGAGATCTGTAGTACATGTTTCTTTCGACTTAATTCAGACTCCAGACAAATATATGAAAGTACACTACAGAACCGTTATTAATAGGCACCAAGTCCTAAAAATGATCATAAACTTTAAGCTAAATAAACTTTTTGGGAGTGAAATCGCTTGAAATTGATATTAAAATAATAACTTTTATATTAAATTAATAATTAAAAAAGAAACATATTCATTTCATTCATTCATTTATTTTATAGTTAAATTATATTGTATAGGTTACTTACTTATACAATACAAAATAATTATGGAAGATAATAAACCTTATACGTACCATAATAATTCTGTCAACCGACTTCTAAAAAGGAAGACTTCTGTTTGATCCCCATGTATTTTTATTTTGTACTAGCTGTACCCGCGACTTCATCCGCGTGGAATTTAACTTTATTTTTTCTAAAATAAAAGTAGCCTAAGTTACTCCTTATTACATCAGCTACCTCCCCAAAAAAAGTCCCGTCAAAATCGGCCCTGCCATTTCAGAGAGAGAGCCGGAACAAACAGACAGACAGGCAAATATTGTAAAAAATGTTATTTTGGTGTGTATACCGTATTTATATTGCTATAACCATTTTTTACTATATATGCATGAAGTAAAAAATGGTTATTTCAATATTACAAACAGACACACCAATTTTATTTATATCTATAGATCTATAGATGTTCATCGACATTTTTTATATTTAATTTTATTGATGTTTCACGTAATTTATTTAAGAAACATGCTATTCGAATATTATATTTTTTTTTATTAATTACATAGCATTTATATCTAATTTTTAAAACTAGAAAATTTGGACCAACAGCTTATTTAATAATATGGTATGTGGTAATATTGGATGGATTCTTCAATCCGTCCTCTTCAGGACGGAATAGCAAAATATATTGATACTCGTATTTTATTTAGAATACGTATTGAAAAATACTAATAGCCTTCTTGCATTGGTGTTGCCTTTTGTACTACTTACATTCATATTATGTATAGAGACAGTGGTATGAACATTATACTCTCTTTTCAGATATATATATTTCTTAAAATATATAAAATGATAAAAGAGAAGATGTTTATAATAATAGTGGTTATAAACGTGGTCGTGATAAACGTGGTCGGTGGTCTGGATACAGCCTGTTGTGACACTGGTCAGTTGCTCCGGAAGTTCAAAAGTCCAGACGGTCAAACAAACAAAGTGTTGTGTTTCGAACGAGAATCCAATAGAACAATGCCCTTATCTATAGCCTGCGAAATGCCTGTAATAGTAAGATCGAAGCATTATGTGAGTGAGAAAGGACATTTAGTTTTGCAAAATATGGCCAACTATGATGTAACTGTAAACTCAGGAGAGTAAGTATTTACACTATTTTTTATATAACTGTAATTGTAAATAAGCTGACGTTCCACATGGTGGCTAATGGCAACCGTCACCTGACATGAAAAGTAGCAAGGAGACCACGGTGTCGTATGATAGCCGCAATGCCCCTCATATGTTGCTATTGCCAGGACTAAGATATCCTGTAACTTAAGCTGACATATCTCAACTTCAATCCAAACACAACTAACTAGAAATCTGCTTGGCGGTTGCGATAGGTGAGATATCTCTGTCTACTTAATTTATATTATTTTGTTTAATTCCGCTACAGTTTATAGAAATCCGTTAAGTAAACAATAAGTAAACAAAATAATACAAATCCATTAAGTACTGAAATGGAGTTCCGCATTGACACCTAATACGATTAAATATATATCTCACCTATTGTAGTCGCCAAGCAGATTTTTAACGATTTTGTACATAGTCTGCCTCGGGAATGACATACATTTCCTTTAAACCACATAAACTTTGAGATAATATAAATTCCGGAATATGTAAAAATATTTTTTAATTTGATTGAGTAATTTTTAAGCATCCTAGCAAAATAAAAAATAGCGCAAACTGAGACCTAGAAGCGATCATTATAAAGAAATATCAAATTTCTTTTAATTTTATTTAATTAAACGGCGGTTGAAGGCGTGCAGCTTATATGAGTGCATTTAATTGTTTTGTTGATTAGAATTCATTATTATAGAATTATATTTATTAAATCATCGTTACATAGTATAAAATAAAGTCGCTGCCGCTGTCTGTACCTATGTATGCTTAAATCTTTAAAACTACACAACGGATTTTGAAGCGGTTTGTTTTAATAGATAGAGTGATTCCAGAGGAATGCCAGAGGGATTATATATATAATACAAGTACACTCGGGCGAAGCCGGGGCGAGTAACTAGTATGTATATTATGTAGTAGTAGCTATATTATAAATAGCAATGCATCATATCAGGTCTGGAAACCATGTTATTTTATTATTGGTGAATGAAAGTCGAGCATGAAGTCTGGTCACTTCGAGTCAGTTTCCTCCATGGAGTACATAACTGACCAGACTTCATGCTCGACTTGTCAAACTCCGTTGGTGCCGCGACAGTGTAAAAAAATAAATAAAGTAGATATATTTTTACAGATATTGTTTGCACCGAAAAGGGAATTCAACAGATGAAAACTCCATAGTCATTGTGTTGTGTGTAAAAAGCGACGATACTGAAGATGATTTTAATGATTCCATAAAGGGTTATTGTATGATAATTTCTGTCATCTTTCTTACCTTGACTGCGTCGGTATATGCTGCTATCCCTGAATTAAGGTAAGTAAATAAATGTTCTAATTCATTAATAAACTGTGTTTAATTATTATTAAATTTTTCTCGATACTTAACAAGTCGCTGCCCTTCCCGGCTTTAGCAGGGATTCTTAATTTATCTAGTAAGAAATATCACCTATTTAATCTGGAATAATTGCAATAGTGAAATAATATCTCGTGTTTTTTTTAAAGAAATGGCCAGTGGTATTTGTATTTATTCGTTACGAATATGGAAAAATATAAATATTTCCTTTGTTATGTTGTATCTAAGTATTTTTTTATTGAAAATAATTTAGCCATAATTTACTCCAAGTTCTAGTCAACAAGAATTATATTTATTGATTTTATTATATACTGTTTATTGCACCTGATACAGAAAGTAAATAATAAACTATTAGAATACAGTATTCCTCTCATTATAATATATTGAATAGTAGTTAAATGATATCCTATATCCTATTACGCTATTGTGTAACTTACGTATATATACTTATTTTAATATAATAATATAAAAATATATACTTACTTAATTAATTAATACTTTGCCGTTGGATTATCAATATTGACGCAATACCAACTATTCATTGAAAACGATTTTCCTTTTTGTAACACGCTTCAATAAACAGTAGGCGTGTCAACCATGTTGAACAATAAAATATACCTATTTTGTTATAATTGTTTATGTAAGATGTGATAATAATTAATTAATTATTAAAATAAATAAGAATATGAAAGAAATATTTAATTATTTTATTCTATGTATTTTGAATGGTAAACAAGCTCATGCTCAACTAATGGTAAGTGGTAACTGTCACCTGTACACGAACAGTACCACACACATTACGTCAGCAACGTCATGTAGGTACCACTAATGCGTTACCATTTCGAAGGACAACGATGGCATACCTACCCTAAACTACCCTGTAATTTTATTGGCTTAGCTCACCACCAAACCAGAGCTTACAAAGCAAGTTGTTTGACGGCTGAAATAGATAAGATAGAGAACTCATGCAGACAACTTTGACAATATCCACCTCAGTTACATTCAGTTTGTAAGTATCTACAATTATATTACTTTTTTACAGAGATTTGCTAGGCAAAAGCTTGATCAGTTTCTGCGCAAGTTTATCTATAGGACTGTTCATATTGGTCGTCATGAAATTGGTGGATTATTCGGACATGGCGTTATGCGCAGCGAGAGGTTTGTGTTTTGTTCTCATATGTAGGTACTCGTACATGTAGCTGTAAGCTCAGGAGTAAAGGGTGTACAAAAGAAGTCAAAAGTCAGATAGAATAGTCAAAATCAACCTATTTCTCCAAGAAATGGAGTAGAACTTTGAAAATAATTTTTCATACTCAATTGATCTCGTGATTTATCTATGAGTACTGGCTTTAGTACTAATTGCTGTATAGATATAATATAATTATATATTGATAATTCACATATAAATACTAATATCTGAAGAAAACACTTTGTACCCCTTTTTACGAATATGTCTCGGAAGGAGGAAATTTCGAACACATAGTTCATAATATGTATATAGAGTAGGAGTGCAGAATGCTAATATATACTTTTTAATTATACATACATTAAATGAATATAAAACATTACACACTACCCTATATTTAACACACACGTACAGAAGTACCTATAATATTAGACAATAGAACCTTAATAATGTTCAAAGTTATAATTTAAATTAATTATGGTCGAATTTCGACCCTTTGACCCGTCACTAGCTACGACAAATATATATAATGTAAATATTTTATTAATTTTGCTATTGCAACTAACTACAAAATATAAAACAGGAAACAACAAATTATGCTTAAACGATAGTAGCACAGATTAGATTATTACTATGCGTTTCGCATTATTGTTTATTTTTGTATTAATTCTATTATAAGTAAAATAAAGTGGAGGACTATATAATTATTTATTTTCAGGTTTTCTTGCATATTTTTTTATACTGTCAAGCTTTTTTTGGTCTAATGCAATGGCAATACAAATAATGCTTTCTATGAGGTAAGTTAAAAATTTGTTTCCTCAATTTCAATAAGTACATATACACATATTATATCCTTCGGTTGTTTTGAAGTATTTAAATTTTGATATATTTAAAGAACTTTTGTCATTGATGTAAAATTAAATCTACGGTGAAAGGATGGTACTTATATATTTTTTATTAATCTGGATAACCCATATAGTGTCCCATATTAAGCAGAGCTTGGACTATGTATTATAAAAAACTAAGATATAAGGAAACAATAGTTCAAAACTTATGAAAATACATATGATTGTTTAGTGAAAAGGTCGAATCTATGCTCATCTGAGAACAGTGCGTTAAACAACTACGCCATTGAAGTCGTCAATTTGGTCCTGATTGTTTTGATATAGTTTTGAGTCTTGTTTCCTTGAGTTAAAGTAATATATACCCTCATGTTGTAGCCGACCAACTGTCCATGACAACAAATGGAGAGCGTTTTTGTGGTACTCGCTATATGCATGGGGCTGTCCAGCACTGCTTACAGTCATTATGGCAATTATCAATTTCCACCCCGGAGACCATGCCAAGCCTGGCCTCGGATTAATGCATTGCTGGTTTGTAGGTAAGTTGGTAATTCATACTAATATAACTCTGGCTGTTGCCTCAGTCATTTTAACGATGTGCCTCCCAAATTTAAATATATATATGCGGCTGAACGGATCTTAAATTTGACCTGAAGATGGATTGTATTATGAAGAAGAATATATATTATCTTTTATCTCAAAAAGAAAGCAGCGGTAAATAGCTTCAGTACTAATATAAAGAAAAAAGTCTGAAACTACCAGTACAATAAAAAAAAACTTTTTTAGACAAATCGAAGTAATCAGCTGTCGGTGGCCGAAAACGATCATTCGACCGAACCGACGAAAATATGACAAATTACAAATACATAGTATTTTGGATAAAGTAGGAATTAGGGTAATTTTAGACTCGTCTACACTGCCTGGTGACGCGGATGAAAGCGCGGATAACAAATATATAATTGAATAATTGATATATTGAATAATTGATTATTATTGAATAATTGATAGCAATGTGTTAGTCGCATATCCTAGATACCTTGTTAAAGCAATTATCTACACCCATATGGATTATAATAGGCGGAATGGGCCTACTTATTACAATTGCAAGTTTTAACTGTTATATGTTCAATGTTCATGCTTCATTGATACGATATTAATGCAGATGTGAATACACACTCGTATAACGTCTCGAAGATATCAAATTCCTGACCCTGCATGTACCTATAATGAAGAATATGTTCATTCTATTGAAGTGACGCAGGTCAACCAACTACAATGAATGAGTCTGTCTGTAAATATAGTTCAATTAAAACGTTCGTTTTGTGAGTTTGTCTGTAAATACACTTCAATTAAAACGATTGTTTAGTTAGTTTATTTTTAAAGTTCGACGGAAAATGGATGTGTTATACGTTTCACTGTGCATCTGTGTATTTGTGGCTACGTAGTTTGTAAACAAACGAATGAACCAATTATGATGCGGGTTTTTTAAATCTGAAGTGATGGAGATCTTTCTAAACGACAATATATCAGAAATTCATTTTTTGATTCTTGGGTATTTAAATTATTATTCTTTTATACAAAATACAGTTACACTGATATATCTAAAGGGACGTTTGCTTGAATGTTTTAAACTCTAAAGCTAGACACCTACATAGTGCAATCGGATTTAATAAAATTTTTAGATTAATATTGCAAAGATCAAGGTATGACGACGATAAGAAAAAAAACAGCCATAAATAGAGTAAATAGATCCGGCAATATGCAATGCGGTGGAGGGCCGGGAAGCGAGGTCCATTCATATTTTAGCTTTGGGCCTTGAATCATCTATGTTTGATTGTGTAGTACTCACTCCAAAGTTTGATTGTGAAGTATGAAGGCAGGAAAATAACTGAGAAGATAATGACAAATTAATTATGTTATTAAAGAGAATGAAAGACTAAATACATTAATTGATATACGAAAGAATGTAAACAATAATAAAAGTATAAGTACTAACTTAAGATACACTCGGTACGTGCGTAAGCAAGAGTTGCTAGAATTTACTAATTTTATTCATTGCACAAGCTGCGCGCTCAGACTTCACACTGGTCTACTAATGAACCAAATTACGTCAAATCTTATGTTTTAATAAAAATTCCTAACGTTAGTACGTAAAAATTTTTGTTTTGGTTTGTTTAGTTTTTAATAAAAAAAAAAAGATTTAATAAATGTGTAATGTGCGTGCCCAAGTAATGTATATGTCTGAGATAACTGCAACCCGCGTCTGCGTCTATTTGAACCTCTATTTCACTCGATAAAAATAAAAGATAGCCTCGTAAAAATACTAATGCTCATTAACCTACTTTCAATAGGTTAGTCACGAAAAGATAACAGACAGACACGTTTTCGTATTTATAAATTGTATTTGTATTTAATATTCTCTTATCTGTGATACAGAATATCATAGATAACAAAATATTAAATACAAACGCAGATCAGCGATCATTATAGAAGATATGACCGCCAAAGATTAACGACATCTGATCTTTTTGCAGTACATATATATACGTATAGTTTAAATATACTATTGTTGTTTAACAAACGAATTATTTTTTGCGAAATAATAGTAACTGTATCCTTACCTACTGTACCAGTTTCTCTAACAGGGTATATTGTTAGCAATTGGTGTCATTAGCCCCGCTTCGAACGAATCCCCACCGTCCATTTTGTTTTGTTACTAATTCCATTATCGTGTCGTGCTCTAGTAGTTTACCTACTGGTCTGAATGAACTGAATGAGATAACGATCTTCATTCTAGTCAGGGATGTCAACTGTACGAGAATCCGCGTACAAATACGAGATGTTAGGTGTTCACTACGAAGGCATTTTGATTCTCGTACATATACACGATATTTTGACCTAAGAAATCGTTTAAAATCCTATGGTTAAAGAGCTAAACTAGGCTAGTTACAAGATTTTATTAGTATTTAGTCTAGTTATCAGTTGATGAGACATGAGCATTTGAGACACACATAACGTTCTCAGACGTACTTAGTGTGCCACGGATGACACCTGAGGACCTGAAGTACGTGCTGCTGTTCCGTTCTGTTTACATACGACTGTTGCCACTTTCAATCAGTTAAACCATCAGTATTTGTTATTCCAATAACATATAACAATAATAATCTCAGAACAATTCACACAGCGCCATCTAGACCCAAGTTAAGCTAGCTAAAGCTTGTGTTATGGGTACTAGATAACTGATATATATATACATAGATATTTTTTGTAAATACATACATATTATACATAGAAACCGAGGTCGTAAAGATATAAAAGTAAAGTACATAAAAACTACATGATAGATGGAAATCATGAAATCTTCTTGTTACAGGAAATCAGCAATGGTACTACATGTATAGCGTGATGTCAATTCTAATATTAGCAAACATTATCATATTTATTTGGACTTCAACTCGTTTTTGGTGTTTATCGTTTAATTCATCGCATATTAAAGCAGGGAGGTACAAGTAAGTAATTTGTATGTCCATATATACATGTATAAAATATTTCTATTTCTACAAACTAGTTGGTTATAAGTATAAAATATTTTATAAAATTAGGTATATAGTTCCCTCTTTCCTTTCCGGATGTTCGGTGTTAGCCAGAAAAAATATTTATAGAAAGTAATATCACTATTAAAATTAAGTGAGTTTGAGGACTGATGCTTTACTGACATTGTCATCCTAAAATCCAGATTTTTTAATACTTACCTACTGAAAGAAAAACAATTGAAGAGAATAGTAAATCCTTTATTGAAATAAACTTAATTTAAGCACTTTTGAATAGTCATAACAATTTTTTTAATCTAAGATCTATCTAATAAGATTAAATCAGTCATAGTGATAAGAGCTGACCAGTCCCTATACTCGTTCACGAGTATAACGTATGAGCCAGCCATCACTGCGCTTGACCATATTTTAGGGATCCCAATGACCAGGCCTACCACGCCGCCATATGTATAGACATTTTAGTGAGCATGACTATTCATTCACGAATATACAACATACAAGAAACCATTGTGATTCGATTTCTTTAGTGGCGATTAACCACGCGGAAAACCGTAAATAGTAATTCTTATGAGAGATATAAAATTAGACGGTTAAAACTATAGTAAATTGTTTTTATTGAAGACAAAGAATTTTTAAGATTTTTTTACAATATGATATTACCTAATTTTATCTATATAGACTTTGTATAAAGACGCCGGAATGGGTGAATTTGTCTTAACTATTTCTTGCGCCAAGCAGTTTGCAGAAAATTGTATGGTGTGTGGCTGTGAAATTGCTGGGTACGGGGGTCTTATGTCACTCAAATGGCAACTTATGAGCAGCACAACGACCGTCACGTGACGACGTAATTATCCGTGGACTCGGCACCAGCCAAGTATATAGACGAAGGTTGCTGTTTAAATTAGTCTGCTAATCTGCATATTGATAAATAAAAACTTCAAATATTAAACTAAATTTATTTTAAATAACAAGTCTTCATTTTTTTTAGACTTATGCTTACAATTCGCCTATTTGTGTTGATGGGAATACCTTGGATATTTGAAATGATCAGTTCGTTTATGGAGACAAGTCTTGTATGGTAAGTTATTGAATAATTTTAGTCATGCATGTCATTTTATTGTAAGCTGATCTCACAGTAGATTACATACCTACCTATGTTATACGTACCACAGAATATATATATATATATTTTACTCATGCTATAAAGTTGTATGTAGCAGATTTATGAAATAGTTATTGTCAATAAACACATAATGACACATAACACATAATGCAAAATACTAATGATAATTTAAAAAAAACCGTGAAAGTGTGAGTAATACCTACTCGGATAGTATGAAATCCGAACAAATCATCTCCCCGTTTTTTTCTTCAAAATCCGTTGCGTAGTTTTAAAGATTTAAGCATACATAGGGACAGACAGCGACAATGACTTTGTTTTATACTATGTAATGAAGAAATAAATTACAGTAATTAGGTATATTTATATTATATGAATTTAGTTTAGCGAAGATTTTTTGTAAAGAATTTTAATTATTAATTATAAAGTAATACAAAAGCAATACAATAAATACAAAAAATTGTGTAAATACACAAATAGTTCAATTTTAACAAATAACACTATTTAATATATAGCTGTGACAGAAGCACGGTTTTTCGGAGCAGCTTTATTTTGGTTCGTAAGGTTAAAAATATTTGCTGTATCGTACATTCTAGGTTCAATTTTGTAAATAACCTTGGTGACGTCTTTTAATTAAAATTTCTATGTAATAAATATGTTAATTTGATTCGGCGTACCATTATATTTATTTTCCTAATTATTTCATTAATTATTATACCTTATTAATTTTAAATTCATGTTTTTGTTCAAAATTATTTAGTTTTTAATAAATAATAATAAAAAGACTTACTACAAAGAAATAATAAATTAGAATGTTGGGTATTTTTAAATTATTGGTATTCCTTTATTTTTAAAATGTATGATTATATCGAAATATCGATAAAAAAACATAAAGAGTGATCTAACATTCGATTAAAAATATATATTAAAACAAGATTGTTTACTTGGCTAGGCCAGCATTTCATAAAATTTTATGATCAACATCCACGATATTTTAAGATCTTACCACAACATCTACCTACCTACACCTACGTTTATATACATCTGATAGTTTAAATATATATTTGTATTGTCATCAGGACCGTGATAGATATCATCAACACACTGCAGGGTTTGTTTATATTCATTCTGCTGGTAGTACTTCGACGACGTGTCCTCAAGATGATGCTAAAACACGGTTGGTTGGACTGCATATCAGATCGCATAGAAAAACACTTGGCACTAGCTGAAGACGAGGAAGATGTCGTAGAACATGCAATAGATGTCAGAATGACAGAAAAAGGTAATAGTAAAATATAGTTGCCTTACTCTCTTGAACAAAGTATTTGAAATCGATAACATTATGTTTTGCAATAATGCATAAAGTTCAGCACAATAAGACGGCTGTGAGCATACGATATTAATGTTACACAAATTCTATATCTACTTAAACATAGTTGTAAAAATTAGGTACATACATTACGCCCTAAAAACAACTAATATGTTCTTAAGTTATAACATTTTTTTCTATTTTTTGTCTTCATCGTACCTAATTGGCCTGAGTCACTAACGATAAATATTTAAACTTCGTACAATAATATATATTATGTACAATGTTATGGAATAGGTACATATGATATGGGTAGGCACTACAGTGTGAAAGACGCACGAAGCGGTTACATAAGTCTGAACACGCCTCTTTAAATAAAAAAATATTATCTTTGACCGTAACAATTTCTTGTAAACTTGTGAGTGAATAAACATATCATTGAGGAAATAACCTACACTACTAACTGTATTTACCTATCTCTTCATATTTCCCCAATTTCCGGTACCAGACAGACACGTAGGTACTCTAAATATAAACTCAGCATATTTTTATCTAAATATATTCAAAACACACTTTTACAATAAAACAAAATTAGAAAAATTTCTTTTATTTTTAGAGTGTATACATGTACATATTTTTTAACGTGGTTATCTATTGGTAGACAAAATTGTCATACACGCATTGCTTAATTGACCGTGAGTTACTACGGTAAGGTCGAGGCAAACAAGTCACAAATAAGGTGTGTGAATTCTGTATATATATTATCATGATATAATACTGAGCTATTGTAAACAGTAAAAGCAATATATGAAGCTCTTAAAAAAGAATTCTGTATATGAATTGAAAATAAATACCTATAATAATATAATGAGTATAAAATAGCCTAATATTAGGGAAATTGTTACTAATACAATTTCCCTAACGTGAAGGTACAAAAGTAAACGGGTCTTTTTCATATATATTCCCAAGACAGCAGCATTTGAGTATCACTCAATATTTTATTGTAATTTGTACTGTTTTAGTTGTAAGAAATTGGACTCTCTGGTTGGATCTCGTTGGACTGTTGGACAGATTATGATTATACAATAAAATTGTATCATTATTGAATCTGTCCAATTCTTATTTTTATTTGTTGTATATAGAATTTACTACTTAGAGCTGTGTTCTTTCTTATTTACCAGTAAATATAATCACTTAAAAATATACGATACATCTAGATGTTGTACTAAATAGAGTTTCGGTTTTGAAGTGTATAAGTATTGTAAGTACAGACACCTGAGGGAATTCTGTTACGGTTTATAAGGATAAATTCGCCTTATCTGATACAGGCAATAAATTTATATAAACATGGGTTAACACTGTTATCGTCTGTACAAATATGAACATTTTGGTTTTTACGACTAAATAAAAACATAAAAAAGTCAAATAGAGAATGACAATTTTGTACTTATGTTATGCTATTGCTGGAATAATATGTTGCATTTAATCATAAACTAACAATAAGTTTAATGTAGTAGGTAACCGTTGGTTATTATTTGTGCCATAATTGTTATTTTTATGTCAATAAATTAGATCATTAAAATAAATGTAGTATTATTTTTATATATCTGTGTATCCATTATCTTACCTAAATGCAAGTACGAGTCATTTACTACAGTAAAGAGTCACTTAACTAGGTATTTCTAGTTATTTACCATGGTCCTTCTATCAACCATTTCATTCAGTAACTGAAATGACAAACAAGCTCCATTTGATGGTAGGTGACAACCATTGTCTACATACGTAGACATCACATCATCAGTAACAGAGTATCGTGATGATACCTTTCACCATAGCCATTTCACTACTATACTTTACCCAACAACCGAAAAGTAGCTTACAAAGCGAGCTGCTTGGCGTCTGAAACAGGTAACCAAAGTTACCTGAGAGAATTTATACATAATCTACCTCTGTTATCATACTAAAGTTCGATTATTAATATTAAATGCGAAAGTTTGTAAATATGGATGTTTGTTACTTTTTCATGCAAAAACTACTGAACGGTTTGATGAAACTTCACAGTAATATAGCCTATGCATCGCGGTAAGACCGCGGGTACATCTAGTATTTTATAGATTAACTAGCTTTTGCCCGCGGCTTCGCTCGCGCTAATTTATCCCCTCAGGAGTGGAATTTATAAAATCCTTTCTTAGAGGATGCCTACGTCATAATAACTTTATGCATGCAAAGTATCAGCCCGATCGGTTTATAATTGACAAAGTTTCATACAAACTTTCATCCCCTATTTTATCCCCTTGGGAGTAGAATTATTCAAAATCCTTTCTTAGCGGATATCTACGTCATAACATCTACCTGCATGCCAAATTTCAGCCCGATTCGACCAGTGGTTTGGGCTGTGCGTTGATAGATCACTATGTAGAATGAAATAAAAGAAATGACAAAATATTTACTTGAAATATTTATTTGTAATTTGGTACAGTGTGGTGAAATATTAATTCCCTTACTTATAAAAAAAGCTAAACCTTAATATAAACCTTATGTAACCGCTGTACACTTCCAAACATTGGTTTCCTTTGAAAGAATGTGACAAAACACTGTAATACTTAAAGTTTGTTTGTAAGTTTTAGTTCTTATAATATAGGGAGACAAAAAAACTGTAACACAAGTGTATCTTCTACGTGTTCGGCGTCTCTTCAACCTCGTTTACAATCTCCGTGGGGCGGAAGGTGTCTTCGTCTTCGCTGTCAGGCGCAGCGCCGGGGTGTGACGGCACAAACCCATCGGGTTCTTGAGAGCGGGCCGCCGATTCTGTTCCCGGTGCTGACCACGATTTACTTGAACGCTACAATTGAAATACGTTATATTTTAAGAATATTAATATTCATAGTAGTTTATATTTATGATATTTCACACATAGTCTACGTGGAACCAAACATGAGTTTATTACAGAAGTTCGGTAAAATCGGTTCACGGTTCATCGGTCAAATTTTTATGAATAAGATTTATAAAAACGTAAAGGGGCCAATAATTCGAATTTACTTACAAAACTATTATATAACTTATCTTTAAGCTAATTTCTTAACTTATAACAAATATTGTAATATATGTCTAGATTTTACTGTTTCTGTTGTTAACTTTAATTTATGAGGTACGTTTTTACATTGCATTACCATCCAATACTTAATACCAAACAACAGTCTCATTATTAGGTTATCAATATAGAACAACGAATTACGATAATACTATAGTGTACAAGCACTATAACATGACTCACTTTCACAGGCACATGAAGTGCTGTGAAAGTGAGTCATGGTCATTGTTCGATGAATTATTATAAGTATTGTTGTACGTATCTGTATAAGACGTCTTTTGAAGGCTTGGATGACTGTATTCTATGTTCTGAGTAGCAATCGATCAATCCTTTGCCTCAGCAAAAACTTTATACAGGATATATATCGAACGACGACAACCGGTTGCATTTATAAGGATTTCTGTTGAGACAGAGGATTTCGCATTTTGCTTATTTTTTGTTTGTACCTGATAAATATAGACTCCAGATTAATGATTTTGAATTTAATTCAAAAATTCTAACAAAGTGAACATGAGATGCACATTAAACGTACCGTACACCGTACACTGTACCGTACCGTATGGTCCTCCGAAATGGCTTGACCGATTTTTATGATATTTTATATGCATATTCAGTATGTCTGAGAATCGGCTACTATCTATTTTTCGTATCCCTAAGTGATAAGAGGTGCTCATCCCAAACATTTTTTTTATTATTTGGATATATTTTTTATAATGTGGCAATAAAAATACTTACAACTCAAAATTTTTACCCTTACATTATCAAACCCTATTTTTAATAGCGATTTTAATTTATATAGCAAAACAACGTTTGCCTGAGTTAATTAGTAGGTAATATATAAATTACTAGCTTACTCGACAGACATTGTCCTAACTATAAATGTTGACTCTGCGCAAATACTATATATACTATGGGCAAATATAAAATATAACTTATAGACCGTATTAACTTTTCTAATGTTCCGAGCGACTTTCTTCATTTTTGCTTTCATAAGTACCTTCTCCAGACAATAATTAAAACAATAAAAAAAAAAAGAATTGAAGAAATAGAGATTAATTTTAATATATACATACGGATAGAAAACAGTGCTCTTGAATTATTTATCTTAATATATATATATATATATACGGAACGTAATATTGAATATCACGCATCCATATGTAGTTGTTTGCCACGTGCAATATTGCAATGATGTCACAATGATTAACATAGTGTCAAGAGTATAGTATAACGATGAAATAAATAGAATCAGTGAAACACGATACTTTGCCCTTTGTACTTTATAGTATTTCCCTATGACTCACATACAAATAACATAATTATATAACTTAAATGACCTAGGAATAAAAAAATATATAACGGATTCTAGCTAAGAACCATCTCGACTACATCACTTTTAACCTTGTCATAATCGGTCCATTCGTTTAGGATCTACGATACATAGGACGACGCAAAAAGAGCGGTGTTATAAATTGAACGTGTTTGTATACGTTAATTCTATAACACCGCTCTTTTTGCGTCGGATTTTAAAAATGAGATCAAGGCTTAACCGACTTTTTTATAAATTAATTAAATATTGACGACTCCTCAAAGTGATGGTACCCCTAACTAATTTATTTATACTACTACTATTGAAAAGAGAATTTCTTTAAGGAGTTATTTTTATTACTCGTCTATAACTATTGGTTATTCTCCCTCTCACACACCTCAATCATACGTCCCTGTCACATAATACGTTCCGATACCTTACACTACAATGATGGCAAACAAACATACGGCCCCATCTGATGATAAACAATTGCCGTAGCCTAAGGATGAGAATGTAGGCGAGTTATCGATCGTTAATCTATCCTTCTGGTAAACCTCATGCCGTAGTCTCTCGACTCCATAGTCACTCGTACGTGGAAGAAGCTCCTCTGAAACCACACTGTCCGAGACCACTTAAGTTCCAGCGTGTGGGGTTGAATTCCCTGTCATTAGTTCGCTTACCTCGTATTGTTTATTGGCGTCTCGCACTTTATCGAGGTACATTTGGTAGACGTAGCGTGCCATGTGCGGCATATCGTGCACGCATAGCGAGAGAGAGTCGGGCACGTTGGCAGTGATGGACCTCTGCGCGGGGTACCGCTCTCCGGGTACCAGTTCCAATTCCAGCGGACGTTCCACCAACTACACCCAGTAACAATAAGACAGTGTTAATATTAAATACAGATACGTCCATACATATCTGGTATCTGTAAATAAAAATATATTTCAGTTCTAAACTATATACACTAACCTCAACAATACCAAATCAATCAAAATGATAAATCAACTTCTTTACATAGCATAAAAGAAAGTATTACTATAATATTATACAATACTATTAAAAAACTATTATAAAATTTTATACTATTATTACTACTCAAAAGTAGTAATAATAGTATAAAATAATATAATATAATAAAATTTTAAACTACGCAATGGATTGTAATGCAGTTTTTATCAGTAGATAGAGTGATTCTAGAGAAAGCTTTGTAGGTATAATATGTAGGGTAGCTAGTCATTAATAAAAGTAATCAACAACTCAATCATACAAAAATAAAAACCAAAAACACTCGGCAAATGCGAAAGTACACCGTAAGCGCAAACGCAACAGCAAAAGAAAATCTTAACTTTGCACATTACTTCCAAATAAAAATAATGTCAGAAGACTCTTTAGAAAGCATCGTGATGAATCGTTCTTGATGAATTTTCCACGATGGGCTAATTCATCTCACTGACGGAAATGGGAACGTTAGTTAGTCCAAATTGCTAATCTTAAATAAATAGAAATAATCTTTATTCAAATAAACTCATTACAAGCACTTTTGAATTGTCATATTTTGATTCTACCACTCATTCGGAATGCAGATTCATCACAAGAAGAATGAGCAAGAAACTTGTGTGTTGCTCTTTTTAATAGATGTTTTTTTTTATATAAATAATTACAGTATAACAAGTAAGAGGCATGCGATAATCAACATAGAAGTCGCTACGCACTCATTATTAATGTAATCAGATAATATTGTCAGTGCTATGGATTTAAAGTTTTTCTATAAAAACATTATTATCGTTAACGAATTCTTCAATTTTATAGTAAGCTTTTTTGCAAAGGAACTGTTTTATTTGACATTTAAATCTTTTTTCTGGCAGATTTATAACAGACTCTGGTATTTTATTGTAAAACCTTACGCAATTGCCATAAAACGAATTACTAACTTTAGCCAAACGACATTTAGGTAAAATCAGTTTCTTATTGTTACGTAAGCTTTTATTAGTGCAATCACTAACTCTTTTGAAACTGTCTATATTCCTTCTGGCATAGATGATATTTTCATAAATGTATTGAGAAGCAACGGTGAGGATATTTGATTCCTTAAAACACTCTCGCAATGACTCCCTGGAACCCATACCATAAATGGAGCGAATGGCCCTCTTTTGTAAAGTAAATATTGTATTTATATCAGCTACTTTGCCCCATAACAAAATACCATACGACATAATGCTATGGAAATAGCTAAAATAGACAAGTTTAGCCGTTGCCACGTCTGTTAATTGTCTAATTCTTCTTACCGCATAAGCGGCAGAACTACTCTAATCTACTATAAAGCGTTTGTCTTACAATATTTATACATCTACATATTTCTATTTCCTAAGATAATATTCAATTCAACTCTGTACGGTTTATAAATTGCATCGTTAGTATATTCGTTTTTGCTCCAGACGAATTAATTCCTCTGTAGGTACTCAAACAATTTCAATTTACTGTCTGTCTGATTACACTCGCGAACAAAAGTCACTTGGAATTGATTCCGCGCGATCTTGAATATCTACTTAATTACTAGTTAAGAAAAATAAAAATGGTACCATTTGAAAGGTGAAACTATATATAGTAGTGGCAGATATTCACAATTGTTATTCTAAAGGCAATTACACTGAGTTTTATTAGTACTCTCTATTTTTTATATTACAATTTGAAAGTATGTTAAACATGCTAATTTTAGTCTAGAATATTATTTTTACTTTTACTATACCTCATAAAAATCTGACTATAAAATGCGGAGAGTGGTGTACAGGTCTAAAAATGAACAACTTTTGCTATTGTGATTGTTCCTACAAATTCTGACTCACAAACAGAAAGAATATAAAAATGTATTAAGCGTCATTTACCTGATTGAACGTCGGTTGCAATTCAAAACAGTTCCTGAAGAGGTTGGCTCTCGCAAAGATGTAGAGACCGAGCCGCGCTCTGGACGCGGCCACTATCAGCCGCCGGAGGTCCCTCACGTGACCGACCGCCTTAGTCCGTACCAGTGACACTAGCGCGATGTCATTTTGCTGCCCTTGGTATTTATCAACAGTCGTCACCTATGACAATTAATTTGATTATTCACAGTCTATTCGGGCACAGACCAGCCGGTTTACTCTAGAAATTTTAACCCGGGGGGCGTTAGAGGGCGTTGCTAGTAAGTGATCCTTCCTTAAAAACTTTATTTTCCTTTTTCTAAAGGACTCCTTTTGGAAAACTTATCATGGTGATTTCGGTACAGGCGGTACCGAGGCAGCCGGTTTACTTATGAAACTAATTCTAATCCGAGGGGGAGGCTGTTACTAGTGATGGGGACTGGTGATCATCAATAGCTGGTAATGTACGACGTCATGTCGACCTTCACAATGTACCCTGAAAACCTCCGAACAGAACTCGCCACGAAGCCCCGGCTTTATTATCATCGTATCTTCGACCGGTGTCAAGCGTATATCGCTAAGGTAGGGGTCATACTTCAAATAATCAATTAAAATTTCTAATGACATCAGTTGCATCGTTTATCACCTTTATATACATGAATTTTATTCGAGCAAACATATTCATTCCAAATTTCGTAATTAATTAATAAACTAACTAATATATATCATATATTCATTAATTAAACATGATATATATAATACATATACCGACGGTATTCATAGTAAGTATACTCTTTAACAGGTTTAAACACATATTTGATAAGATAAAAACAAGAACATTAAATATAATGTGAAATTACATAAACGATTACATATGTTACCTACATCTGTAATAAAACTTGTTTATTAAAAATAAACTCCTGAGTCTGAATTATTAACAAATATATAGTATGTACGTGTTAACTTAAAGATTTCGTAATCTTTATAGTTAAATAACTGCATAAAGCTAACGAACTCGTATACAATACTATATATAGTAGTGTTCTCGTGCAGCTGCGCCTAAAATAAATGCCAACCGCCCTCGGTTACAAAGTCATTCGAAGCCATTTCAATGGCATCTCTGCCACGACTTCTGGTAGATTATGATTTTAAATTGCTGAAGAAATCTGTGGTATCTTATTCACCTGCATGAGAAAGGTTTGAATATCCCCAGAAACCAGCAGAAGACTATGTACTGACAGGAACAAGAAAGGATAAGAAGGAGAAAGCGGGACTCCGACGGGGCGACCGGGCTAATTTGATGGTAAATTGAAGACCTTGGATGCACCCTTCCATCCTTAACTCCGATTCCACACACCACCAACAGTTTGTTTCACAATTATAATTCACTGGGCACGTGAATTCACACAGATGTTCTTGTTAATTTTCAATAAGTAATGTCAACTCAGGTATTAACGGCAGCTATAATGAATGCACTTTTTTCTTTTATCGGGGATCACACGCTCACAAAGTTAACACCGGTTGGCGGGAATATTTGAATATAGAATTGATTGAATGAATGATATATCTTCTTATATGTTGATTAATACAAGGATATGAGGATTGGGAAAGGATGTCAGAACAACTTCGCTGTTTCCGTTACATTCCTTATATTTCTGTGTATATTTCCCTAACTTTGAGATTGGCTAAATGTGAAGGCAAAGCCAAAGATGGGGGAGGAGAAAAAAAAACTTCGTTTTCTCTTAGTATTTCTTCATTTTTCTCAAATGGTATTACCATTGGTATTAAATTCGATTAGAATTGATTAAAATTATATTAGTTTATTTAAGTTTAATCACTATTAAGGTTCTACTGTCAAAGACTATAGATACCTCTATGCATGCGTGTCAAATACATGTGTAACATTTTTTTTATTGAATTAATGTACTTTTTTAATAATAATTTAAAACAAATGCACTCCTCAGTTTGTCCAATTTTCGTGAATTGTACAAACGTTTTGGGTGATGTATTAATTCATATAATTGTAGTAAAAAGTAATTCCTATTTATTCTATATTAGGTGAGCCCGCGGTGTTTCACCCGCGTCAATTTCAATAAAAAAGCCTATGTGTTATTCTAATGCAAAAGCTATATTAATATAAAGCTTCATCAAAATCCGTTCAGTAGTGTTTGACTAACAAACATCCATACTTACAAACTTTCACATTTATAGTATTAAAATGATTACCTTATGTGGTCGGCCAATCAGAGGATTGTCTGCGCAACGTTTATCGATGACGTCACGGATGAGATGTTTCTGCCCATTGTACGTGGTGAGCACGGAGATACGGGACGCTGGCCATCCCAATATCCGCATGTACATGAATACTGCCACAACGTATTCAGCTTCTGCTAAATTCTATATGTAAAAAGAATATTAACTTGGTTAGATGTTCGATGACAATTTCTTTCTTCTCCCGTACTACAGTTTTATAAGGTACTTTCTTAACCGTCTTATAAAGCTGACTACAATTAAAATATACCCTTCAAACACCGTTATATAACGACAATAAAAAACTACTGTAATGTATATTTACAGTATTTTTTTTAATTTATTGTTGGGTTTTGGGCTATTGTCAGGTGCTAAGACCTGTCATACTGCGACCTGCATTGTTCCACAGAGCTATTGTGCTCGCCCTATTTCTTACATTACAGTAACATTTTTGGATAAATGATATTCTATATTGACAGATTGCAATATATAAATCGAAAGACTACGTCAAATGTTAACTACAGACACGAAAATCACAGTATGTATATCTGTGTAATTTATAGTCCCTCATGAGGTGTAAATTTTTTGTAATTCCTTATTCATTAAACCATAATATTTCACGGCGAAGACGTTAAAATCGGGCCAGATATAGAATATTTTACAATCTTGCTTATCTGATTGAAATACAATAACGTACGTATTATTAAATCATGGTGAAGATAGTAAAATGATTTAGATAATATTTTACATAGACAAACCTAAAAAACTAAAATGACAATATCAGCAATTAACGAATTAGCCACAGCATTAATGACACCTTTGTTTGCTCTAAAACTTCCTATAGCTAACTAATATTGTAAAGAGGTAGTAAAATGTTCATTTATTTGTAATAAATAAAATCAAAACATACTCAACTGATTTGAAAGATCAATTGAACTGCTTTATCTCTTCTATTAATGAGCACTACGAGTTGTATTTATTTTATATAAAACTAGCTGTACTCGCGACTTCGTCCGCGTGGAATTATAAACTACTATATAACTAACAAACTATATAACGTGAAATACTTTATTTTTCTAAAATAAAAGTAGCCTAAGTTACTACTTATTACATTAGCTACCTGGCAAAAAAGTCCCGTCAAAATCGGCTCAACCATTTCAGAGATTAGTCGAAACAAACAGACAGACAGACAACAATTAAAAAAAATGTTATTTTGGTTTATTAATGTATTTATATCCATATGCATGCAGTAAAAAACGGTATTAAAATGATGTAAGTTTATTTCTAAAATAGTATAGTTTAGGGGGGTCCGGCGGGGGATTGGAACCACACTAAGGGTCTGGCAACGAGTAGAGCAAGTTATAATACTGTTACGAGCAATATGTGAAAAAATGGAGCATCTTAAAATAACGAATTTGATATGAAATTGTATACACCATTGTTACCCAATATACGGTTTCAATGAGTCTGGTAGGATAAGGCACCAAGAAAACTGTCTGGCAATTTAGGAAATTCAGTTTAATAGTTCTCTCAATAATATATATAAAGTTCAGCTTTATTAAAATGACGTAAGTTTATTTCTAAAATAGTATAGTTTAGGGGGGTCCGGCGTGGGGTTGGAACCACACTAAGTGTCTGGCAATGAGCAGCGCAAGTTATAATAATGCTACGAACAATATATGAAAATATGGAGTTTCTTAAAATAACGAATTTGATATGAATTTTTTTACACCTTTGTTACCTGGTACCTGCCAAAGGAACCACGATCCAGGTTTCATGTTTGGGGATCGTTCTTACCTGTGTTGGGGACACACATACAAGAACTTTCACGTTTACTAAAATGACGTATGTCTGGCCGTCGTGGGCTCTTGCTCTATATGTCCTTTCTCAGAGTCTCGACTATCAGTGTCCCAAATTTCATTTGAATTGGTTTAGTAGTTTTGGCGTGTAAGCGCGATAGACAGACATTCATAATTGTAATATTAGGAAGCTATTTAATAAACTAACCCAAAAAACCCAAAGAAAGAAGTTCCATCGTTCAAACTTTAAAAATTATGAATTGCCTTAAAAAGTTTCATCTCGTATTTTATTTTACAATCCTTCAGGGTAAAACTTTTACAAAATTTAAATGTTATATTTCATCGACAGCCTAAAAAAGACGTTCTAAGCTTCTAGCCTTAAAAATTACTTTCATACAACCTTACATTTTATTTTTGAAATTTCATCTTCCCTTTCAACCCACATATAACCCTTTTTCACATTACAAAATAATCTATGTCTTTTCTCAGGGTCTAGACTATCTGTGTAACAAATTTCATTTAAATCGGTACAGTTGTTTTGGCGTGTAAGCGAGACAAACAGAGTTACTTTCACATTTATAATATTAGTAAGATATTCAATAAACTAACCCAAAGAAGATAAAGAAAAAAGTGTAATTGTTCTTGCTTCAAAAATGACGAATTTTCATAAAAACTTTCATCACCTATTTTATTTTACCCCCTTAAGGGTAATTTTTTACAAACTATGAATATCATATTTATTTATAGTTAATTAACAGCCCCAAAAATAATTTTCAAGCGTCTTGCTTCAAAAATGACGATTCTTCCATACAATCTTTCATCCCCCCTTTCAAGCCCTTGCTACTCTTTTTTCGCATTAAAAAGTAGTCATGTGTTTTCTAGGGGTCTTAAACTATCCTTGTACCAAATTTCATTTAATCTGTTCAGTAGTTTTTCCGTGAAAGCGAGACAGACAAACAGAGTTACTTTCGCATTTTTAATATTAGTAAGGATTACAAACAGACACTCCGATTTTACTTATATGTATGTATATATAGAGTGTGCATTTAAAAGACGAAAAATCGGATTTAAAATTATTTATTTTAGGAAAAAAACAACTATCTACGTTACTAACTTAAAGAAAATAACCTATAAATAATTTATAAACTTCAATGTAAATCTGAATATTGAACACAAATGTACCTAATTTATAATACCTAATTACTTGAAGGTAAAAAAGGAAAGCAGTAAAAATGTAACAAAATATTTTGAATTAAGATAAGAAAAGATAAGAAGAATGGATTGGTATATTTATAAAATATACCTATTAATCAAAAGTATGATATAAGAATTGGAAATCAATTTTTAAATAAAGTCGACGAGACAACCATCAACTACAGTCCACTCGCGCGATGTGAGTCCGCGCGACAGGTAGCCTTTGTGATATTGATTCGTTGGTGTGAGAAGTAGCGACAGGCCCCTAACATTGGTGTATGTTCCGTATTTATATTCATATGTATACAGTAAAAAACGGTTATTTCAATATTACAAACAGACACTCCAATTTTATTTATATGTATAGATGTATAGATAACTCCAGATGTACCTGAGGTACGGCAGTGAGATTAGTTGATGCAACGATTGAGTGGTATTCCTGGAATCATATGATAACGTGATGTCATAGTGCTGTTAACGTATAGGTATAGCTGACGGTTATCACGTACCGTTTTCATTATATTATATATTATCATCTTGTTTGTCATTCTAATTACTAAAAAAATAGCACCCGGATGCTGTTCGCACTAGTTTTTTTTATACTACTCTATTCTATCTCTGATACTGCTACGTGCTCGTTGCCGACCAAAAAAGAGAAACACCTCGAGAAAACCTCGTCAGGTAGTTCATTCCACAATTTAAGGGAGGAAGCTTCTTTGAAACCGCATTGTCCGAGAACATTTAGGTTCCAGTGTATGGGAATGAAATCCCTGACGATGGCGGGCGGTGTGATGGAAAAAGTAGCCAAAGGTAATTGATATCATTAGGGGGGAAGAGAATTGTCAGTAATGTGGACTAATAATTCCATTACTAGCCATTGCTAGCACCACGTTAAGAAGTCCTCCACGTGGTATCTCCAGGGAACCATCGTGGTAAATTACTATTTACCAAGATATTTACCACCCTTAGTCTTTGCAACTGTCCTTTGCAGAACTCTTATTGCACGTGTAACTCAATAACAACGCAGCTGACTTTCAAGTCGTCGTTACCTGCAGCGGCGCGTGTAGGCATGACACGTGTAAAATTGTACTTATAAAAGACCAGAACGTTAAAAACACACATCTATTCTGTCTCTTAACGGTATTATTGAAACTCCTAGGTTCTGGACGAAGTAGGTCATTTACATAAACCCTAAAGGGTAGTAAGTAGAATACATCTACTTACACCCCCTTAAAGTTTTACTTAATTTATAGTCCAATCGTTGTATACTTGCCTGGTAGAAGTAGGGACTGGGCTCGGTCTCGCCAGCGCCGTTGAAGTCGTCCACGTTGATCAGTTGGAAGTCGTACCGAAGGCCGGCGTTGGCGGCGCGGTACTCGGGCAGGCGACACACATGACCCAGGTCACCCAGGGCGCGATATCGCCACCGGTACAAGTTGCAAATGCTATCATGACATAATAGAAATGTATTATTTTCTTTAGAGATAATTCACACAACGTCATCTATTCCCGAGGTAGGCAGAGCTAGTGTTATGGGTACTGGACAACTGATATCAGTGCTTATTGTTAGATTTTTTTTAAAATACATACATAGAATGGAGGAGGGGATTGTTAGTAATGTGGAATATTGACTACTACACTATTCTATATTCCTGATATTACCATATTAGGTTGACTTTCCCGGGGTTATCTACATAGAAAACACCCAGACTGATACAATTACTCTTGAATACAAATGTTTGTACCATCCGAGGAAACGAATCCGCGACCGCGAATTGGAACACCGTTAGATCAAAGAAGCTGTAGAATTATTCATGTATCCCAATAGAACTGGGTGGAAGGGACTGTTCGTAATGGGCTTTATTGACTATACAATAATGTATAGATACCATTAATGTACCATGTCAGGTTTATTCTTCCTCAGACTCAGGAGACCTTCGCTGTAAATCAGCTCTGTAGCTTCGGCTGCAGTAATATGCTGAGCAGAATCCTTTTTAGTGAACATTCTTTAGTAGTATATTGGTTTTTAATTGTTTAATTGTTTATGTTGGTATGGCTATGTGTATGTATATGTAGTTACGTGTGTGTACACATACCTACATGCTACTGTCAATAATATGTGCTAAATAAATGTATATCATTATTATTATTTCCATGCGATAATAAAAAACCGATGTTAAATTCTGGTGAAATCGCCACAAGACAGTCACCACTAATTCACGATTCCATATTAATTCATCAAAAAAACGCAACAACACTCTTATAAGATGAACTTAGAGCATCAGATTAATTAACATCCATCAAGTCATTTAAAGTATCCCGTTGTTTAAAAAAAAATCCAACCACTTTTCGACGTCAATTTTAATCAAGCAATAATGTGTCGCATATTCATATGTATCCATATTATAACTGCATGAAAAACATAAACATATGTATATTGCGGAAAATTTCGAGTGAAAATAATGTAAACACTTGTTCTTAACCAAACATAAAATTGCCGGTAACATAATTTGATTGCGCAGATTAAATCCAAACATTTGCATTTGTTTTATTATTTCAGCAAATATTAGCTACCTGTGATTTAGTCTGTTTTTTTTTCATAAAAAATTAGACGAAAAATCTATGTCCATCCTCGTAATGGTCTTACGATTATGTCATATTTCATCGAGATTTGTTTAGACGTGAATAGGCAACGCAAAGAAGCAGTCAGACAGAAATACTTTCGCATTTCTGAATCTAATATTTTTACCCTTCAACCCATATTTTTTTAATATAAATATTATTTTTATGGCAAAACAACGTCGGCCAGATACTTCACATAGTGCAGGTAAGGCAATTTGCTCATTGGTGAGGTAATGTAGTAATTAGTTTTAGGGTAGAATGGGACTGGCACTGACTATTTAATAATAAAAAAAAGTAGGCCAGGTCCGTTATTAATATACATTAGAGTTATTAAAAAAATCCACCTCCTCATGAGCAAAATAATTAACCATGTATTTTGACAAAATTTGATTAAAAACTGTTATGAATATAAATTTATTTTTGGAAAAGAAACCGACGGCCAATAACAATATGGTGGCTACAAGTATTATTGCATAATATGCTAGGTGCATGTTATGCACCTCAACCTTTTTATAGATAAACACCTGATGTTTATGAAATTTAATCAGGAGGACGATCATATGATATCTTTTATCTGATAAAAAAGCAAACGATGTCATAATTAACAGGAAATATAAATATATATTTCTAATCGTTTTGCGACTAAACAGCTGAACGGTCTCAATGAAATTTGATGTGATAATAAATGGTATCACGAGAATATAAATAGACCACCATTCACCTAAAAAGAGACAACGGCGCAGGTAATGGCTAAAAATAAAACGGTAAAAATATAAATACCTCGGTCTCGCACGCCCCTGGGCGTCCAACTCCACGTAAGGCACACCCAAGCGGACCATTCTGGTAAACAGACTCTGTTCCATGTTGCAATATTTTTGAAATGCCATGTTCTTCACGACTGGCGGCAGTTGGTGGTGGTCGCCGATCATTATCCATCGCTTGAGCCTCGAACGGCCATCTTGTGGATTTTGCAATAGTAGCGGAATGAACGTCTCGATTTCTAGGATTTGCGCTGATTCTTCCATTAATATGTTGTCATATTTGAAACCTAATAAGTAATAAATAAAAAAATATTTCTGAAATAATGTTACTTGATAAAGCAGATAGGTGTACAGTCATATCTATGCATTTTTATTTATTGAATATTATGATAACCTCGCTTTTCTAACAATCATTGGAAGTTGTCTGCGTCGATATCTCTTCTCCCGTTAATCAGTTTGTTGCGTAGGTATACTGTGTATAGATTTTAAAGACTGTTCGGGTTACAGAATAGAACGGAATGACTCCATAATGCTCAGGAATGGCAACTAATGAATTGTACTAAGAACCATAGACGATGCCTTGATGTCCTTGTTGCGGTTCATAAATATAGGTGACGTCACAATAAGGGCCGTCATTAAGTTGGATTATTAAGTAATATTATTGTTAAGTTACATAAAAGATATTACAAAAATTAAAATAATAATAATAATCCAGGATAATAAACACAACGCCATCGGTTCATTGCGCACTACACAATACAACTAATAGAAATATTAAAATATATTTTCTCTACATATCTATAATATAAATAGAAAATGCACAGACCAATCATACCCATGAATATAATGTTTATTATATCGTCTGAGGATTCAAACCCGTGAGCATTGGAAGTACGAGTAGGTCGGAGTGATAAACCGTGCCGTCAACATTTTATTTTTCTTTTATATATATATATATATATACATATGCAGTTTCTTAAGACTATTTAATCACACGACCTCGGTGGTCTAGTTTTTTTTCCGATGCCGCTTTACTTACGATGTATCATATGATTAAATGCATCTAAATATTTATATCTGTTGTCTAGTACCCATAACGCAAGCTCTTCTTAGCTTGGGACTAGATAAGTCTGTGTAAAATATCCAAAGTTATTATTATATTATATCATAATACATATTAAAAAATTGTCGTGAGATTAAAAAAAATGTTTTTGTTTTGTTACTCATGATCGGTGCAGACATGTCTTAAAATTAAATGGAGCATTTTATGAAATTACGAGCCGGTTTAAACAACTTTATTGTGTTTATCTTTTCTTGTATATATTCATATTAGTAGCATATATCACGTTGAAATATTCTTATTATAGAGCTTATAATTATATTATCAAGACAAACACGATATCACAATCGCGTAGAATAAGATGTTTCGCCATCTATCTAAAGTAATATAATAACAAAACCATTTATTTTTTTGTTTGTACGAGTATATATAATAAATTTAAAAATACAGATTATATTTTGGAAATTATTTTATATATAGAGAAATATTTTACCAGTGAGTAACAATGTTGGTTCACGCGAGCAGAGCTGCCCGATATACCTAGTATTTCATATCGTTGAGGAGCATTTTATAGCAATAAAAAGTAAATGGACATTACGTATCGTATTGTAAACAATAGTGTAAAAGAAATATGTAGCGCGTACCTACTATGTTTACATATAATGTAAAAATAGAAGGTAGGTACATATACAATTTCCTATTTATAGAAATATTTTGCGTTTATTTTTCTAAAAATAGTAAATACAATACACAACGCTCATACCGTACTACGGTGATTCATATAATCTCATAGAAATACGGGCACGTCGAAGGTTAAGTTCATCCTATTCTTATCTCGGATTGTTTTTTTATTATTAAGTCAGATCAGTTAGCCCATTGTGGCAAATGGGAATTTACCACGATGGTTTCCAGGAGAAACCGCGCAGAGGTCAACCTGATATTGTACAATGTTAGCAATGGGCTTATATTAGTCCACATTACTAACAATACCCTTTCCCATCTCGGAAAGTAGTCGTGTCTGTCTGTACTAATCCATGCTGATATTATAATTGCGGAAGTGTGTGTGTTTATTATTTCGGTTGTGTCTCTTTCACGTATACAATTTGAAATAAAAATAGGTTGCGCTCTGGGGACGGATATATGTATGTTATCCTGTTGTTCAATCATAAAAATCATTTAGAAGAGGTGGAATAGAGGATAAAAGTTTGTGCGGACAAAGCTGCTACTATAATGACTGTTACCCACAGTCATTATTACAAATATGAAAATGTATCTGTCTGTTTGTTACATTTTCATGGCTAACCGGCTGTCGAGGCTGGACATATGCTGTCTACTATAGTGTTTTATATAGCATACATACACAGACGTCTCGTCTTAATTATGAATTTGCATTGGTATAATAAAAAATAATCTGCGAAATCGAGCCAGCCGTTCGCGTGCTGTGACCAAGGAAATTAGGGAGTCATTTATCTAAATGTAAAATAATGTAAATACCTATCAGTATCAATAATGTTGACAACAATTTACCATTTTACTTAGGTTTTTGAACTTCTGTACAGACAAGACATAATATGTAAATATGTATCTATGTACTAACATGTTTTTGTCTAAACGGACGTCATAGTTATTTGGTTACAAATTTACAGATATCTGCGTAGTGTTTTCAAATTGTGAGCAAAATGCTTCACACGATGAAAATTTTGTTAAAATTTCAAATTAGACAACTGAAATGTAGGAAAGTATTACGTTTTAGTCGTTAACTACTAAAAATAGTCACCATTGACGGTGAAATGTTGAATCATGGTAAATTTATATAGTATGACATATATAGCGGATGTAATAGGTAGACAGAGATATTCACGTAGAGGACTTTTTACAAAGTATAATAATAATAATACACCTGGATAAATTACATATAACCATCTAGACCCCAGGTAAGCAACTAACACATACATAACATGTATGTCACCATGACTGAGTACCGTGCGAGGAATCGAACTCGCGGCCATCGGAAGTAAAGCGGTGAGCTAAACCCCAGACCACCTAGGCCGTATACGTCACAACAACGGTTACACGGTCTGCTGACCTGACCGCATAACTGTTGTTTTTGACATAAAAACTTAAACACAACACATTTCACCGACCCCAAATAAATGCGAACTGGGATAAGGAATATGTTTTGTCGGAGTCGGCTATTTATTAATAAAATATCTCTTCTTTTTTTTCTTCTCTCTTCTCTAATGAAGTTTTAGATATAAATAAGACACTAACCCATTTGTACGAGTTCAGATCGTTTCAATGCAGCGTGCGTGCAAGTCATAGCAATAATTTTAGCTTCTTTTACTAATAAATATTTAGATCGATCCAATCCAGATCGTAGCAATTCGAATGCTCGGAACTCTTCCAGTTCTTCAAATATGTGGTCGATATATCTGAAAAAAATATTCATATTAATTTTTTGAAAGAAAATTATTTTCTTTCCTTTGTAAGCGAATATAAGCGTATTTTACATGCTTATTTGCTATTTGTTGTGTTTTAATTTCATATTAGATGTAAATGATATCAAGGAATGTGTTATATATTTATTTTACTAATATAATAGTAACTAAATAATTTTCTTCTTCCATTATAGTAAATTAGATGTGGACAGCTCACTTGACAAACTTTAAATACCCAACGCATTAACAAGACAATCTTGACCAATTTTTATTATTAAATCAATAGTACAAAGGACATATATGGAACTTAAATTTCAGAGCACAGATAATCTGAGTGCACAAGGATTGAGTGCGTAAGCAGTTTCTATGAAGATTATCGTATGCCTAATCCTAGTTATATTTGTATACTTGAAATAACATTTATTTAAAAGACCAACCGCAATATCTTGCCCGAGCGCTCTTGTATTTGGATTGGTTAATTCTTGGTGATGTCATAATCAACAAGAATTAACCAATCCAAGGACAGTCCATACTTCCCAATACTTGCTAATATTATAAATGCGAAAGTAGAAAAAGACCTTAAGAAAGAACATTTTTAATGCGGAAAAAAGGGTTGTTTGGGGTTGAAAGGATGTATGGCAGTATCGTTATTTTTATAGCTAGATATAGGATGAAAATTATAAGGTTGGTAACAGTTGATTTAAAAAATAAAACAGGCGATGTAAGTTTATATGGAAATTTGTCATTTTTGAAGCTAGATGGATGAAACTTTTTTCTTTATATGCTCAAGATCACTATATCAAGCGGACGAAGTCACGAACACTGCCTGTAAGATATATTTATAATAATTATAATTATATTATTATTTTCATCCTTTTTATTATTATTTTATTTACCTGTAACAGCTCTTGGCTATTTCCATATCATCGGTGTACGATTTTCCCGCAAACAACGGTTTCGGTGCATCGTCAAAGAACTCGTGGAAAGGAAACTCTTTGCTTATGGTGTCTGAGGATTTTGTCTGAAACAAATCAATATAATAAGTAATTTGGATATCTTGTGTTCAGAAACGTGCCTGAATGTATATTTGCAGAAACGTTTGGACGTATGCCTAATTGTTTGTTGTTCAACTAATTTAATATATATATCTACTAATAAAATACATATGTTTACGAGTTTTATAAACGTATGAAATTATACATGAAATTAAATACTAACTATAAAAATACTTTTTTTATTAATCTATAATAGTGCTAATATTACCTTGGATATTTATAGAGAAAGGCTATAAAGTTATTTAACATCATGCTACGATGTCGCCAACCATCTTGTTTTCCCAGGAGATGTCATAGATTTTCCAGTGTCCAGCGTACTGGGTTTTTAAATTTTAATTACTTGAATTATATGTCACCTATTTACACTATATATTAATTTAACTATTGCATTTCAATTATTTTTTTAAACTGAATTGTCATAGATTGTTCCAACTATTGATACATAAATTTTATTTAATTTGGGATAGGCAACCCTAATCTACGACCAATAGGAGTGGAGCAGCAATGAAACATACTTTAAACGGTATATATTCTGTGACGAATTTCCACGGGATTAGTTAGTACTTTTACTTTTATAATATATAATATTTACTATAAGATAACAATATAAGAAAAATACAGGGAAGACGGAGATTTATATGAAGGATTGTTAAGAAGTAAAGTAAAAACAAATGTGTACAAGAACAGAAGTACATACTTGCAGAAATTTAGAATATAAAGATAGTTTTGATTAGCCTGTTACAAAAACATCAGTGTTTTATAATTTTGACATGAGTATCAACTATAAAATCATGTTTGTGTGTGTATGTGGCTTGCTATTACTTTGCTGTACGGGCTGCATAATGAATATAAAATTTTTATTGTTTTCCAACTGAAATCTTATACTATAATAGATTTATATCTGAGTAACCTCGTCTGCATTTTAGATTAAAAATAGTCTATGTCTGCCAAAAACCACGTCGTTAAAATCTATACTCATGTTAGATTTAATTAAGATTTGTTTAGCTGATTAATCAGGAAAGTTTAGAAACGAACAGGTAGATATTTGTATAAATAACTTTGTATTGTATTGTACTAGTTAGTTGTAGTATAAAAAAAATGTATTTAAGTATTTCTAAATTTCTATCACTTGTCTAGTACCCATAACACAAGCTGAGCTTGGGACTAGAAGGCGCTGTGTGAATTATCCAGGGTTATTATTGTAATTATTATCATTACCTGTTCTTGTGCACATTTCTCCAGGAACGCTGACCACCTGGGCCGTACATGGTACACATGGAAGTGATGTGCTAGTTCACATGTGGCGCCAGCGTCGCCGCCTGCTTCCAACGTCCGTTGCAGCCGTCCTACCATATCCAGCAGTTCGAGTCTCTTCGCGAGAACATAGTTCACTCGACCGTACCTAAAAGGTGATTTCAATTATTAATACACCATTTAATACACATCGGATAGGGTGGAAGGGGATTGTTAGTAATGTAGACTGTTGACCCTATTATTAGCAATGTACCATGTCGGATTAACCTCCACTCGGAACACCCTGGAAACTATCGTAATCAATTCCTTGACAACGACGTTATGATGGGCTAACTGACCTGACCTCATGCGGTTTACACTGGCGAGGCACCAGTAGAGGATTATCATCTTATCATCATCTCGTTAGCGCAAGCGGATACACCATTCTATTATCATCCATAACAAATACACATTGCACAATAACTGACAATGCCTTTGACAACCCATCTGAACTATAACCTAATAACCCCATTATAATAAAACTAATAACCCAATAAAATTGCTAACTAGCTAATGTACCATGTCGAGTATGGTATAGACGTTAAATTAAATGTTATGGAATATGGAGCTATAACAACTTAAAGCCCAGTTAACAATATCCTTAATATATACATCTATATATATACATATAAATAAAATTGGAGTGTCTGTTTGTAATATTGAAATAACCGTTTTTACAACATACACCAAAATAACATTTTTTTAAATTGTTGCCTATCTGTTTGTTCCGGCTAATCTCTGAAATGGCTGGGCCGATTTTAACGGGACTATTTTTGGCAGGTAGCTAATGTAATAAGTAGTAACTTAGGCTAGTTTTATTTTAGAAACATTATTTTATTTTAGGAACATAAAGTATAATTCCACGCGAACGAAGTCGCGGGTACAGCTAATATATCATAATATTATAAATGTGAAAGTAGGAATGTTTATTACGCATTCACATAAAATATAGTGAACCAATCATCATAAAATTTTAAACACATGTTCTTGGAGATGAGGAGAATGAACATAGGATACTTTTTATTAAAAAAAAATCAAATAGTTATTATTCAATGCGAGCGAAGCCGCGGGTAAAAGCTAGTAAACTATATTGTTAAAGGTTATTCAGTCAGCTCGCGACTACGGTTAGTACAACCTTGTCTAAACATACAGACAGAGGTTTATTTACCAGAGAAGATCTTTATTTACAATAGAATTTTCTGTGTTAAGATCCCGTTAAGAATATATTACACACGGAAGTTTGTGAGATTTCTATTGTCCTCAGAGTTCTAGTGTTTATCATACATATATTGAGCTTTAAACTACTTTGTCGAAGAATTAGAGGGTATTTAAACGATAAAAATAAAAATAATAATAAATTTTATCTTTATCTTTTATCTTTCAACAACTTTGTACACAGGAATTGCAATGCACGGGAGGTACAATGGACGTCATAATTCTGTATTCTATGATGCACGTCATGCGCCATCAGCTCTTTTGCCATTCAAATTTCATATAAACAAAATTGTCACGAATTCACGATAAGCCTATTTGGCATTCTCTCATGTCCAATAGTCACCGACAACTACACCGTAAACGTAGACAGGTTCCATTATAATCCACAAAAAAGACGATGCTTTAGGTATAGTAGTGATGTCATGCCATAGTATACGCGGACGTATTTGCATTGAAACTAAACAACCTTTACATAGGGCAATATGAATATACATACATGAAGACATTTAAAGGATCATATATATTATAAGCTGACTTCGCATACGTTAATTTTCCTTATAAATAAAAGTCGCTATAAAAATAGGGGTTGAAGGTAGAAGGGTGAAAATTTAGGGTTGTATGTATTCATATGCAAATAAAATAAAAAAATTGTTAAGAAAATAAAAACAATATTTAGGGCTGAATAACCCTTATTATTTAGGGGAAAGAAAAATAGATAGTGGCCGATTCGCAGACCTACTGAATATGCATATAAATTTCATAAATAAGATAATGTTATGCAAGTACTGCATGACAGTTATCTCGGGTTGTAGGCAACCCTATCAAATTATTATGTGATAACATATGAGTTTCTAAAGCGACTTCAGAAAGAAGAATGTTCCTTCCTTCAATTATTTTTATTTTAAGAGATATCTTCGCAAATAGTGAACTAGTTTTTATAATGCTTTTAATAATTTAAAACATATATTGATGTGTAAGTTTATTCTTAGTGAAGTAAATAGATATACTTACCTAGAGAAATCTTTCTCCGTCTGCAGCGCTTCTTCTCCATGGCCGAGACGCAGCAAATGTCGTTCATCTACATCAAGTTCGGCTACTTTTTCGAAAAGTTGGTTAAGCGCCTGGTTACTGTGGGTGACCACGAGAGTGCGTTGCCACGGGAAGTTGTGGTAGAGGTTCGATATTATTTGGACAGCCACGTCAGTTTTACCTAGTTAAAATAAATGAAAATTGTTAAAATCTAAACGCAAATGCTTTTTTTATGGATATGCTTTTTTATGTACCCACCCTCGCTATAAGTGTGCTGGCGGGGCACTAGTGGTGGATGATATCAATGACACTAATGTTGATAATATTGGCTGGAAAGGTTTTAAAAAAAAATTCAAAATATTCTTATTCCATTTCTTTCAATCTGTCTAACAACTAAGAGCATATAGTCAGATCTGTTAGCCCACCCTTACAAATTTACCATGAATTAGTAATTATGGTTTCCGTGAAATGTTTTCCGTGGTAGAGGTCGATCTAACAATAGTGGCCCGTTACTAACAATCTTCATCCCATATTTAATGTCAATAATATCATCTACATATTTACATAATCAGCCAGACTTTACACAACTGTCTAAATACTAAACTAATAAAAGACAATTGAATAGAGAAGTCATTAAAGTATCTTTGCTGGAGAGTATGTTATGTATGCATTATGCTGCATAGTACACCCAAATATATAAAGCTAAGCGGATTATTAAAAAAAAAAACAGGTCAAAATGATGTCGACGACCTTGGACTTATTTATACATTGTAATATATATTATTTATACAACATATATTTTTTTATCTTGAGATATTTCGAATACGTATTACAGATTTTTAAAATGTTTTCACTTATAGATAGCAGCATTTGTCGTGAGTACCGAAGGCCATATTTTATTTAATAATAAATTAGAGTTACCTACTACAATTGCTTTAATAAAATAAAATATAAAAGGTTTTATTATGCCGTACAATAGAAGTATCTTTTGTACGGCATAATAAAACGTAAAACAACAAAGACACTATTGTCCTTAGCCTTTACAAGGCAACTTAAATCTTTACGAAACTTGGACTTAATGCCATAAATGACGACGTTAGACGTAGGTGCGGGTCGAGTATAATTCTTATGAAGTTAAGTTACAATACCAACCGGTTCCCGGTGGGCCGACAACCAAAGTCAGTCCCGGTTGCATTCCCGAACGGATCGCCTCCACTTGCGTCGGAGTAAACAAAATATTGTTCCTGCAAAAATAGGATTTTGTGAATACCAGAAAAATTTTCTAGGAGCAAAAATTTTGAAAGTACATTATTATATGAACTTTATTTACTTCAATACCCAGAAATGATGAACTCAGTTAGGCCTACTGTCACTTTTACAGTATAATTTGTACTCAGTTCCGAGAGTTTATCCTTTTCACATTTGTTAATATCATAATTGTTTTTAAATATAAAATATGTTCATATTGTTCTATACCTATTATTGTTATTTATTATTTATCAAGGACGGTCTTAATTTTCTATTATGTTTTATTTTAACAAAAACTGCTTCTTGTAACTGATAAAGTTGCTAGAAAATATTTTTAATACGAGTAACTAATTTAATTATTAATTTAAAACTGATTAAATGAATACTCTCATTTGTAAAAGACTATGTAATAAGAATAGAATCTCCATAATTTTATAGGTAAAGTAGTCTTAATTTTAGTAAACTAGTTTAGATTCTAATACATACTAATGTTATAAATATTAAATTGTATCTGTCTATCCGTCTGTTTGTTACTTTTTCACAACTTATCTTAACGAAGTTTGACACGGAGATAGATTATTAATAATCTATTAAAAAAAGACGAAGTCGCGGCTAACATCATGTACTGCATAAATATTTAAAATTACTAGTAGATAAATATAAAATATATCTGTACGTTTGAATAACATTACTGGAATAATTGTTATAATAATTGGCATCCATACTAGTGTATCTATAATATAGAATGCAGTAACTGTATCTGTTTATTTATTACCTTGTCACGAGACCCGACATAAATTAACTTATATCTATAAAGAGCAGACGAAGACAGCTGCATAAATAAATATAACCATATAGATAAATGTGAGTAGGTATGTATACTAACTTTTTTGGCTCGTTGTACAGATAGGGCCCCCTCTTGGGTTGCACGTGTGGTTCCACGACAATCACTTTACGTTCTTCGTCTTCATCCATTGCATTATCACCGAGTTGCTTCTTGCGTACAACGTTCTCAAACGTTAACCTGAACAAAATTTATATGTCAAGCCAATATATCCTAACCTACTCATTAATATTTCCAGACTTTATAACACATTATCATCCGTAAAAAAATATGGAACCTTACGGGAACCATCCTAGAGTTAGAAATGTTAATTATAAAATGACAGCTTATTCTGTCGCCCCAATTTGAACTCAACTCTTGACTTTTGGGGCCGAAGTAGCGTAATAACTTTGTCACTACGCTTTCAAATCGAGTTATATTTCACTAATCTTAGAACCTAATCTAAGTTGAAATTCGGAACGTATTTATTTTATAATAATTAATAGTGAATTATAAAAGGAACAAAACATCTCATAATTAAGAAGCAGACATATTCTAAAAATAAAATACCGAAACATCTACCGACTGAAACGGCATGCAGATAAAAAATAAGTATTAAGCAACAATGCACGGAGCAGTTTGGGTTTGAACCAAATAAAGAATGTATAAATACTTCTTTTTTATAAAATCGGAATGACTAACCGTTGACACTAACGGGCCAACTGGTGGAAGTGAGTTTCGATATATGTATTTATTTATTTATTTATTCTTTTGCACACAAAAATGTATACAAGGCGGACTTAATGCCTAATGGCATTCTCTACCAGTCAACCGTCGCGTTGATCAGAGATAATAATAAGGCGGTGCAATTTAACAATTAATATATAAAGAAAAACAAATATGGATAAATACAGAAAAATAATATTATACATATTATTATATGCAAATATATAACATACTAATATACCCGTATAAAATACATATACAATTACATAAATAAACAAAAATTAAGGCCTATTGATCACATATTTATATGTGGTATGAGGTTTTATGTCATCTATTTTTATTAGATACACACTACTTGACCCGCGCAAATTCGTCTGCATTTCATTTCACCACATTTTGCAATATTTTTCATTGCATTTACTCCGCTCCTACTGGTCGTAGCATAATTTTATATGTATAGCTTAAAGGCTTCCTCGTCAAATAGACTATCCAACATAAAAATATGTTTTCAATTCGAACCAGTAGTTTCTGGGCTTTGCGCGTTCAAACAAAGAAACAAACTCTTCAGCTTTATAGTGTATTAGTATAGATTTAAAAAAATAAAATAATAACGACAACAAACAGACGACCTCGATGTTCTGGCGGTTCACATCGCCTAACTTCCAATGGTCGAGGTAAGTACGATACCTCGCAAGATACAAACATTTTGTAGTCATGATTTTTTGTATGAATCTGGGTGTTTTCAATGTATGTATTTACAAAAAATAATTTATTTAAGTAGACATCTGTTAGATGTTTGGCACCTATGTGCTAGACGTACATAAGGATGAGCTCTGTTCAGTTTTACTGACTAGATGACGCTGTGTAAATTATTCTAAGTTAGTAACTTAGAATAATTTACACAGCGTCATCTAGTCTTCTAAGTTATTATTATTAAAGTTAATATACAGACAGACAATATAACTTAATTCCATTAAAGCCTAAAAATATATGTATATGGTACTTACTTATAAGGCCGGACGAGCTTCCGCGGGTCATCGGTTTTCACTTTGATCTCATGTCCTGGGAAACTGTTCCGCAGGTGTTCCATGTCCAAGAACGTATCATTGAAATCCAAGGTCGGGATCTCATTCGGCATTCTGTGTAAAAAAACGTGGGTGAATCATGTATTACATTGCATTAGGTACATCATTGATTATTTAAAGTCAATTAAATATCATAATCAATATTATTGGTATTTTTTTTAAACTACAATAATCAGAAATTGAAAAAATGAAAGTATAAGAAAAAACTGTATGCGATTTAATGATTATTTTTATTATATCTTTACAGATGTTTTGGCATATTTTGACATATTTATTACTTTTTTGTATGAAAGAAATTTTATTCATTTGTTTTCGTTCTCGCGCTTTTCTAGTTCTCTTTCACCACTCAAGTTTTCATTTGCTGTTTGATTGCAAAACTGTGGTATATGTTTTTATTATCACCCTGGGGAAGTAAATTGGCAACAAACTACATTCTTACTCATCACATGGGTTATTGTTAACGATGACTGTTAACTAATTATTCTAAAGAGCTGCATTACGCCATTAACGCCTACAACGGGTGTCATAAATGAAAAATAACCGTAACTAAACAGCAAATTGTTACTTAGTTAAAACTAGTTCTTTGATTCGATAAAATAGGTAGTTACATCACCACCAACTAGTAATTATATATTAATATATTGTCGTTAAATCATCATACATACGAGTGTAATAAAATATGATGTTTTCTGTACATAAATCTTTGTGTATATTAATATTTTTTCGCAAAAACCATTTATAAAAATGTTGTGTTATGTATTTTTGCACACTAATCTCAAAAATCGTTTAATCAATTTTAACGCAGATCTCACGCGGATGTGTATTCGCTTGTTTTTGTGTTTGTTTCTTTCCAATTGGTCCACAAACTAAAATATTCTATATATAGGTACATAAATGTGGGCTTGGTATGTAACGAAACGACTCTGTTAACTGAATGATGTATGCATGAATTGAAACGTGAATGTCGAGAGAATGGATATATAAGTGAAGCGAAACGAATACCACGCAAATGATACTTTCACATATGATTACGTACCTGGTATAGTGAGCCTGGCCCGGGTCTCCATAACCGAGGACTATATCGTGCAGCCACTCCGGCACGACGCATTCTGTGTTCATCAACTCCCTGATAGTCTCTAAGACCGCTTTAAAGTTATTCTCTTTTGGTTTTCGTCGCATAACTATGTTGAATGTTTCGTAAACATCCTGTATGATTAAAAAATTCAGTTATAGAGTACGAGTCTAGTCTACAAGTTGGCACGTGGAAATTGAAGTAAAAAAAATATTCTGTGTTAATCTAGGATAAATCTGCTTTAAGTGGATATTGGAGGCATATTAATAATAAACTGTAGAAAGTCTACCTCAGCTAAGTAAGTAAAAACAGAATATTAAAACGAAGAAATGACAAACATTTGGAAAGTGCTCGGGAAAGTCAGGGAATTGTAACTTATTTAGATTGAGACATACAATCAGGCAAATTCTGAATTCTAAATTCTGAGACTCTAGTTGCCAGAATTAGCATACTGTTGATAAACACACTTACCTCATTTCCTTTACTGGCGCGATCCAAATCCAACCTATATTGGTTCGGATCTAATAACAACCGGAATGTTCTAGAATCACCATCAAGTTCTGGTCTCGGCTCCGGGCCTTCTTCGATCACCCTCCCAGCTGCGTCTAACATACCCTCAACTTCACAGCCTCGGACATACACAATGCCTGCTTGTTGTACCATACTTTCCCTATAGTCGTACTTTGTACCTAAAATAAATATTTATATACTAGTAATAAACAGCACAGACAGTCGGCAAGTATTATTAATTTTCAATGTTCAATGTTAGAAACATCGAGCAAAGCGTGTTGAAGTTGAATAGATGCAGATATTATATCAGAATGGCTGCATCTGTTTGGAAGAAATATTTTCATTTGAAATATCTAAAGAACAAGTCTGGGCCCAAACCTTTACACACAACGCAGGCAGGCAATATTGCCCATGCTTGAAGGATGCAGTTAAATAGACATTTAATATTATATACGACGGATAGACATTATTATTTGTTAAGAAATATATAATGCGCACATGCAGTGGTAATGGGACATACGCAAGTGACAATACGGCACTCTTCAAGTTTATTGAATTGATTTATCTAAACCAATATTATTATAATATTGGTATAGGTAAGCTAAAGTGTGTGAGTATGTTAGATTGAATCAATTTTGTATATTCTTTTAGTTTTGAATTGCTAATTTATCGACGATGTCAATAGGCGATATAACATCACGCTACGACTAATAGAAACGGAGCTACAATGAAAAGTGTTGCAAAAACAGAGAAAATGTGACGCAGCGGAGGTCAGGTAGTAGTTTATATTCTATTAAGGTATATATTAACTACATGAAATCATTATTATGTATGCATATCTAAAATTAATAATCGATACAAAGTTATAAAAAAAACTTAGACACATACCTATGCCCTGAGTAGGTCTCACTGTGACCAAGAAGCAAACATCGTGTTTCCTCAAACTCTCCCATTCATGTTTTATCTCGTTTTTCACGCTCAGTGTGACTGTCACATCAGCTCTTACTCTGGAAGGTGCCTTCTCACCAATATTAGGCTTGGCGACTTCGACCACTGCAAAGCTCTTGATGGGGTGAGCCATACGTGCCCACCCTCCAAAATACACACTTCCATCTTCTGCTCGCCTAATAAGACAAATTAGTACAAAAATTATGAAAAAGAATAGAAAACACTTGAATGTTCTGTGCTTACAGACCTTAGCCTAAGCAACTGACAATAGCCCAACCCTAGCTTGTGGGCTATTGTCATAATATATATATATATATATATAAGTATAAATAGGTGAAGTTTTCAACTTACATTTTCTTAAGTAAGTACGTAACGAATTTTAATATGTAATAATAAAAAAATTGAAAACAGTACTCTGCATTTTTACTTCCAAATGTCATTCTTCAGACTAGAAGACGATAGAATATAGAAATGCTGATGAAAAATTCTTATACCGTTATACTTATTATCTGGGACTAAACACTAATGACTCTGTTCCTTTTCTTAATTTGTATTCTGATCTGTGCTCATTTTTTTACTGCCACGGATTTGATTTTACATTTAAAATTTTTATTTGTAAATTTATACTTCCTCTGTTATAAAATAACAAAAAAATTCAGGTTACTTGCGCACAATCACATAAGATGCTAGGGATGCTATTGTTTCCTACACAATAGTAGTTCTAGATACTTCTAGATCTATAAGTTGTTAGTAAGACCTAGATTAACGCGGGGGATACGTTCCAATAAGTTCCAGCACTAAACGAAACAGCGTTAAACGAGGCTATCATTCATACTTTTCTTCGGAATCATTACTATCAATATTTTTGTTTTCTTCTTGCTCAGTTAATTCCTGCAACTCATTATTAGAAAGACTAGCTGCTGCTGACTATTTCCTCGACTGTTTTCGTTATGTTCCGAATCCCCGGGTCGAAATAAAGGAGCGCTAAACCGAAACCGCGTTAAGCCAGGTCTTACTGTACTCATATTTTAAGTATTCTACGACCGCAAGTATATTTTGAATTGTAATAAATCTATCTGAGCTTTAGTATGTATATTAAATAAATTCATGGAAGTTACGCACCATGGCGCCAGTCTGTAGACAGCGTCCTCAATATCTTGACGGATTTCGTCTGTAACAATAAAACGCGACAGTGATTGACATTTATTAGGCAAACCATAACAATATATCAATATATTAGAGATCGAATAAACGTTCCAGTTGTACAGATTTTTTTTATTATTACATATGTGACACAGTGTGTGCCATTGTATTATTAAAATCTAATATATGTATACAATTCTCGTGTCATCGTTATCATACTCGTCCCTAACGGCTTGACAGAAATTTGATGAAAGTTTATAGGTATTCAGTAGGTCAGAGATTAGGTTATTATCTATTGTTTATACTTCTAAGTTGCAAGGATGGGCCATCATCATTAATATCACATAATTTTTAATTTTTACGATGTAGCTTTAAAAACTTCTTCAACTTTAGAAAATTTAGAAGTGAAGTCCACAACCTAAGTGTACGTGGGTTCTCCTCTGAAACCGCACTGTCCGAGACCACTTAGGTTCCAGCGTGTGGGAATGAATTCCCTGTCGATGGAAGTTTTTAAAGCTATATCATAAAAAATAAAAATTTAACACATAACTATTCTAAATTTTCAACTTACTACCTTCACCAACCCCTATTTTTTAAAATATTTATATAGATATTAGAACTTTAATTTATATTTCAAAACAACGTTTTCAATTATTTATGTAATTGTAATACTGATCTTATCATCCTCCACTGGTGCCCCGCCAGCCTAAACCGTTAGCGCAGGCGGGTGCACCTTATCATCCATAAAAAACCATTACCATCCTGATGATTAGAAATAACAATCGTCTATGTACCCAAAATACACCGCGAACATCATGTTACGTGATGTCATTCTGGAGGATCAAGATAGTATGACTACATATGTAATTTCACTGCTCTATGTCTTTATCTTTCAGCTGAAACACAGCTTGAGAAGCAAGATTCTTGGCAGCTGAAGTAGGTGTGATTGAGGTACCCACGAAAAAAACTGAAGGTACTTCGGTCCAGTATAATTGTTAGGGACCACCCAAAAATTACGTCACACACTAATGTCAGAAACTGTACATCAAACCCTTATTAAATTAAAATTTACAGAATCTAAGACTATTACCAGGATAAAAAAGATTCGAAAGTTCATAATTTACTACACGAACTTTGTGACTCTTCCTGTGATCTCTATGTCACAATCTCTCAATGTAAAGCTGCGACTTTTTTGTAAATACATTATATACACAGAAAACAACTAGCCAGATACAAAAAATTTGTGCCGTGCGCGACCCCGCGACTATTGGATGTAAAGCGGTGTTCTAAACCACTAGACTACCGAGGTCTTTAAAAGCGTAAATAATTTAAGTTCTATATTTTCTAGAGTACGTAACGAAAACATAATAATAAAAAAATTGAGGGCAGTAACCCGTATTTTTACTTCAGATCAGAAGACGATAGCTAACATTAATAAACTCAGTCTTCATAATTTTGGTTCCGAAATTCTGATGAAAATTTTATACATATTGTCTGTGGAAAATAGATGATCTATTTTTAGTCCCAGCAAACTGTATAGTTTTGAATTCAATTAGTTATTTTCTTCATTGTTCATACCATAGTGTGTCACGTTTATAAGGGGGCATAGATTACGTTGGGACAAAGTGTCATTTTGTTTGTTATAAAAAATAAAATATAATATTTACTGGCTTCATATTCAGACGAATATGTTGGTTTGGCAGAAATATTAAAATATTTTCATTACTAATAATATCCTGTTCAGTGACGAGGCTTTGCGTTTTGTTAACATTGGCTTTCATTGTAAACTATTCTACGAAAACTCTGATAAAACTATGTTATGGTATAAATAACGCGTTAAATTCGTCATTATTAATAAAAGCATTTATAAATTCTTATACCTCTTTGCAAACATGTTTAAGAGAGTCACGAGATAGATAGAATGTTTTGTTAATATTTAACAACCAAAGAAATTTTTATATTCGTAGCCGTAATGTGAATGTAATTAATACTATTATTTATATTATTAACCGGGACTTAAAACGAATAATTTTATTACAAATAAAGGTATTTACCTCTCCCGATGTTTCAACTCTCGAGGTAAATAATTAATAATTTAGACCTGTTTTAAAAATAATCGTCTATTTCAGATGTAACATCACATAAGTCACTATTAATCGTATTATATTCAATGTCTCATATTATATTACATATAAAACAGACAAACAGTTTATAATTCTCTACTAATATGACCAGAAAGATAATAAAAAGAAAAATCACACTTACATGTACTTTCAAGACGGAAAAGATTAAAATTCCTTAACAGATAATCGTGCAGTGTGAGAAATTGGAGATTCAGTTTGGGGAGCGCGAGACAGTTTTCACCGCTGTATATCTCTGTAGGAACCACGTTTTCGTCCCAAATAACTTCTTCGGTTGGATAAAGTGGCATAGAATTCAATTCTTCCAATTGAGATATACGCCGTTCGTGACGGGAAATCTAAAAAAAAGTTGAGTAGTTATAGTTTGCAATACAAGAGGCTATCTTATTGTTATAAGCTGACAACCTGTAAGGTACATAATTCGAAGAGAGAAACAGTATAAATAATAAATAAGACACAGGTGTTTTATTTATTATTTCTACTGTTTCGATTCTAGTTATATAAAAACATAGGTTTCTATTTTTATATAACTAGAATCTCATACAAAATATTACCTGATTGTAAGGGGCAACCGTCGCTTAAATAGACATAAACGACACCACATTATCACATTTCTAAGAACTAAGGTCGCTCTATCTTAATCGTAAAAATATATATATAATATTATAAAAGCGAAAAATTTTTGAGTATAGTTGTTTGTTACTCTTTCACGCAAAAACTACTGAACGGATTTTGATGAAACTTTAGAGTAATAGAGCTTATGCATCAGAATAACTCAGGCTATATTTTTCATTGAAATTTATATACTGAAATATAACACGGGTGAAACCGCAGGCACAGCTAGTATCCTATAAATTAATTGCTATACCGTATTCTAAAGCAGCTTACAAAGGAAGCTTTTCAATAGAAATAGGTAAAGGAGATATAGCAGAAGCATATATGTCAATATATTTTATTCTCTAATGACGTATGCTATTCGGAATTTTAACACATAAAATCTAATGTTACGAGCTATATGTAAAGAATTTAAATTGAGCTAATATTTTTACTGGACCTACCACATCGTGGGTATGTAAATGAATGGTGATACATTGTATTTTTTTAATCCATTAAGTAATTATTTAAACAAACACATCAATTAGCCATTATTAGTTTCGTCAATAATTTATTCATCTAAAATGAAAGTAAATTTTTGTTTGTAACGAAGAAACGAAATTTCTTTGATAATAATTTGCGGTTATGTACTAATATTATTATAATAATAAGGAATAGACATATTTATTGTCAGTAACTCAAAATATATTTAACCGATTTAAAAAAATATTTTACCTATAAAAAGCAAAATTATGAGATTCCCTACAGGATCTGAAATATTTTTGAGAATATAATTATTAATAAGAATAAGGTGGCGTCGCGGCGGGTCACTATATAGTTTATACATATAAATAAAATTGGAGTGTTTGTTTGTAATACTGAAATAACCGTTTTTTACTACATGCATATGAATAAAATATATTTTTTTCTAATTTTTGTCTGTCTGTCTGTCGGTCTATTTGTTCCGGCTAATCTCTAATATGGCTGGACCGATTTTGACGATGTAATAAGGAGTAACTTAGGCTACTTTTATTTTCAAAAAATCTTTTAGTTTATAAAAATAAAGTTAAATACCACGCGAAGTCGCGGGAACAGCTAGTAATAAATAAATTCACTCACTAATAACTCTTTGAGGAAACCCTTGTCGACGCGATGCCAAGACGCTTCATCTTCTTTGCCTTCAGCTGGTACCAGATTTAAATAAGTCGCAATAGCGCGGAGAGCCTTGTCACTGCAAATTTTCGGATAAACATTAATTTGGATGATAGAATAGGTAGGAATACTTTAGTATAAGATAGGACTTATCTAAACTAACATCATCCAATAGGAAGAAATTGTTTTTTATAAAAAAAACAATAATAACAGACACAAATTAGTACATATAGAAGTGAGATAATGTTAGTGCCATATGGAAATGGCTTGGTACAAAACAAGCTGCTTAACGGAATGAATTGGCAAAAGGCGGCAGGCAGGCAGGACACACACAGGTGAATTGCAAATAACTAGTCAGGGAAATACAAATTTTACTACAATTAAATAAACCTCGTAATAATTCCAGGGGTGTTTCTACACTTTATCTGGGGCTGGGGTAGTATAAAGGTATAGAAGTAGGTACCTTAAATTTCCAAAGTGTTTCTGTAAAGATTCCCTAGTGTCCACACTGGCGACGTTGGCTAGAGCGAACAAACGCAGATCAGGGAACTTGGCGAATGCCGCTTTCTGCAAGATTAACATAATTGTAGAAAAACTTATGAAGCAGGTTGAAAGCGTCGTCACGTAGTGGTTTACCACCCGGGTTTTAGACCCAAGATCATGAGTTCGGATATGGTCGACACCAAAACAACTTTTTTGTCACTGGATAGTTACAATACTTATTTGTGGCTACTCAGTGATACATACACCGATAATAAATCAAATAATTAAATTTAGTCAACCTCTCATATACCTATGTCCTAAATAGGTACAGTTTATATACAGATAAATTTAAATTCTGATTTATAATATAGCTTCTCAAAGAAGCTAACCAGTAATGATATGCAGCAGTAACATTTTCTCTTAGCTTTTTATAGCCACTACTTAAAACAATTCGGTGATGATATAGTTTATTGCTATTCACTTTTGGTACAACCAATCCATAAAATTACTGAAGTTCTCATAAATCAATGGTTTGATTATCACACCCTGACGCCATAGTGCTATTTCTATTCTTGAAACGTTTCTACATATATATACCCTTGGATTGCAATCACACCAAATCCGTTACCGTACTTCTCAATTAGGGGACGCGGCGAATATTGAAAGGACCCAGAAACGCTGGGTTGCGATGCAGTCAACTTTAGGAACCACTGCGCTAAAATTTGTATTTTATTTTTATTTTTTAGTAATAAGGTCACCTAATTTCTTTTAGAAAAGTGTTTAATGTTTAATATACATTAGATTAATATTTTGATGAATTTCAACTTTGTACTTCTTGAAGTGTCTTAGCTTACTTTTTTTTTATTATTATTAATGGGTTTGCGCTTGGTCTTAACACATTTTTAATGAATATTTCTCTATTCTAAATTAATCTTTTATAATTTTTAGACCATGTGTTTGACGGAAAAAGAAAAATAATAACGCTATAGAAAAAAGTTAAAGCAGACCCAGAGAAATTACCGCAGCGAAAGAGAAAAATAAGGGAAAGCTACCATAGGAATAAAAAATTAATTTCAAGTATGCTGCCAGAAGATAAAGTAAGATAAATTAAGTTAATTAAGGAGACTGCTAATGTTTTAAGTTAATTAGTAAGAGGTGTCACGTTTAGAGATCTGTTAATTATTAATTACTTTATTGTAATATTGTTACGTTTTTTAGAAATAAAGTAAAAATACAGGTGATTTTAATCCTAGTATCTCCTTTGGAATCCTGAGTATGTCCTATGGACAACCGTATATGTCCACTGGACAACCACTTTGTCCCTACATCATATTTACTTAAAAGAAATTAGTAGGGTTTACAAGAATTTCAAATGTGAATGTAACAATTAAAAGTGAATTCATAAATTGTTACACGTATTAATAAATATCGCGTATTAATTATTATTGTACAAGTTAAATGAAAAGTTCGTTACATTTAAAATTTGTGGTTGTCCAGGAGATAATATTATTAGGAATAATTCATAAATTAAAAGTCGCGTCATTTATTTCTGAAAGATTAATTGAAATCCATCTTATATTAAGTCATAATAAAGTGACGGTTTATAATTTGACTGAATTTTAAATGGTTCAGAAACCTTATTAGTTATTTCTTCAAAGGACTCGAGTCATGTTGATTTCGTAGTCAAATTTACTATTTTATATAAATAAATGTCTCTGATCTATGTCAATGTTTAAAATATAAATAATTATCTACTGCGATATATTTGCGATAAATATAAAATTAAAAAAGTAAAATATCTCGTAGATATACACTTAAAATTTGATGGACCCAAATACTGTATGTTAATATTCTGTGATACATTAAAAAACTCGTACAAATATTATTAGTCGTGTGTATCAATCTTTCACGACTAAATGGCTGACCGGATCTTAATGAACTTTGACATGGAGTTAGATTGCATCACGAGGGATGGACATAGGCCATCTTTTATAAAAAAAATATTCACTAAATGGCGCGTAAAAGCTGTTAGAATATAAATATAGATATATAATAAAGTAGCCTATGCCATTTTTCGATAGAAAAGATTTGCTGGAAAAAAAGAAGCAATGAAGAAGCACTTGCAAAGGGTTAAAGAAAAGAGATAGATCATATATATATTATTGAGAATAGGCGAGGAAAAAGTTGGGGCAATTGATACGACTACCTTATTAATAATGTTAATAAGAAAATTAGATGGAAGGAAGGGGATAACACAGTTATATCAAGCAGGTTAAGGAAAAAGTTGGAGTCGTGTTGTATCAACAACTAAAAAGATTGACGGAAGATCCAACAACAAGAGCGCAGCATTTAAATTATGAATGAATGAATGCTATCTTCTATCTAAAAGAATATACAATATCAACAACTGAATGCCTTACACAATAATACGTAATTTAATATCGAATGGTAATTCATGTTTTATTACAATACAATTATCATGGCTGGAAGGCATTGCAAATATATGAATACAAACCGCCTCAGCCCATGTTTAGCCGTTATAAATTGAGATATACCTATTCCGTCTTATAGATGAGGATGCAAAACTATGATCTATCATTATAAATTAGTACCATTTGGGTGGTAATCGACTACAATAACATTTTAATTATACAATTAAAATGCATGACACATCATAGTAGATACGTAGGTATCATCAAACACATGCATGATTTAAATATTAGATATTCTATACATTATTTAAAAAATCATTTAAACGTAAGTAAAAGAATAATAAAAGAATAAAAAAAAATTGTTAACAGGTACTGTCTTTTCTAAGGTTGTCTTGAAATATAGAAGAGCTTGCATTAGTGATGACTACCTTTTGTACTTATTTTATCAATTAATGTTAGTGCAGTAAAATGTTTAAACAAAAAATTAAAAAAGTATTCCAAATTAGGTGACAAGCACGCAATATTTCAAGAACCTTAATCACTTTTGCTATAAAGCTTGACGACGCCTATAAAGCTAGCTCGACGACGGTATCGGTGGTGTAGAGGTTTAGCACAGCACTTTACTTCCGATGGTCGCGGGTTCGATTCCTCGTACAGTACAAACATTTGTATTACGAGTATGATCGTTTGTAATACACTTGGTGCTTTCTAATTATGTTTACAAAAAAAATATTTATATCAGTTGTCTATAGTATTCATAACAAAAGTTGTGCTCAGCTTGGGACTAGATGGCACTGCGTGAATTGTGCAGGAACAATTGGTCTTCGGTCCAACCGGAAGTATTTTTTTTTTATTATAATTTGCAATAAGTTTACTCGGATACGCAATTTAGACAAATGTCTCTACCTTAGTATTTAATGTAGCGCCTACGTAAGTTAGCAACATACAATAGCTGCCATATTATAAACAGAAACATCCGTGATGATGTTAATAGTGTCTAGAAATCACACCTGCTAACGAGGAGGCTAGGCTTACTATTCTTACTAATAAACAAACATCTATTGAAATATATAAACCTGTAATGATGTTATTCTGGAATAATGCAACAGCGTCATGTCCCGATCTGTCATAGGATCACCAGTTTCGTCGCTGATTTCGAAATTGGCATAAAATTTCAGCATTTGTAGGAGCTGCAACAAAACGAAAGCATTTTAAATAGAAATAACATTAACACAATAAAATCAATACAAGCATTTCTGAATAAGTCATATTTTTTATTCTACCACTCATTCGGAACGCAGATTCATCACAAGAAGAATGAGTAAGAAACTTGTGTGTTGCTCTTTTAAATTAAAATAGGAATATTTTGGCATATATATTATGGCAATATAGTACGAGTATATAGGCATTTTATTCTTCAATAACAAAAACATTGTACCATGCTCCCGATATACATTTTTGTTTCAATACAATGTCGTGATTTTTTATCGACCGTCAGCTTATTTACAATTTAATAAGATTAAATAAAAAATACACAATTGAAAAATATTTAAATTTAAAAAAATTAATTACTTTTTAGTACATTTAATTAGAGGTCGTGAATGAATCAGCTGACTATTATTGTTATAATTATTTTTAATTATACTTATCAATTAAAATTATACTTATAAATAAATTCTCTCCAAATTCGTAAATACTACTGCCATCTGTTATTCTGTACGGATAATAAATAGGTATGATCATTATTCAGTTAGCAAGTCTGAAATGCTATAGCAGCGTTCATGTGTGGAGTTACATGCTTTTAAAAAGCAAGCGTAGCGCCCTCTTGACTAATATAAGATAACCATTTTAATGTCTCTTCCATATTTTGTGGAGCATAATTAAAAGATGGCAGTTATTCAAATAATAACAATGTTCTTCAGCAGATTGAATTATTTCTAAATAATTACAAATCAAATCAAAATATGTCTATTCGTATAGGTTTAACACTTGTGATAAGAATAAAACTATCCCCACTTTGAAATGTGGTTTTTGGCGAGAAAATTCACAAGAGTCTGAGCATAATCCCCAATCTCCTGCCAATTGTTTTTTTAAATGTAAATTACAGTACTGCAAATTTAATATTGAAACTGTTTTGTATATTTATTAAAGTAATTATTAATAATATTTTTAAAAAGTTACCCAGACATATTCATCTTTTTCTGAAAGTTATCAAAACGTACAAAAAATATTATTTTAATACTTACCTTCATTTTATTATATAATCTTGGTGCATTTTTAAAATAAAATCTTAATCCAATTTGTACATATACTCGAAAAAGGAGACTCAATTCGGCTACATTTTTATTTATATATTACAATATTATTTTTGGGAAATTTGTCCCGAATACGCATCGTACGAGTTAAATTTGCCAAAAAAAAATCCTATTTGCATTGTAGTACTTCTATATAGGTGCAGGTCACACAAGGAATTCATATTTATTCAATCATCATGAACGCGAAAGTGAGTCTGTCAGTTTGTTTTGTTTTGTACTTTTTTCGTCTAAACTGCTAAATTTAATCAAATATAACATGAGCATTTCTTTAAAATATATTTTTTTTATCACAAAATCATTAATTTTTAATTCCTTAAACAAAAATTGATTATTTTGTAGTAATTTAAATACTAAAAATATTTTATTATATTACAATGTAACAACTAAGTATTTACATTGTAATCTGTTTATAAATATTTAATCCAAATACGTAGTTAATATCTGGTAGACGCAGTTATCTGTAAGTTCAAAATAACATATGTGTTCTATACAGTACAGATGTTTATTTATAACCATTTCTAATACACTTTCGTTGTGAGAGTATCAAGTTATATCTTCTAAACACATTAAGTATTTTTTATATCCACTTGTACATAAATGTAATAGCAACAATAATTAAAGATTACAGTCAATAGAAAATCTATAAATAATGTAATAATTTATACATGTTAATATACGGATACTCTTTTTGCGAGTTTTCGAATTAAAAGGCGATAATGTGATTAGAGAACTCGTGTATAACATAGACATTAGAACAACACAAATAAAAACGATTTACAAAAACTGACAGCTGACTGAATTGCATCATGCCCTAGGACATTGAAACATAACGATGTTTCAAGCAGAAGTCGAGGAGATAGGACATATTTTTATAAATGATCTCTTAATAACTCCCATAGATGTACGAATGTCTGCAACTTGAACCATTCCATCAGAACCAGGATAAATAGCTACAATTCTTCCCAACTTCCATTTAAGAGGAGGAAGGTCATCTTCATTGATGACCACTAATATATCAATAGTAATGTAAATAATCCGTCAATAGTAATATTATAAATGCGAAAACATGTCTGTCTTACCTTATCAAAATTAAGTTAGACGATTTTTATGAGAAAGGGTTTACGGGTACGGTGTCAAAAAATTGTTTTAGCTTAAAAATATATTCGTAAGGGGGTGCGATTAGGGAAGAAAAATCATACAGATGCAGTCGCGGTTAACTAGCATCTGTTCAAGTTATATTTTGAGGATTCCGAAACCAAAAATTAAAACAGAATCTTAATTTTACTGCGTTTGTGAGTCAACCAACCACCTGTTGTTACAGGGCTATATAATGTGATTTTAAAGTACCTACATACTAATAATTTCTTCAGACAAAATCTTTTGACGACAAAAGTTTTACTGGCTGAATGCATCTCCAATGTATGCAGTATGACGAAGAAGTATATAGGCTCTATCTGTTATCAATAAAAAAAATAGTATAGTTTACAATTAAATTTTATATTCATGTCATATCATAAAGGAAATGAAAATGTCCAACAAAAAAAATATTGTTCGTAATCAAACCGCAATTTTAAAAATATGTCCAACTACATTATGTGGGCTATCATATCAACATTATGCTTATATAGTCATGTAGTACCGTTGTATAATTAAGTACGTCATGTAGATAAATAATTATCGAAGAAATATAATAAAATAAATATCTACATTATTTTTAGAAATAGAAATAATGTTCATTAGTAACTTTGAAGTTTTTTTGATTCTACTTCGGAATGGATATTCAACATAAGAAGATTAATAAAAAATCAGGATGTTTTTTTAAACATATCAATTTGACTTTCCATATATTTTGTGTGAATATGAACTACCAAATAGCACCAATTTACAAGAGACTACAATTTACTATTATATTGGGGGCCTTCATACTGGTATAGAAAGAAAAACAATGATTGTTAGAATTTTGTCTATGCGTGTATGTGTTCTAAATTCAGAAACAGATTAATCCGATTTGATTACGATAATAACCGCTAATGAAACCTCGTTTGTATTTACTTACATTGTTTATCAAACAATAAAGGTAGGCATCTAGATAGAAAGTCGGAGACTCATCTAGTATTAAATAAACCAGTCATAGTGAACACCAATGTAGACCAATCACTACAAGCAGCGCCCTTTCACGTATATATGTATACATATTATATATACTAATTCCTAATTGGAATGTAAAAACATGTGATGGTAAATGGTATCCGTTGTCTCTATCCGGTATACATAACAATTACTACCGATATAGCTTTATCATGTGAAGCACTAATGCTTTACCATTTCGGAGGACGGAGGTCTAATCTCACCCTACAACAGAAACCCGTCTTTCAAAACAAGCTGTTTGACGGCTGAAATAGGTGAGACCCACGTAGATGACATTTTACAAAAGCTACCTTGTAATAATATTTGGTCGGAATTTCTGGCTGTGCGTTTCCGTGTCGGTTTTATTTTTAAATTTACATATACTCCATTATACGTACAGTACAATGTATGAAATATTACAACTAGTTAACTGAAACTCCAATGTTAATGCACCTGACATATTATGGTGGTTGTGGTACCAATAGGGATGTCACAATCTGTATAAAAAACGACACTTAATCGACTGTCACGTACACATAGCATAATCAACTAATAAAAAACTACATTTATGAAAGATTAAATACAGTACAATGTAGTAATATTGTGGTGGTAGTAGCACCGGTGGAATATCATACACATATATAAACGATTTTTATGAAATTTAAACGTTGTATATCAGTAGTAATCTTTTTTTTTTTCACAAAAAATTTTGGTCCCTTGCTCTGTGAGAGTTCTGTATTTTAGATCATCATTTGATTTTTATATTTTGATCAAAAACAAAAATCAGATAAAAAATATCTATATTCAAATTGGATTAATAAAATCGACTCATCAACAACAATCTATTTTTTCATAAGCGATGATTATTTCACATCCCTAAGTGGTAGAAGTCAATGGTACTTCATACGGCTTTTACTCGGCGACTACACCGCACGCATCCACTTTCAATTAATTAAAAGTGGACATTAAACCGACGACCGTATGCATATTGTGATTTAAATATTTATAGTTAACTGTTTTAATTTTAATTACAAGTGACTGTTAATATTCGGATGGTTGTAATTCATTAATTTATATCAAATATTCGGAAAAATGAAGGTAAGTCTTAAAATGTAGTATTTGTCACGAAACATTTATATCATAACAATACTATTGTTAAACGTTATAACATATACATTTATTTCGATTGTTTGGCTACTGGAATAATATATTCGCGTATATATGTATTGTTAATATAGATTTTGGGAGATAAAGAACGTGTAATGTAGTCTAAATGTAGGTAGTGCAGTTAATATTCTACGTAAGGAAAAATTATTATACTTACAAGTAATAAGTATAAAAAACGAAATATTATGGATTTGTTATATGAATATATTAAATACATTCCAAAATAACATTTTTAACATTTTCTCTTATAATATTTTAGACCTTGCTTTTCTTACTAAATTAAAAGAAGGTGTACGCGTTTCTTTCCTCCTTGAAATCTTGTAATTGAAATCTTATACAGATTTGTCATTTCTTTTTAGTGTAATAAAAATACATTTAAAATTTATGTTTTTACGTTAAGAATAACACGTGGCAAATGATACTATATAGGCATCTGGCAGTACAAAGTACATTTATTATGTAGGTAGGTCAATACGTTCATTATGATTGCAAATATTAATATCGGGAAACACAATGAAAGCTCATCTGATATGAAGTAGCAGTCTGTATTTATACCATCATTCAGAGTCCTTAACACTAATCTGTCGTCTACTGAATCGTCATCAAGTATTTTTAATATACTTTCCTACCTTACTTACAATTAAAAATATGATATTCCTAATTCATAAGGGGAATCGTTTAAGGACAAAGATTATTTTAACGCTATTATATATATAGGGCATCTAAAATACTTGGATACTGTGTAGCTCACAAATTAAAAACACAAAGCAAATAAAGTTTCCTCATAACAAAAAAAAGACTAAAGATAACAACTGTGCATAATCAAATATATAATCTTGTAAAAGAATAAAACATAATTTTCAATAATCAAGATGGTTTTTTTTAGTTAATAGTTACGACATGGTGCAATATATTGCATTAACGGTATACGCTGGCAAGGCTGGAGGATGATAGGTTGTGGATGAACTTAGGTCAGTCAGTTCGTACTCCTATCGTGACAAATTCACCTCAGACACAGCATGTTGATTGGTAGGGGTAACTGCGTTTAGGTCGACATGGATAGCAATGGGGCCATTAACATCCCACAACTAAAAATTTATATAAATAAATTTCTTTATGGATTTGAATAGATAAGCCAAGTAAATCATTATGTATATATGTACATTAAAAATTTACGTGTGACGTAGTGCATCAGAAGATAACCAGCAGAGGGTTGAGATAAGTGAGACTATGTGTATATAGATAGACATTAATTAGTTAGTTACATATATATGGAGCCTAATACAATAATATTCGGAGAGAGTTCGGAGTATGTACGTACCTTCGTTTTTCAACATCCATGCAAAAATTTGGTGTTACAAATATAACTTCTCAGTGTGTATATGTATTAATCTATGTCATCGTAGTTGCTATACAAATGGATCGATTATGATGCGGATTTTATTATAAGCTGACTTCATCGAGATGGTTCTTAGTTACAATTTATTAGAGATTTTTTTAAGTAACCTGCCTTAAAAATAATTTCATACTTTCATCATATTATTTACATTTAATTTCGTACTGTGTCGTACGGGTTATAAAATAATAATAAAATATATACCGTATTCCCATATTTTACGATAGTTCGTTCACTTTTTCTAAAAAAATATTTATGTATCGAATATATATAAGTCAAAACAAAAAGAATCATCAAAATCAGATCAGAATTGCCGAAATTATGGCGTATAGTATAGAAATAGTAATAAAATAGCTGAAATGAAAACTTCAAACCTCAAACTTTATTTTTGAAGTTTGAAAATGTAATGATAATTGTAAAGAATAACAAATAAATACATGTAACCATATTAATAATAATAAATAAACAAAACACAGTTTATATTACTCACAGTTTATGGAAGTTAAAGGATTTTTTAAATATGTGAAGTATTTTTAGGTAACAATTACTAAAAATTTGTGTAATTTAATTTAACATCACGTTTTTCGACAGCATCATATTCATTTCGTTACTTACTATTTTTAAACGTAACTAAAAAAACATTGAACACAACGAGATTGTTTTGTTCTCTTTTATTGTTTCCAGCCATGTAATTGAATTAAACATATTTTTTATCACACTTTATAAAGTTTAATATTGATTCATCAAATCAATTAATTTTATTTACAATGAGGATAATCAATAAGTTTCTACATTCAAATTGATTCATTCGTTTACTTATTATAATTATATTAGTAAGAATATTTAGTAATAGATAGCTATTAGTTCTATTTCTTGCAAAATCGTAGTTCTAATATCAGTCATTCAATCATGGATTTTAAGAAATTTGTCATAAACAATAACATACAAACCGGACATGCGTTATCATTACGCAGCCAGCCATACAAATACAAGCAAAGTACTCATTTAAACAATTTCCTCTACGAGAAGTAATGATAACGTTATCAATGAGACCAAATAGTATAGCGCGACACGGTCATAAGTCATGATGCTGTCATTCTTCGATACGGTAGAAAAGATCTCTAGTGAACTGGAGACTCGAACTAAGAGATAAATCTCATCAGTTCATACTCATTCATTATCAAATTTTTTGTAACATAAAAATGTAGGGAGTGGCGTATAAAGAATTGAAAATTAGCATATTTAGATAATTTTGACCTCTTACGCTGTCCGTTCAAGTTTGAATGCGAATTCTACAAAGAACCTATAAATAGCAGGGGACCTATAATTATATCTAATGCAATTTAAAAATTAACTGATAAAGTGGTTGTTTGGATAATTAAATATTTAAATACGAGTATGTATGTGCAAACATCATAGATATTTATTATTTGTGGTTCGTGCCACTTATATACAGGTAAATAAATTAATTAGTATTTAATTACAAACTACATATGATCTATAACTATGTAGTTGATAGCTCTAATCAAAGCAAAATACATTTATTTGTCTACATAATATAATAAACATATATATAAGTACAATATGTTAACTATCGTGTGACGCACCATTAATTAAAAATGGTAAAGTCAATAATCATGTAACCTGAAACGGAACGTCAGAGGCCAGAGCCAAAGTAATCTATGTGACATTGACAAGTGGATGACGGACGATTGAACGGAGGCAGCGGGAGTTTTGGAGCGAAAGTGTTGATATTATTATAAAAACAAATAAGAGATAGATAATTGTGAATATTGTAGGCATTGAGGTGTTTCTCTCCCTGACTAACCGGCATTACGCCTAAGTCGTCAGGATACTAGTGATTTTAAAAGTTCAGAAGCGGTACCAATCCCGCCTACAAATTCGACTGTAAGGTAATTCTGACTAGAAGTTGTGGTAAGTGAATTTACGTTAATAACACGCATACCATTAAACGCAGTTTCTCACTTGTTTTATTGAACTTTTGGATGAATTGCTTTCTACATATTAAATAGATTTAGTATGTACGATAACTTGCGAGAGTAATGACATGACATGTAGCACGATATTCAGGTATACAATATACCTAAGAAAGAAGTATTATGAATACATTAAGTATAGAACAACATGGCTATCTAATTAGTTTAAAATATAGAGTAACTATTGTTATGTTACTAATGCCTATGATAGAGTATGATAGGATATCAACAGATTAGAAACAGTTACATTAACTATGTTGACATACAGGTTGAACATGAGAACACATACCATGTTATACATATAAACAGTGTAATGGTATTGCTGAGTTTGTTGCTAATTCACAGTAAATTAGTCAAACTTACTGTTCAGTTTTGTGTGTTTGTTCTACGTGAATTTAATTGAAGAATTGTTATTATTTCTTTACATAGGTACACATATATGTTTGATGATCCCATTTCAGATAAATGACAATCACAGGCATAGTCCAGGTATATGTCTTGATGGTGGTTATATTACCAAATTGAGACACTGTCATATGTATATATATTATATTGGTTGATACTTTGATATGTGTTTATTAATGAATTAATAAAGGATATTAATATAGATAGACACAGTATATTGTTGACATAAACTGATACCAGCAACATAACATGTTATATTTCATAATATTAGATATTAAAGACATTTTAGATGCTATCTCATGATTAGCTGTGAAGCTCTCAGTGAAAATAGTACTTAACTCTGATAGTACAATTATTATATTTATTTCTTGCTGTGTTTTGAATTTTATATATATAGCAATGGCTAACAATTGGTAGTAAACTCCAATGTTAAAAAACCGAATAACTGTAAACTATTATTATTAATAGTTCCTTATTTAATCATTATTTAGTATAAAATCCAATTGAGATCTATTAGGATCCTCAAGGTTATCATAATCATATGATATTGATTATTAATGTGTTGAAAAAGCACCTAGAAATGATATCCAATTCCTCAAAGGTGTCATATTATGCTGGAATTATATATTATATGTATGCTCAGATTGAATGTATTATATGTTTGAGCAATTGGTTCACTTCTTTGATGCTTCTCTTGAAATTCATTAGAATGGCCCTTAGCAGCCATTGTTGATCAATAAATGTACTTAAAGGTCCTGTGCAGGTACCTGTAGCTATGTACATTTGTCATTTGAGACAATGTTTAGTAAGTGAGTGTTGGAATTTATAAGCACCACATTAATATGTGACATGTTAGAAAGTGATAGATTACAGGTAAGACTATTCTTACATGGTTCAGTTTTATAATTTATGAAGTTGTCTTTTAACCTAAAGAAAAGCTTTTGGTAACTCCAGAAATGAATGTTGTTGGCTCTTGATTGTATTATTGATTGTACAAGAAACCTGTTTAATTTTCTAAACAATACTTGAGCAACAAGCTTGTCTTTAAATTTACTATTAGTGTTATGAATATGAATAAAAGTTTTTGGAAATAAGTTAATAATTGTGTACATACAGAATGTTTGGATATATAT